TTAGGTCAGGGGTAAACCCAAGATCCTAGCAGCAAGGCCTAATTCGAGAGGCTGCCAAGCCGAATGGGCACCGCAGGGGTTACGGATCTGGCCGGAGGCTTTCTGTGGCGGTTATGGGGGGGGGGGTCACCAGCCGGCTCTCTTTGCCTCTCTCCCTCCCTCTCTTTTTCTCTCTCACTATCGACGTGGCGGCTATCCGGGTTTTCCCGACGGAGAGGAGGGGAGCGGAGGACAGAAACCCGAAAGAAAAAAGAGATGGAAATAGGACGTGGGGGAAGGAGAGATAACATCAGTAGGTTATAACCTTGCCTCAGGAGAAGGGCGAGAGAAACCAAGTCAGTCACACCGAGAACTAGGTGCCTTGGGGTATCGCGTTTACTAGGTTGGTAGTACTTACACCTACGAGTACAGAGAAGAGGGAAAATACAAACGACCATTCGGCCTATACCTTAATGCTGTTAGCGGCGACAGGCTGAGCTCATGGCGAGCGGCGCATCGAATGGGGCTAAGGAGATTGAAACACGTGCGATCGACGGCTCAATTTCATGCGGCGATCCCCTCTCTAGAAGCTTTTGCGAATAAGAACACGTTAGAGGTTACAGATATATTCGTAGCCTTTCGCCTCGGCTGAGTGCCGAAATGCGTTTGCTTGTACTCGGGTATGTATGCATATGCTCAATCTCGAATCGACCTGTGCGCGCGATATTTCACACAGGGTGAAAAATATTCATAGGTTGGCATGTATGTGTGCATCGTGCGCAAGCCGGCACTTATCACGGATACTATACGTCGCATGGCTGGCACGAAGGTGCTCTTGGGAAATAACCCCCCAATTTGCTGCTGCTAATGCGATGCGATCACTCGCCTTATCATGGCCGTTATGAGGGGTCGTGCTCGCTCGCTCTCGCTTTCTCTCTCTCTCTCTCCGGCTCTGTAGGGAGCATTGCCGAGGCCCTTCGGACTGACGATGGCCGCATATCTGTGCCTATCTAGACATATAGATCCTACCTACACATATAGATGGATGAAGCACTTAGCGCGGCTTCCGGCTGCAGCTAACCTAATCTGTGGCAAAGGTACGAAACCAGGATGGCAGCGTTTTAATAACAGACCTGTTAAGGTTCCCCGCCCCCCTACCGATCCCTGGTTGCTGCGTCGCCAGGGGGTTCTACGTGTGCTTGACGTGAAGAGAGATCAGCGAGAAAGACTTTTTTTTGTTTAAACAGGTTATATACAGACTGGAGTCCTGCGAGTCGAAACAGAGCCGATTGGTAGTGTACGTACTGTATGTAGGGGACGAGGGAGGGAGAGAAGGGGGGGGACTTTGGGGGGGGAAAAAAAAAAACCAAATCCCTGCTGCGGTATAAGTATTGTGGTATGACGGTTGGCTTCATCGCGGAGCCCGATTGAGGCCTGATGTCATCCCGAGACATCGAGTCAGCTCCAGCGGTGGTGGGCATACCTGGCCGACGGGACAGGACGGGGTGGGATGGGCTTGACACAATTGGGACAGGATGCTCAAGATCGGTTCTTGTGCCCACGGGGTTGCTGGTCTGCCGTTGACATCGATGGACTTGCATCGCGGTGCAGTAGTCGTGCAGGTTCCCTTTCCTGTTCCTATCGCCTCGGCAGCTCGCGGCTGGGTCGCTGCTACGTTGGCTACGAAGATGCTACGTCGAGTAGCCACATATGTATATACATACATACGTACGTACATACATTCCCTTCGTTCACCATGGGCAAAGCTGGGCTGCTCTGTCGCAATTCTTAGTTAGTTGACTAGCAGCTATTACGCCGAGGAGCACCTACGACATAGCACGTCTTAGCTGCCGGTCCAACAATTGTAAACCCGGGACCCAGCGGACGCTCCCTGGCGTCTGTAGAGGGTTTAGCTGTTCCAGAACGTCGGGAAGAAGAGGAGCAGGAGGATCAAGGCAAAACAAGACAAAAACAAAAAAGCAATCTGGAATCCACTCCGTACGCATGTACGCATCATGTATGTCCATATTTTCCTAGACTTGCTGTGGAGGGTCTGGACGTGCCGAAGATCCCGCCCTGGAAGGCTGGACGGCTTTCACATTTGCGAGAACTTGTGTGTCGCATTCGATTTGTCCGGCAGGTTATGGATGAATAAGCGAAGGAGGGCGGAGGCTGGCAGGGGGGGGGAGAAGCTCTGGCGTTTTACAGAATCCTGAGGTAGTCGTCCAACATGGGCAGGGGATGGCCCGTCGCTGTGGGGTCATAGCGTGCATACCAAGTCTCGACGTCGTATAGCTATATGTTAGTGCCCTCTTTAGCATGGGAGTGGGAAATGAAGGCTTCGAATAGGGTACTACCTACCTAACCTCCTCTTCTTGGTCTGTACAGTATACGTATGCCTACATGTATAGAATATGTATATATATGTATATATATTTTTACCAGTACGAGGTAAGCACCCAATCTATGAGTATGAAAGATGCAGTATCTGTTCCTGGAGGTAGGTAGGCTGAGATGGGTGTGGATTGGTTGGTGCACGCGGTGAGATGCGACGGACAGTAGCGTGTTGGCGTGTAGGGCCGAATGGCGGGAAGTGTTGGAATTGTAAATATGTCATGTGTGAGTGAGAGCTGGCATGTAGGTAGCATATATAGCGTTGTTGGAATCAATACAGATGTCACTCCCAAAGTCATGTCCTGCCCCATCGTACACGGGGCAGCTCATCGTTTGTTTTCATTTCTGTGATATATCTACACGTTGTGCATGGATGGAGGAGATGGGTCACCGAGAAGGCGACGGTACTTACGTAGGACTTGACTACCTGCGTACACGTAGGAGTCTACCCTTCATGCACCCCAGACAGCTTTCAGAGTGGATATCGCCTCCCGTGCACGTTGCCATCCTCCTCGTACTGTGCGCGAGTCCGTAACCGCGTTGCGCTGCCAAAAAGGGTTTGCCGCGGAAAGAGACGTATTAACATGGCAGATAACATGAGCGATTTAGTTGGCGACGACCTGAGAGAGAGAGAGGGAAAGGGAGAACAATAACTCCGGGTGAGTGGGGTAGGCCGCTGTGAGACATACTGTGTAGGTTGGTGAATGTGGGAGGTGTTCTGTATAGTAGTTCACCATGATGACATGGGCTTATTATCGCGACATAGGATAAGGTGTCTACCTACGTGGAGCAGGTAGCAGGTATCTACCTAGGTAGGTAATATATGTATCATCAGTAGCAATACCAAATGCATCATGTTTGCCGCCCTGTAGCCCCCCGTCTCTCTGCCGGTCTCCCTCTTTCGACATCGGACCTGATGTTTTCTTTTATATCCGTATTGTCTATTGTCGTATAATTCTCTTTCTGTACCCCCCGCCGGCTCCCGTTTCCACCTAAATGCAACCCGGCCTGAATCTCCTCGTCTTGTCTTCTTCCCTCTCCAAGGTTTTGCCACCTAAACCTAGACTTCACGTCCTGTCCAAACCCATGCATCTGCCGACCTGCGGATGCATCCTCCCAAGAGACATTCGGACGGCGATTGCATAGGTATGAACGCGGCTGCACGTCTCTATGTGTAAGTATGTAGGTATGTCTGTATGTAGGTAACTGAATGGCAGAGATAGGGAGCGAGCAGCTTATGCATGCGTGGTGGCGGTTCGCCGTGGCCCCCTTTTCCAGCGCTCGTCAACCAGCCGTTCCTCTCGCGCTCCCCCCGGGCCTGGCAAGGTGCTCCCATCATTGGCCGTAACGGGAAACCCAGTGGACCTGTCCCAATCTCGACGGAGCTGGGGGGGTCCCCGGTGGGCCGTTTGGGCTCAGCAGCAAGGTACGCGGTACGTAGGTACTACCGTAGGTGGTAGCAGACTGACAAGAGGGCTTGCGACATAGGTACTGGATACCTGGAGCACAGCGTGTCGGGTGTAGGCTGGGGTAGTGTGAAATGCCTGAATCATACCCAAATCATACCCAGATCACACCCAAATCTCACCTGGCGAGACTGGTTGTCACTTGCGGAACAGGTCTCAGGTACAACTGACCCCCCCCTTCCCCCCGTCCCCTAGCTTGCAGCCGGGTGCCGCTCCCCTGGCGCGCCGCCGGTGCTGTACCTGGCCGTACCCTGCAGCAGCTTGCACCTGCAGCAGCCTGGCTAGACGTTCGCGCCATGCAAACCCCCTGGGTTCTATTATTTCCCCGTCCCAGCCATGCGCTACTAGAGTAGTATGTACCTATCTAGCCTGCACCTATTGTGCCTATACTATGTACCTCGGTACCCTATGCATGTACATCCGTCCGTCCAGCCGTGGCATCACAACCATCACCGCCCTCCTCCTCCTCCTCCCCCTCTTTCTCCCCCGTCTTCGTGTCTCTCTGCCCGTCTGCCTGCCCGTCTGTCGTGAGGCCTGCCAGGTCGTGTCGGTCTCGGCTTCGTCGCACCCGTCACGATACACGACAACTCCACGATACACGCATCGCACACGGCAGTACAGTACGTGCGTATCTACACATTGCACGTTGCCTACAACCTGCCTGCGTGGACGCATGTACGCAGGTACCTGTGTTCCAGTCTGCCGCCTGCGAGCCCGCATTGACGTTCTTTTCTTCTTCTGTTTTTGTTTTTTGCGCTGCTTCGTCGGCCTCGTCGGGGCAAATCTCCCCTTTCTCGCCCTGTTGCCCGGCCCTGACGACCTTACAGGCAGCTCATCCACACCACCCCTACCACTCCCTTCCACCCCTGCACCCGGAGTTGCACCCCCAATACCCTCGCATCCTTTTCAACCACCAACCCTGCGTCCTCTGCCTCTCTCTCCCTCTGAGCGTCTCTCCTTTTCCCTCTTCTTGAGCGCCGTCTGCTCCTCCGCCGCCGTCCCTCACCTTCCACATTCTTTTCCTTCCCCCCTTCCCCCCCCCCACTTCGAGCAGTTGCAGCGAGCCTGTATTCTGTCCTCCTCTCCCGTTCTCATTGCGAGCTTTGTCGCCGAGGAGCTGTGGTAGTTGGCTTCTGGTCTCTCGATCGGGAGCAGCTTATACGCGGGAGGGTCGTCGACAGAATTGGCTGAGGAGCAAGTTCCGTCTGCTGATCGGGTCCGGATGTACAGCGGTTGATATCGTCCGGCTGTTCTGGCTTTACTAACGTGAAACGCCCCCGATCTACGCCCACAGGACGGCAACGCAGCAGCATAGCTAAAGGAGGTCGTATCCCACCATAGCACAACATGGCGCCCTCGCTCAACACGCACTCTTCTTTCACGCGTCCGCGTACCAGCGACCGTGATGCTCGCCCCAGCACCCGCGACCAGGGCGATACCAACCTGATCATCCCCAGCAGGACTTCCTCCCTCCACTCGCGCATCACCCAACCCATCCCTTCGACGCTCAATGTTAAGCCTCAGCAGCGAACGCCCAAGACGCTGACCCATGCCTACATGGTCTGCGGCGTGGGAAGGGAGCCGTCTCAATGGGTCAAGGCTCCCGCTCCGGCTCAGGGCAAGATAGGCCACATGAAGGGCGCCGTTGGCCAGTTTTGGCTCCCCGAGATTCTAGGAAGTAGCCCGCGTCTCGAACAAGACAACGAGGTCGCTCGTGCCTTGCATGCAGCCATGAGAGTAAGTCGATTTGGCGAACAGGAGCTCCGTCCTTCCTACCCCCTTACTAACCATCGACCCAGGCGTGCTTCCCTCACGATGTCGAGATATGTACTGGCCGCGCCCAGCCTCACTGTGTCCACCACGCCTTCGTTCTCCAGCAGGATTCGTCGCACACTCTGTACGGCATCTGTCTTCGTGTTTGGTCGAGGGCAGACGAGAAGAGGGCCGAGACGATCAGGGACCTCAGGAAACGCACCGAAACGGACTACTACGACAATGCTGACGAAACCTACTGGATCCCGTACTGCTTGTCGTTCCTCTCTCGATACCCCCTGTACAATCTCCTGGGCGACTACTTGCGAGGAATGTGGATTCACTGGAACAAGGCGACGAATCTCTTCCACGCCGAGGAAGTCTCGCGCATCCTGAGCTTCCCCGCCCCGAGGCTCAACGACTTGGTTCGGATCGACATGAAGGATTACGCGCTGTGCTACCAATTCCCGTCCTCGCCCACCGGATTTCAGAACTTCGCCATGTGGCCGCTGTGGACCTGTCTTTCGATTCCCAACATCGTTGGCGTTATCGAAGCTGCCATCTCCCCCACTCGACGAATCATCTTTGTCAGCCATTACCCCGCGATGCTGACCATGGCTGCCGAGACCGTTCGATTCTGCGTCCGCGTGTACGAATGGAGTGGTCTTTACGTTCCGGTTGTCCATGCCCGGCACGCGAAGGAACTGGTTGAGGAGCCCGGTCCGTATATCCTCGGTCTCACGGCCGAGTGCCGATCTCTGTTCACCGCACCGAACGACGCCCTAGTGATCGACCTCGATCGCAATTTCGTGCTTACTTCGAGCCCGCCCACCGCGCTCAATGCGAACCAACGCAATAAGTTCGTCACTCGGCTGACTCAGGCGTTGAATGGGGATGTTACGCCGTCGGGCGTGCCTCAACACCTACGATCAGCCTACGGAGGTGGGAAGCTGGTGCCTGCCGGCCAAATTATCGTCATGCGTGGAGAGGTAGAGTCTATCCAGGACCCCGAGTGGTGGAACCAGGACGCGGTCATGTCCGTGATGGACCACATCTGCGAGAAAATGGTATGTATTCTTTGTCTATCTGCTCGTTCCTTGTTAGCGGTACTAACCATTTGACGTAGGGTCGCAACACTGGATTGAAGGCCGTTTTCGGTGGTTCCGTCAAGAAACCGCTGATGACTAAGGTTTCGATGAGACATCTGAACGAGATCGTAAGGGAGCGGAACCAGTACTCTCGGGACGCCTTAGAAGCGTGGCAAGACTTCATCAACCTTAAGGGCCGTATGGATACGGAACTCAGCAAGGTTACGAAGCGAAACAACTACCTCGTCGAGGAGCTGGAAAGCTGGAAGCAGCAGGTAAACCCACCATTTCTCCCTCTTTTATAACTATTGCACGATGCTGACATGGGTTACAGTTCCTCAAATTCCAGGCCTTTGCCGAGCAGCTCACGAAGGAGACCCAGGATCTTAAGGCGAAGATCGAGAACCACAAGCGGGAGAACCGCAGACTCGGCGGTCTCATCGACCAGCAGAAGGACGATAATTCCCGCCTCACTGTCCGCCTTTCCGGCACCGAGAAGCAGCGAGACGACGCCCTCGAGGCCCTCGTCCTCCAGCAGGAGATCGCCGAGGAACTCGAGCGGGAACGCAAGCGAAACAAGAAGGAGTTGGCGGCACTCCAGCACACGAATGTCACCATTGCACGACAGCGTGATGAGGCGCGCCGCGTGGTCCTACACCTGCGCAGCCTGATCGGCGGCCAATCCCACCACATGGAGCACTTGGTTCAGTCATTGACGACGCGTGAGGACTTGGCTAGCGAGATCGAGGAGGGCTTCGAGGAGGAAGATGAGAATGATGACAGTAAGTTTTTCTCCCTCCTATCGACGTGAAGGAGTCGCTGACGGGTGTGATTTTCCAAGACCACGGAATGAAAAGCTCCAGCCGGGCTAGCCAGCGTCACTCCACGGCTAGCTTCCATGACGTGGCGGACCGTCACCTCAAGGATAAGACGGACGCCATCTCTCACATTATTCGGAATATTGCAGAGCAATGCCAAGCGGCCGTCGAGGGCCTTCAGCTCGCCCAAGACGCCGAGCTGGAGTCGTTGAGATCTGCTCGCCGGGCTAGCAATATATCAACTGTCGCTAGTGAGGATGGCCATGATCACTCGGCAGCCACCTCCGAGGTTGGCGACGACAGCCTCCTCCACCCTTCGGGGCGTGTCTCCAGCATCCCCCCCACACCGGACTTGATCCCCAACCGAAGCAGCACCGCCCTATCCATGGCGTCGACGATGACCACCCCAGAGCGGGCTAGCCAGCAGTACAGCATGCACAACGATATCCCCACTAAGATCGTCGAGGACGACGAGGACTTGGCGGAGCGAAGCGAGAGCGATGCTATCTCTCACGAGCCTGGCACGGTCGGTAAGTCCGCCGAGGGGCTCATTCACCGTCGGTCTGGCGCCAGAATAAGCGCTCTCGGTGGGGCCCGGTGACGGTTTGCCCTTTAGTAGATAGTTGCATGGACGGAGTCGGTGGTGGTATGTTTCGCTATGTTTAACCTCTGGAGAGAATTTGGGTTCGGGACGACGCGGTTCCTCCTCCCCCTCGGCCCCAGATCCCGCTCGCGTACGGACTCTTTTATTTATACCTCTGGCTGGAAGTCCCTATGGATTAGCACGGCGTTCTACTCTACGAAGAGTTTCCCTGGTTCTCATCCCTCCCCCCCTTTCCCTCCCCCCTCTCCCTTAACTTTTCTTTATCCCTTCGCAAAACCTTTATCGCCCGTCGGCTCTGCTCTTAATTTTCTTTTCTTCTCCAGAGGCACCGGAAGCGACTCGGGGTGTGGAGGGAGAGAGAGTCGGGTTGGTTCGGCACCGGCAGAGAAGGAGCCTACCCCGGTTAACGCTGTTCGGTGATGTGTGAGCGCGTGGTGGAAAAAGGCGTGGCGAAAATGCGTCACTCCCTCGTCTCTTTTGTGTGTGGCAGTGGGCGGTTTGTGGTGGTCGTATGCGGGCTGTCGGTTGAGGACCTTTCTCGTCCACAGTGCCGGGCTGGGAAGGCCTCGTTTCCTGTCTGTAATTACTGCTATTTACGACCCCTGGTCTACGACGCACGGGGCAAATAGGAGCTACTTTGAACAAACCCTCCCTCCCAGGGGCCCTTCGTACGTAGTCTTTTTGTTCTCCGACTATTGACGGCGGCCTCACGGAGGCTGGCTTTTTCGGTATGGGTGTGTCGTTTGACTTGTATTACACTTTAGCATCAGCGGCATTTTTCTCAGCGGGGGACGGATGGGCAGGATGGGGAGAGACAGGTCCCTGAGGTTTTATGGCAGCGGAACTCTCTATCTATCTATCATCAGCTTTCAATCCAAGCGACGACTAGTTTTATATCCTTTTAGTATTCCGCCTCGCCTTTATTTCATGTATTCCCCCCTGCCATTTCCGACTCGCGTGTACGCATACACACTTATCTCCTCCCGTCAGCTCTCAGCAGACAAAGGCGAGAGCAGTGCCTTCAGCCACGCCTGTCCAAGTCGCTCACACCCCCGGGTACTGTTGCTCTCCCTCCCTCTCCCTCTCTCAGCTAACACACCCGAAACACGACGATCACACGGCCGCAAGGCGGCATCTTCCGCCGCAGGCGCTGCCTGCCGCGAGAGCTAGCTGCGCCCCGCCGTCTTCGCGCGGCGCGCCCGACGAGGCGGCGCGGGCAGAGAGCCGAGCAAGGAAGATGCCCCCCCCCCCCCCCCCCGAGGCCACGCACAGCGCAGCGCGCGCCGCCGTCTGCGCCCAAGGGCGGGCTCCGGACCGGGAGAGCGTTCGGGCCTGCCGGAGAGGCCTCGGACCGGCTGGGCAAACATAGCTGCGCCCCAATGCCGCGGGTCCTAGGTCTCCAAAACGTGGCGGTACAGACGCGCGGGCTGCGCAAGGCGTGGAGGCGCGCCCTGGTTCCTCACTCTGGGCCCGGGACGCCGCGCTGTGGGAGCGGCTGCTGCGGGCGAATACCCGAGGTCCCGCTGGGATGCGGTCAGCTCGTCCCACGGCTTTAGCCAGCGCGCGGGTGCGTGTTTGGCCAGCCGGAGCGGTCAGGCCTCGCGCTGCGGTCTTAGTAGTAGACGCGCGCTGTTGGTCGGGGCAGGTGGTCTTCTGGCCTTCGGGGGAGACGGGTAGAGAGATTGCGTTACAAGAGAGCGGAACCTGAAATGTATTCCTTACATAGAGGAAAACCTGAACCGTAGCAGTACACATAGCCTTGTCCCCACTCCACCCCTATCCATACAACCCCCGGATTAACGCCCATCCCTCTAATCCATCCCTCTCTACCTGTTAGCCCCTACTCCTCCGCCCCCTCCTCCAGCTCCGCCCACTCCCCGACCCCCAACTTATCAAACAGCTCCGCCATGAAGGTCGGCTCGCGGTCGCGGAAGCGCCGGCCCTCGTCCGCCGAGCGCGACGCGACGTAGACGAGGCCGGGCGCGCCGAGCGCGTCGCGGCCCGCGGCGCGGCGGAACGTGCAGGCCGGGCGTAGGGCGCAGACGGGCACGCCGTCGCCGCTCCTCGCCAGCGCGTCCTCCGCCGACAGATCGCGCAGCTCGAAGCGGTCCGGGTGCGCGCGCAGCGCCGCGGCGCCCGCCGGCCCGCCCGCGAACTCGGGGAACGCGAACGTCGCGCGGCCCAGCGTCGCCTCGGACGCGTGCAGCCGCTCGCGCAGCCGCAGCGCCGGCGCCACCACCGTGTCGCGCAGCTCGCGCGCCGCCGCCGCGCCCGCCGCCCGCCGCTGCGGCGCTCGCTGCCGCCGCTGCGGCGCCGCCAGCGCCGCCGCGTACGGGAAGCGCATCAGCGCCGCGAGCTCGCGCGTCAGCTGCGCGACGCGCGCGGCCCGCGCGGCCGCGTACTCGGGCCGCCGCGTCGGGTCCGCGCCGTGGCCGGCGCGCTCGAGGTCCGCCGCCGCCAGCTCCCACCACAGCGGGCTGTCGCTCTCGCCCCACGGCGGCGGCTCGACCCCGGGCTCGGCGCGCACCTCCTCCGGGAACACGACGCCGACGAGCGGCGCCACGAGCACCTCGTCGTGCAGCCAGCGCGCCGCCAGCGCCACCAGCACGTCCTCGTCGCGGCCCTCGAAGCGCGCGAGCGCCGCCACGTCGCGGTGGCGCGCCATGCGCACCGCGAGGTTCGCGGCGCTGCGGCTGCGGCCCGCTGCCGCGACCGGCAGCCGCGTCGTCGTCAGCTCCTCGCGGTCGACGAACGCCGCCTCGAGCCACTTGAAGATCCAGTTGTCGAGCGCCGTGAACAGCGCGGCGTATGCCTGCGGGCGGTGAGCGAGCGGCTCAGCGGGGCGGGAAGGGGGGCGTCGGGACGGCCGCATAGAGAAAGCCTCCAGACAGCCGGAAGAGACTTACTTCGTGGAACTCGGCAGCGCCGATCGGGTCCGCCGGCACGTAGGGGCTTGCGGGCCCGTCTCGCTCGCCGCCGGGGCTCTGGCTGAGGGCGATCTGGTGCTGGACGGTGACGTCAGCGAGGTCGCGGCGCAGGCGCGCGATCTCGTCCTCGTGCTGGCGCCGCAGCTTGTCGTCCGCTCTCGCGCGGGCCTCGAGGTCCTCGATTTGCACCTGTCGCGACCGGTGCAGCCGCTCGATCTGCCGCCGCTGCCGCCGGGTCCGCGACTGCTCCTGCTCCAGTACTTTGAGTAGTGACGGCAACGCCTTGTACGGCGCCAGCGGCAGCGCGCCGTCGTCGTCGCCGCTTTTGCTGTCGCGCCTCTCTGTGCCCGACATGTTTCTCTTCTCGTTTTCTTTTGTCGTCTCCAGGGCCTTCTCTCGTGTGCGACACAGTCCGGTGGTAATGCGGACGGGGGGAGGGGGGGGGGTACGACGAGTTGTGGACCAGTGGGTGTGTGTGCGATGTGGTTTCGTTTGTCTCGCCAGTCAGGTTAACGAGAGGGGGAAATCGAGGTTTCACTGATTTATTCGTAAGAATATCCGCCTCTTTTTCCTTCTTCCGTAGACAGCACCAGTCGCTCTAAGTCCATGTCAATAGCATTGACCGAAAGCGTTGTGGCGCTTTACGATATAAGGGTATTTATACACATTGTGGCATTCCGTGAAAGCGCGAGCTAGATCATTCCTAGAGAGCAGCACGCCGACTCATTCACACAAAGCCGGCTCGACTTGCGCTAGATGCCGTTTCCGAACAGCACAAAGGCTCCAGGCGTAAGCCTGCTTTTGTTCCGGTACTTTGGAACTTGCTCGCTGACAGGAGAGACAGGGTGGGCCTAAACCGCGACATTTTATATTGGCATAGTCTGAACGCTGGAAAGTCTCGGGCTTGGTTGGCTTGGGGTTGCTCTTCGCGTTGGCGCTGATGCCAGCATCTACCCACGATAAGTCAGGTGTAGGTATTACCTCCCTTATCTGCCTTCGCTCACATGGCGATGTGCGCCCGCTTTGGCCCCCCCCCCCCCACGCGACCCGTGAGGGTTATATGAATGATTCCTTGCCAGAGGAATTATCCATATTCGTCTCGTGTGCGTGAACCCAAGTACTCATAGATTAAATGGGCCCTGTTGCATAGGCAATTTTTGAGACAGTGAAATTTAATTTGGCATCGTTTGGACAAAATAAGACCACCTAGCTGGACTGGGCGTGCGAGCCCGAGGCGACGACTTCTTCCCGAGCTAAGAGGCTGGCGGCAGAGGCCAGACTGCGTCCCACAGGCTATTGTCAGTGGAGCGAGTGTCGACGAAGCTCGGCGCGAAAGATTCCAGACCTCTATGCGTTTACATGGACGAGAGTAGAATGTCTGCCAATCTGCTCGCGTTGGAGTTGTCATTGCTCAGCGCCCCTACACGTGCGCGTGGGTTATCATGGTGAGATCGTGACGATAGGAAGAGCGAGAGCCGCCAAAGGAGAAGAGACAAGAAAGCCCACGTATTAAGTCGAAGGTTGAATTTACCCTGATCCTGCCGGGGGGCGGTTGCGACATTCCAGCGGCTGTCCATGGGATAGAGATCCGAAAGGAACGGTAAGATTACTGGCTACGTGGCATATCAGCCTATTTAAGCCCTCCTCATTCGCTCGCTCGCTCTGCACCCCAGACTGCTCCCAAGTCGCATCTCTCTCTCCGAGCAATACTAATCTGAGTTAATGGGCAGCTGTCTTGACACGCGCGTGATCCTACGGGAAGGAGAAATAGGGCCCGGCGAGGAGGCCGATGTGCTTCCTCTGAGTAGACAACGTGCGATTGGGGGAATATATTGGGCGTGAGGGGGAACTGTACCCGTGGTAATGAGGCCGTAGTGGTAATATATCTTGTCTTGTCCACCTGCTGGAGTGATGTCTGTTAGTATGTCCGTGAGATTACCTTCGCAATTCCGCATAGCTCCCCAGGCTGCAATCCGTGGCACCCAGTTGCTCGTCGACGAAGCTCAATTACGGATCAATTGCAGAGATGCGGTGTTCAAGGGCAGCTTTTCCGTGGCTAGCCACAGCGGCGGCGGCTTCTGTGATCGCGAAGCCCCCCAGTCCCGGGGCAGATGGGAAATACACCATATCTGCGCCAGGAATAAAAGCACAGGTTCGGCGACGACGGCCCGTTGAAGAAATAGAAGAGGGATGCAGAAGCTACGCTAACGACTGTGCGCTATGTAGTTCATTCCGTACGGCGCCACGCTCACCAATCTCTTCGTCAAGGACAAGGACGGGAACGATGTCGACGTGGTACTCGGATACGAAGACATCAACTACTACCGTAACCCGCCCTACCCCTCCAGACGCTCGCCGTACGCCTTCGCAGGAGGCAGAGAAAGGGACTTGACTGACTAACCTGCCGTGCTTTAAGCTGAGGACCCGGGACACCCCGTATATAACAGCATCCCCGGTCGCTACGTGAATCGCATCGGGAAAGGCAAGTACGAGATCGACGGCAAGACGTACACGACGCAGCTGAATGACGGGAGCAACACCCTGCACAGCGGCACGAACAATTGGTCGTACCGCGTGTGGAGCGTGGCCGCCGCCACCGACAACTCCATCACCTTCGAGATCCGAGACGAGTCGAACTCGTCCCAGGGCATGCTCGGCCTCGTCAACAGCAAGGTCACATACAGCGTCCGCGATAGCACGTGGGATATCAAGATCGAGGCGGCATCGCCCGAGCAGAAGACTCGTACGTTTCCGCCTCCTCTTCCGTCGTGGTTTGTTCTGGCAGCTGGTACCTGCGTGATCCTGAGACTGACTTGACCGGTTGAAGCGCTCATGCTGACCCAGCATACCTACTTCAACCTGGATGCGTACAGGAACCCGGACCAGGTCAAGATCTGGAACCACACGTTGTACATGCCCTACTCGAAGCGGTATCTGGTCGCGGACGACGCCGCGCTCCCGACCGGCAGGATCGCGACGGCGGCGCCTGACAGCATCAACGACTTCGCGAGCCGCGAGGGCCTGTTCCTGGGCCACGCCCAGAACGACCCGAGATTTGCTGGGAATTGCGGCGCGGGCGGCGCCTGCGAGGGGTACAACGGCTATTGGCTCATCGACGACGCGCCCAAGGATGCCGTCGTCGTTTCCCTCGCCAGCGAGTTTTCCGGGATTACCGCCGACCTGCGCACCGACCAGTCAGGCGTCGTGATCTACTCCTGCAACTGGATGGATGGCTCGGCCAGCCTCAAGAAAACCCAAGGCACCGCTGCCAACAGCAAGGTAGTCAGGAGCTCCTGCGTCGCCATCGAAGCCCATGACTACGTCGACGGTATCAACCAGTAAGACATCCCCACCGGCTTTTTTTCTTTTTTTTTCTTTTTTGCTTAGTTGCCGAGTCGAAGGACAGCGCACAACTGCATGTCGAATACCGAAAGCTGACCAGCGTGTACGAATAGCCCTGAGTGGGGACGTGTCGACAAGCAAATTATCGGCCCAGGACAGACGTACGCGTGGAAAAGCTCTTGGACTTTTAGGAATCTCTGAAAAGGTCTCGTGGCGGGATTTTCAGAGCCGGGACATCGAGACCGGAAGGGAGGGGGGGAGGGCGAGAGCAAGGCAGAGGAGAGAGAGAGAGAGACGGAGGAGAGAGAGAGAGAGACGGAGGAGACGAGGGGATGGGAGGGGAGAATGGGGGACGGAGGGGGGAGGGATCATGGGGGGAGGGGTGTGCTGAGAGGCCTGGGGCTTGACCGCCCTGAAGCCCCGCACCGTATATAGCTCGAAATTGCCACTTTTCTTGTCTTGCGGATTGCATAAGGTATTGCTGGCGGCGGAGAGGGGCAGGGGGGGAACTAGGCAAGGCTCTGGTCCCTAGATCAGTCCTCTGGCAATTCGTCATCCGTGCCGACATGGAATATCTTGCGCAGGTTGGCGTACCTTGGGAGTCAGCTGTTGGTCAAGGCAACAATCAACATCCCCATCTGTATCGTGCTAGATGCGGCGGAGGCTGAATGATGAGGTGTGTGGTCCAAGGGCGAAGAATACGCGGATCAGCATAACGAATGAAGGAGGTGTCGACCACATACATACCTATGGATGCATGCAGACACAGGGTGGGATCAGGAAGGCTAGTTGACATGCATAGGAGGAGGGAGTGAGCGTTACTGCTGCATGCTGACCCAGGGTGGCCTTATCCCAGCAGGCAGGCGGGAGTTGGGTATTGCGCCCAATCTACGGACAGCATGGTGTGCCTGGTCTGCCTGAATATTCCGCACCCTTCACCCTGAGCGGCGGGAGGGAGGGCTGGGTGTGGCTATTCCCACCCCCCTGCCCCCCCTTCACCATCGAGAGTAGCACGAATTCACACTCGGCAAAGATGGCGTTCAACAAATCCATCCTCCCGCTGACGAAAATTTCTCCACCGCAAATCGGATTTAGGGGTCCTTGGTGTCTGCCATGCAACATCCCTGTCGGTATTGCATGTAGGTGCTGCCACCATCTGGGGCCAGGGGCCGTCGAGTTGCGTCCACCATTCCCACACTCTGATCACTGTTAGCCGATGACGTACCTATGCAAACACGTCCTGCCGGCGAAATCTTTTCCCAGAACGCGCAGTCCGGAGACGAGTTGAGAGGTCTAGACTCCGAAGTTCCCTTGCTCTGATATCAGTAGCACAGACCGGCGATTTCGAAGATGCATCGCTCTCGTTCCAGACCCGAGGGACGAAGAGAGGCTGTACCGCCCGTCAAGCGCACCGTCAGCGCCGGTCGACGGGATGCCTCTCCATTCCTGGTCTACGGATAGCTTCTAGACCACGGTCCAAGGCTACGTCATCCCTCTGGGACGGTACTGAATGCGTCACGACGCTCCTTCCAGCGTTAGACGTCATTATCGTTCGGTGAGCAGAGTCGATGTCGAAGGGTTGGTTCCTACTTTCGCCGGGGGAGGGGGGGGGAGCTCGGGACTTGGCGGCCAGGTGACTACGGCCTGTGAAGCGTGGCTCCTATCTCCGTCCACGAAAGCCCTCATATCCTCATATCTCGTAGTATTATAGCTGGCTGTATCGAATCTATAATCCTGCGTGGAACCAGGAAAAGAAGTTATGATCGACTTTCAGTCGTGGTCACGAGGGGCAGACGGCCAGGCTCCAAAGGGAAGGGGTTCGGGTCACGATACCGCGTCCTGCCCGACCGGTTAGTCTTCTTCGAGCGCACACCTAGTCCGCGCCCGCCCGTCTAGATGGTGTCAGATAGAGGTACAGGACCAGAGATAGATCAGGCCATATTGTCGTAGTCTGCCCGGCTCGGTTCGCCGTCGCGTGTTTCTAAATAGGGAGGGGATCAGCGGTGATGCTGTGGGGGCCAACCCAGAATCGGGCGGGCCCTGAGAGCCTCAGCTGCAGCCCATCCTCAGTCTGGCAGAGTAACTACAGCACGAGCTTAACGTCTTCAGCCGGGATCGGTGGATATCGTTCCAATTACATCATGTTTCGCGTCGTCGAAGGTCGGTATTCCGATATTTTCCAGGCGTGCTAGTGCGCGTTGCCCATTGTGGGTTCCGCCCACCAGACGGGATGCGAGTGGATGCAAGTCAGACAGATCGTGAGAAAGCAACTGGGAGGGACCACCACAACACCTGCGTCGAGCGAGGTGGGCGAGCGAGATGGCACCTTGTACTTCGAAGTCGAACCCAATCTCTCCCACCTTAACCCCCCCTTCTTCCCCCTTCGGCCTGTATAAATCGTTGCGCTTGTCCACCGTTTTTTTTTCCTGCTCTTGACCCGAGTATTCACTCGACAGCTCGAGCACACGCCGATCGTGGAACCTTTCTCTTGGTCGAAGTCTTCTAAGTTCACTGCGTCGCGGCCATATTTGGTCTCGTCCTCGGCATCTTTCTTCCCTGCTCTTGTTGTTCTTGTTCCCGGCCTTGCCCTTGGGCCTGCTGCTGCTTTCTCCGACGGACGGGAGAAGAGGAGAAGAAGAACAGAAGGGGGAGACTCGATAGGATCGCACTATCGATTTTGCCCCTCTGTACCCACCATCCAAGCACCCCGCTCCTCCCCGCGATAGCGTATTGCGCAGGGCACCTCCCTTCTCGGCCGACACACACCTTAGCTACCTACGGTACCTACCTACATTGGGTACCTGAGGCACCCCTCTAGTCTCCTATCTTATCTACCCCACAGCCGCCCATTCACACACACACACACCCCCGTCCTCCTTGGCCGCCCTACCAGCGGATGCAGCCGGGCACTCTAGACTGAGGACCTGAATTCGCTTGGATTCGTGCGGCACTAAGCCTCTTGGGGGAAGACACCATGGCGAGCAACGGCCAAGGCTCTGGCTCAGCACGCGCTGTGCACTATCTACAGTGAGTCGGATGTGTCTATTCTTGTTCTATCAGTTAGTTCTTCATCGCGGCAGTGGACGGCTTCTGGGAGGCGACGCAGCTTGGAAAGTCTTCCTGTTACACATGTCTATACCTACCTATATCTCCCAGTTTGATGGTATTCGCTTCGCCAGCCTAACACTCCTCTGCTCCAGCCATCCAGGGGCCGCTCCCGAGCACCGAGCCCAGAAGCCCCAGATCAGCGCCCCCACCGACATCGGCTACAGCATGCACCGCTTTCTGCACCCCGAGCACCACGTCGACGATCGGTACCTGCGATCGCCCCCAGGCTCGACACCGCTCACCGAGGACCAGTCCCGCGCGCGCATCGCGGGCATCCTCGATTCCTTGGCGCTGGACAGCGTGCTACGGCCTGCTTGAAACTTGGATCGGTCCGTCTCCAGGCCTCGTCGAAGCATGTATTCTATTGTGTATCTATCGTCCCCGTCGGACGACGGCTGGGTGTCGCGCCTCGCACAGCGCGGCAGCGCCGGCTATCTCTAGTGAGTCGTCTTGCCCGATCTGGGCCCGCACACCACGCTTTGCCGGGTCCTAGGAAGTATTTGCTGACTCGAATGGCAGCTTGGCATGTCGCATAAGGCATGTGCGGAGGAATGGATAAATATAGTCTCGTCGGGTTACGCGGGTTTCTTGTGTTTGCATTTTCAGCGCCGTTTCGGGGGAATTAGGTGCATCGGGAGGATTCTTCTCACTGCTTATGCGGGTTCTCTATTGGCATAGCATCTTTGTATCTTTTTTCCTTTTATCTTTTTTTTTTTTTGCAGAAAATTTTTTTTTTTTTTGCAGATTTTTGCAGATTTTTGCAGATTTTCTCCTCTACATTTTATCACCCTGGCATAGGCATCGTCCAATCTCATCCTCATGTACGCAAGTAACTCTGGCACAACGGGACATCATCATATTTTTTTCTTGAGCCCAAGACGTACCTACCTAAGGAATCGAGTCTAGGTAGGTCGTTGTCTGCCTGGGGTACCTCTCACACACCTGCCTCTACTTGCAATACCTCCTAAGCTACCTTGGGTACCTGTACCACGGGAGGTTTAGTATAGGTACCTACCTGCCTAAGGCAGGGCAACTAGACGACCGTAGCCCATATTCTGTAGGTACCCTGTACCTGACTACGGCTGCTCTGCCGTGGGTACCTGCAACTGCTAGCGAGGCGTCTAGCGAGGCGTCTAGCGAGGGGACACACGGCCGCCGGCCCGCTGGGGTGGCCTGCCTGTTTAGGGCTAGCTCGGGTAGCTGTGCCGCCGATTCGCAAGTCAGCCGGTGAGGCACGTTTTCTTTCGGCGCACCCTCTCTCGTCGACGCCGGCGGTCAGACGATGACGTACGGGTGCCCAACGCATTCTATGAGGTACCCCAGGTACGTTAGGTACCTAGGTAGGTATGTACACATAGGTTCCCATCTCGGTACTTACCTCTAATGCAATGTGGCCGCCCGCAGATAATTCTGCCGCCAAGGAGAAAGAAAGTCGCAGTTCGTCCGTGCAGCGGCATGGCTAATGCAGGCCGTGTTATGCACTCCTTAGGTAAGGTATGCATGCATCTGCCTGCTACGTGGTACCTACATACATCTCAGGGAGCGTGGACTTGGTGGGCTGCCGCCGTGCACCCAACGCCACGCCACGCCGATGCGACATCTCCTCCATCCCGCAGCCGCGCCGCCCGCTCTGCGTTGTCGCGCATTACGCATACGCCAGCACGCCCTCTTCTCCCCTCGCGCGGACGAACCACACCCTGGGTCTAGAGACATGGCCCGCCAGTTAGAGCTGCGCGCGAACGACGCCAAGGGGCACACCCTCGTCGGTCTCGAAGTCCTGGGCATCTTCGCCCCGTACCTCCGCCCCGACAGCACCGCCTCCGCCGCCTCCGCCGCCTCCGCCATATCCAGCTTCACGCTCGCGCAGACCGACAGCGGCCGGTCCCTCGACGACGGCTTCCTCTTCGGCCTGTGGGACAGCGTCGTCGGCGTCGCCGAGCAGGTCCCCCATGACCACCCCGCCCAGGACCGCGTCGTGAGCGTCCTGCGGGAGCTGACCCTGCTGCCGGACACCGGGGTCGCCGTGTGGGATGTAAGTCCCCCCTCCCCGACATGTGTCCCCGCTGCCGCACGCCTCTCTGTCTTTTCTGGTGCCGCGCGCTGACTGCGTCGGTTCTGGGAATGCTGTAAGCAGGCCCGCCTCTGGGCCGATCTGCCTGTGCTCGGCGCCGCCCTCCGCGAGCGCCTGAACGGGCGCGAGCCGTCCGCCGACGCGGCCGAGCAGGCGCGCGCCGACGTCGCCTGGGTGCGCTTCCACGCCTTCTCGGCGCGGCTCGTCGGCGCCGGCGTCGCGCGCCTCGAGAACCAGGCCATCTGGATGCTGCGGGACGCGCTCGAGGAAGAGGGCGACGCGGCGGCCCCCGCCACCGCCACCGCCACCACCCTCAACCGCGACCTTGCCGCTGCCGCTGTCTACATCGAGTACGCGGGCCCGATCCTGGTCGAGGCGCTCGCCGCCGGCCCCCCGCCGCCGCTGACCGACGAGCGCCGCCGTGTGCTGCGCGGCGGCTCGCTGCTCCGCGGCGTGGCCGGCTTGACCCGCGACCGGTGGGACTTCTGGCGCAGGCGCTTCCGCGAGCAGGCGCCCAAGGCGACGTCTGAGGAGGCGAGGGCTATGGCCCTGCGCGCCGCGAGGTTGATGGATGTTTGGAGCGAGACGAGGCTGCAGCGGTCCGCGTAGGAGGCGTTGGCACGGGTCTAGCGTAAGGAGATAACAGAGCGTGCCAGCATCCCAGGAGTGTTACTATAATAGCCTTGGTGCTGTGCTGGGTTAGCGTGCCGAGAATCTGGCGGGGGGTCTATAGCGCAGTGGGCACAGCAGCTAGTAAGTAATCATTTGAGATTCGCTTCTATGCTGTACGGCTGGCACGAATCGTCAGTAAGGTATTGCTGTGCAGCTGATGGCGCTGGTCACCGGCGGCACCGACGCGTTTGTGACGTCCGCCCCTCCCCCTTTCTAGGGGGCGGGGGGGGGGTCAGTGAAGTACGTGATGCCGTGGTCAGTACACCCTACCATCGTTACGTTAACCTCTGGAAACATGGAAGGTGGCTGGCTCGAGTCCATGCTAGGCTGTTGTTCCATCCCCTACATGCATACCTAGGTAGGCTTATAAACTTCCTACTGCCTGTTGAAACGCGTCGCATCGCTTTGCCCCCTCGAAGATACCGCGGTCAGGAAGTACTTTCTATCTAGATCCTACGACGTTCCACTGTGACACAGTATTCTTTGCGTAAGCATATTTCCAAGCCCTTGACTGATATCTTAACCCCTCTTGGGTGGACGCGCGCTTTTCTCCAGTTATTGATTCATGTCTAATAGGTATATGGACGCTGCACTATTAAGGCTTATCAATAGCTACCGTCGCTGAGCCTGCGAACACACATAACCAAGCCCTTCACACTCACTCCAGGCCGAACTCCACAGGCTACACCTTGTGTTACCATGCGTGCTGAAAACCCAAGGACATCCCTCCCGCATAATATTATTTCTGAAAATGAGAAAGACTGTTGAGGGATAGCTCAGGTTATATATGAAGAGACGCACCCGCATGTATAATAGAGGCTACATCAAGGTGTATCGGCGTGGTTACCTTAGCACAGAAGAATCCGTGTTACCCCTTAACCTGTATGCAGTATATATTAGGATGAAAAACGAGCTGGTCGAGTATAGTAACATCCCTAACCCGGTGGTTATACATTACCGCCGTATTTAATACCACGGTCCTTTTTGTGCCGCCGATACCTGGTAAGAGCAGAGAAGCCAGGAGACCAGCAAGCTTTCTACTGTTTAATACTAATACGTTTCGTAATATCCCTTCCATTTCGGACTATGGCTTAATTATATTTTAAATACGCATGTTCTATCCATGGTATCTGCTATGCACAATTCGTTATGGTTGCCGTCACTTCTCATATTTCTCCCATATTAAGTGCAAGACTCGACCGCACATGATGCAGCACAGCTAGGTGTGATGAACTCAACAGGAGACCTATGGACTTTGTAGGGCAGTCTACAAAAGTACATAAGAGTGGCCGGTCTTCTGGGCGTATCCACGCACCCTCATGTCTATATACACAACTGTATATGTCTTATTGACTATACCCCCGCGAGCACAGGCCTGTAAACATCCTGATCTTCTCTCGAGTTTGTGATCATTTCCACGTCATTAGTCGTGTCTTTATCCCCCCCTTTCCTCCGTCCATCTTTTTGCGCCCTGCAGTGCGTACCTACACACGTTGGATACCCGTCTCAGTATTACGGGGGATTCGGCATCAGGTTCAAGTTTGCCTCACAGGTATTGACGTTATCCCTTTTGTATAGTTATGCCCCAACCCTTCTCCGTGTTAGTTCACTCCGTTGAGATTCATCGCTAGGATGTCGCATACACAGGTGCACTCTGGGCGCAGCCTCCCACCATCCAGAGATACGGCCAACAAAGGTCGATAGAAAAAAAAACACGAAATTTCTTCTCATTGCGTTAAGCGGCCACATCTCATGTCCGTGATGGGATATAAATTCTAATGTTGCTGCTTCCCCTTACCGCTTGCTCGTGTACCATGGCCAAATGGATATCTTATTCATTATAAATGTAGCGTTTTTAAAATGGGATAAACGCGAACCACACCATGAATGTGCAGAACCCGTATAGTATCTTTTTCCTCAGAGGCAAGCCCGACAGAAAAATGTTTCGCGGGTCGTAGCCGCAGTTCAATAAGCTGTATCCGACTAAGTCTAGAATGCGGAAGATCCTGCCGGCGGAGGAAATGATGGTTTTAGTATTGCAAGGTTTTTTTTGGGTGGGGGGAGCATTTGGGTGCCTGTATCTAGGAAAGGGGTGTGGACACTTACAGGTTAATTAAAAAGACGCCGAAACCAAATTTGGGGAGCGGGCCGCCTTGGTTACTCTCTGAAATGACGGTTTCACGCGCCGTGTAGGTGACGGGAGGGATGCGGATGATGGTGATTATCAGCTCGGTTGCGAGGGCTTGTATGTATGTGCGATCGTTGCTAGTGCTGATGCGGATGAAAAACACACACAAGGCAACCATCGCTAGACCAAAGTCGATCTAGAAATTTTGAGGACATTAGACGGCGAACACGCGAGAGAGGCAAAGGGGCGAAATCAGGGGAGGGAGGACGGCAGGGCCGTACCGTGGCGGGTATCAGCACTGTTGGCAGGCTTCGGTAGGTGGTCCAAGCGAGGACGAGGGCCAGCATGCCAAGGCCAAACTGGATGATGGCCATGATCAGCCACATGAGGAGGACGACGAGCCGCCTCACCCGGCAAGGGGCGTGCATCTGGTTGGAGCGGTTGCCGGCGGAGCTGTTGTGGACCGGCCAGGTGCAAAATTGGCACACGTAGCCGTAGTCGCCGTTGACCATCTCTACGAGCGGCCAATGCTTGCGCATGCTGTCTTGGTTGGGGCGGGCGCGCCAGCAGCGGAAGCAGATGGACCGCCACGGGTGGCTTTCACGCGTCGTATCCACCATCAAGCGATCCAGCCCCGGCATACACAGGCAGTCGACGCAGCAGCTCCTGAGGTCGGGGTCTGGCTGGCCATCGACGATGAATTGCCTGCAGATGACCTCGGCGGTGATGATCTGGCGGTACAGAGCGCTGGTCTGTCGCAGCGCCACCAGGCTCACCAGGTCGAGCTGCGAGATGACGAGGAACTGGAGCTCGAGGGGCAGCGAGGCCAGCCCGATCCCTCCCGCGCTCTTGATGCGCGACGGCATCGCGGGGAAGCGGTGATTGCGCTCTGCGCCCCGGCCGCGCCATAGACTCGTACGGTGGCTGCTTCGGTGGTGGTTGCCGGCGTTGGCCAGCTCGATATCGTGAGATGCACACATGGCGTAATGAGCGACGCAGCGAGCAGACGCAGCAAGGCTGGAGGGGGGGGCGGAGAGCGAGAGAGGTTACTCATGGAGTGCATGGAGCGAAGAAAGAGGAGGAATTGGGCATCTTTGACGGCCTGGTCGTCGAAGAGAGACAGGATACGGGGAGAAGGTGAGGTGGTGGTATTGAGATGCGAGAAGACGGCCACGGGGGCGAGGTGTATTGGGACGCTGGGGGGACGGGCTGGCAGGCCTGTATGTATGTAAGGTATGGCGAGTCCGGAAGAGAGGCACGGATGGATGTGTGTATGTAAGAAGAGGGTCGATCGTGTGGAATTGCGACCGACTGCTGCTGGGACGCCAAGTATGACGGTTGAAGAAATTCGCTGGACAGATCGGTTTCCCGGCACACAGCCCTCTGCGCTAGCCCGGCTGTCCGGCACAGGCCGAAACCGTGCGTAGAGCCGTGTAAATTACAGTGTAAGACACCAGTCTACACAGCACATGCTGCCGTTGTCCGTGTCGACGCAGGCCTGGACTGGCTCCTTATAAACGGGACGAGGTTGCGGGATTCGGTCGGGACGCCAGGCAAGTTGTTGTTGGCGAATTCGCGACGACGGGTAGATACAGCAGTAGGGTCCAAGACAGCCGACAAAAGCTTTGACTTGCTCGCTTACGTAACCCTCCACTCTGCCTTGCGCGCGCTAGAGAGGTACTTGTCCGCGTCGTGTCCCGCCTTGGGGGGACAACGTACCGGTATAGGCTATCGTCGGACGGATTCATCTCAACTGCCACCGCGCTCTTGGGCGGTTTTAAGGTTAAATTTAAATATATATATCCAGAGAGTGTGTGTGCGTGTGCCCGCCCCGTTACCTGCGACATGTATCTTCGACGGCGAACGAAGGGGTGGGAAAAGCAGGCTGGGAAAAGGGCGGGTACCTCTGCCATACCCGGATAGGTTTAGGCTAGGTACCTAACCTCTCGAGGCGCTCCCCGTCAGAGAGGTAACCCGCGGGTACATGCATACCTACGTATGTATGTACATACAAGGGCCAGGCAGGTCGTACCGCGTGCCCAGATCTCAAAAAGGGCGTAGAATTAATCCGGCTATAAGTGGACGCCGCGCTGTCTAGGGGGGGGGGGTTCGATCGATCACACCTTGGCTAATAGAGGTAACCTGACGGGCTGCACTCCATCGCCATAATAGCACGTTTAACAGCTGTATAGTCTAATGCGATAAGATAACACCTATCCTACCTAGGCACTTGCCTACCTACAGAAACCTTCGGCCCCTCGAACGTGATAGGAGGGAGGGAGATCTCTACTTAGGCCATTTATGCAAGTAGCTATCTACCCAGGCATTGTATGTACATGTATACCTGCATACGTATGCAGGTATACGTACTTACTGCGTAGTATGCGAGTCGCAAACTGATACGTCAGCTAAGATCGCTTCCTTACCTACCAACCTGTCGTGTATGCCATCATGCGGGATTTCGCCTGCGGTGCCATGTCCTTTTTAAGACGATGGCTGGTCGACGCAGCGTCCACGATCACCTGTTTTTTACTTTCTTTTTTTTTTCCTTCGATGCCGCCGCCGTTTGTCACCAACAGCCAGACATGGGAAGAGCATGATTACAGGTAACCAAGGAGGGGAGAATACCTCCCACCAGTTATATCGTGGTCAGCACCCGGACCTCTTTATATGCACCCATCCCCCCCGCCTCTTCACCCAACATCGAGCTTAGTTAGACATCCAGTTAAGCATCTGACAACTGCCTGGTATATTGTTGCAACCCTACCTCTTATGAATCGCTCCCCTACGTGAGACTTGGTGTGACTTTTGCGAGTTTTTTTAGTTGTTCGGCTCCGAACTGGCGGGCAAGCCTCCCCCCCCCCCAAAAAAAAGAACGGGCACGCGGATAAGTTTTCTCGCTTTATCTGCGTCCTGGTACGATTCAGATGGCCAATCGTCAAACCGCCTCGAGCCAACAGGGATGGGCTCGGGCACCACACTCGCTCGGGTACTCTCGCAGCATGCCGAGCCGCATCCAACTCGTAGTAATCGTTATTCTACACTGTGCAGCCCGCGTATGCACATCTATGAAAGCTGCTTGTTCGTCCTAGGAGCATTCTGCTGTCCCGACCTACGATCTCCTTAGCAGCACTATGCGCTGTTGGGAAGACAGTCGCGTGTGCGAAGCCGAGACAAGCCTTAGGTTGGACCCTGGGTATCTTCTCCTCAGAGTGTCGACTCGAGCCGTTGCTTTCTGATGCTCGCAGTCCGGTAGAGGATGAGGGAAAAAACCCCCCGGGGGGTCTCTGCCGGCGCACGGGATTCTCGGCAAGTCATCGAACCGGTCGTCAACATAAATTCGTACCAATGTACGGATAACTTCGCCTCCGGGTCCGTCCTGCGCCTCCCAGTAGGCAGTCGCCGACACTTCAAGTGTGTTTGCACTCCTCCATCAACTCTCTCTACCGCTCCCAGGGCGCAGTTTGCAGCCATTTATTTTGTCTGGCTGGGTCTTAATCATTACGTAAGTAGGTAGAGCACTCGCTTAATTGCCTCCGCGCGGGCTACTATTAGAGCAGCCTTGGAGAGAAGTTTACCGCTGAGTCGCGACATGAGTAAGTAAGTCGTGACATTTAGCCCATTGAGATTCCCGGTAGCTGGAAGCGGGTGACCTCGAGCCGACTTTTCCGAGAAATTTGATCCTTCTCTTACGGCGGGAGTAAAATGTGCTATGAACGGCACGATTATCCCGATCAGCTGAAAATATGGGCCTCCATCCCCGATAACCTCATAATTAAGTCTCTAGTTGAAGTTCCTATGATTACAACTCTTTACAATCCGCTGGCCTTGGCGTCTTTCAGGCCTATATCAGTTACCGCACGCAAATATTGAGATCCCCAACGGAACTCCTCCAGATGAGCAAATACCATTACCCCTCATACATTCATTGCGCCCTCCATTTAGTTTAATCGGAAATGCAGAACCCCCTACCCCCTCTTAGCTGGAGCATATACACCTATATGACTTCCCGTCTGTCACGTAGGTATATTAAGACAACTGGACTAAGCGTCCTAGGCGTTCACATCCACCTCTTCAGGCCGCAGGGCATATCAACATTTTCACCGATAGAAAGCTAACCTAACTGACGACACCGAACAAGCGTTAAGAAGGTGAGGGATTGGCACACCGAATCGAGCACACCCTTGGTCTTCGGGACTACAGCCGCGACTTGAGATCCGGCTGTAGTTAATCTGGGGTGCACAACGTCTAAGAGCCGCAATAGGGATAGACCCCTGACAGAATCTGGATAACACAAGAAACACGGCAGGTCTGTCTGGCCTAAGCATTACTTGGCCCGTCTCTTGGCAATAACGGCAAGGCCCGAGTAGACTCTTGTCGCGACTTGGCGCTGACGAGCGCCAGCACCGCTGGCAACGCGAGTTTGGGCAGAGCGGGAAGGGAACCGGTCAATTGGAGAAAGCTCCACCCTCCCGCCGTTGCACGGAGTCATGATGGTGGTGCGAACAAATGAACACCCTGCCCACTCCAGCATCGACCCCCGTGGATGATATGGTATCGAAGAGGGTAATATGTCACACGACATATCTGGTCCAGTGCTGCGTGCCAGCCCTCGTCCTTACCAATAGAACCTCGCAGCCTCACCGTATTATAGAAAACGAATCCAGTCATTGTGCTCCTACAAGAATACACGTGATTTCGGGTTACTTTTGTGGACACCGCACCGGCGCTACACACTCTGACACAAGCGTTAAGCCGCTGTGCCCCAGTGAGGTAGGAATAACTATAAGTGCAACCGAAGGAGCATTTTTAGGCCCTCTCCCAGGTCATTCCAGGATGACTCAAAACGACTTGAAGCTGATCGTTTGGTTATAGGGAACTATTAAAGGCTCCATATGGTTGACTGAGATAGAGAGTCCAATTTAACTAGCCTTCTTAACTAAGATACCCCACGCGCACCATCCAGCTCAGCTACTTCAGCTCTAGTTTGATCTCCGCTATAAGCTTCCCCGCGACCTTTGTTTTAGTAGGCAGCTCGAATGGTAGCAGTCTTAAGATTATATTATTCCTCGTACGGAAATCCCTCTAAAATCAGAAAGTTCAGAAGACTACTGCTATATTGTTAAGGCTACTGCCATTTGAGCTTTTCAATCAAGATGAGATTCTCGTGGGACAAAGTATTTGTGATTCCTAGGTTAAGTGAAAGTTTCGTTCTATAATATATTATAGCACGTCGATAGCTCACGCCTAGGCAATAGTCCATTTTGAGGTGTTTACCCTAATCGTAGAGGCATCTGTATGTACAGTATACTATTAGAATGGGGCCGATTGTATCATGTCGACGGGATCTGAACGGTCGCATGTGGCTGCGTGCGAATTGTGACAAATGCGGTGTCATATTGCGTACAAAGCTCATCGAAACATAGGATAGTCGTCGTCTCTCCCTACCGAACCTTGCCTTGCCGCCCGGCGCTTCGAGGACATTTATAGCTGGTGCGCGGATGGTGTAGACGGATGCTCTAGTTTGAAGGAAAACATGTCGGCCGTAAATTGTAGTAATCGATGCACAAGAAGTAGTGGAAGATAGGTTGGTTAAAAGGGTTTTGTGCAGGCCATGAATGTGGAGGGGACCATAGCTAGAAAACTAGAGCAGATTTTTCTTCGGCGCTTACTAGTTTGCCGCAAAATGTTTTGCAGTCCTATAATATTATATTTAATTTCCTTCTGGGACTTCCGTAAAGCTGCCGTATCGCCTACCTAGAGCTGCTATGCTTCGTTTGTACACATTGATCGGGTACCTCTATATTATTCAACCCTGCCTGGTGCTCTGTCTCGGTGTATTTTGCCCTTTTGGGGGAGATCTCGTGGCCTCACTGGCGGCATTGGTCTTCCTGAAGAGTGTTTCAGGAAGATGAATAAATGTATTATAGGTAGCATTATCTAAAGGCACCTTGTGGAAGAATTATAACTACTCGCCTAGCTTTTCCTTCGGCGATAGTAGGTGGTGCATCTCTACTTCGGCACAGAAAGCAGAGAGCCACCGCTGCTCGAACCACCCCAGCCGGGGGCCACCATACTCCCAGTCGATGATAGCGTTGATTTCGAGTGTCTTGGGGTTGACGATGATGACGTTATGCTGGCCCAGGTCGCTGTGATAAAAGACGTAGCTCCCCTTCTCAATATCGGGCTCCGGCCGCCAGCAACTGTGATGCTCCCAGAACCGGCTATCAACCTTCTTTTTCAACATAGCTGCACTCTCCCCTGCTTCCAGCCATCCTTTCAATCACGTAAGCCAAATTAAACACGTGGTATGCACCGAGCCCGGAACTCGCTGTCCTGTGCGACCTAAACACACGCCGTAGGTATGTGCTGCTTTCCTTAAGCGCCGCTGCAGGAATTTCCATCTCGATATTGAAAGAGTAATAGAAGGAGGAAAGCCTATTTGGAGCGAGCGACAGAGGCTGTCAGGGATAAAGAGAAGAAGGGAAGGTGGAGGAGAGAGAAGCATCGACTTTGCGTTGGAAAGCGATGGAGAACGAAACCAGTCTCATAACTATTACTTCTGCAGCTCGATCCATAGCTGATGAGTGCCAGACCCGAGCCGAAAAGCTTGGAGCAAGCTTTTATGCGTAAGTGCGAGTTGAGACGAGATACCTCGATATTATACGAAGAGCACAGGAAATGGGATCCTATTATGGAGAACCACCTACGCAGCATGAACGTGATAAACCACAACTTTGGGTTATGCAGAAGTCATTTTCTGGCGTATCGATACTTCTAGCTTACACGCTCACCCCTGCTTTGCCGAGTCTTTGTTTCAACGTCTTGATGTGCCATGCCGTGTCGAGAACCATCTGGTCCCCGGGGCCCCAGACCTGCACTCCCGTCGCATATGCCTGCTCCAGTAGCTGTACGCGCTCCTCGAGATGCGCCAATTCTTCTTTGGAATTGTTCTCGGCAAGATGCTGGCAGAAATCCGCCGCGTCCAAGTACCTGTCCACAGTGTTAGCATGCTGAATCCGGCTGGCGGGATGGAGAGCGAATACTTACGCGAAATACAGCTGTGACAACGATCGAGGCTGATCTAGTATCTGTATGCGCCGCTCGTACCTCGTAATTATCTCTTCACTCGTGCCCTGCTGCACCGCTATGGTCCCTCCTTCCTGCTCGTAACCTTCTTGTAACGTCTGTCGGGCATCCTTAGTCTCCTCGTCGACAGCCGAATCGGATCTCTCGCACAAGTCGCAGGCGCAGATAAATCCCCAGTACCGGCTGAGCTGCTTCCGGCGCTCTTCATGCGGCAAGCCGGCGGGAACGTAGCTGATGGTCAGCTCGGTGCCTTCTTCGATGTCCCGATTCGCTCTGGCTTGCCAGTACCCCGGCACCCAACTCGTCGACCAGACCAGATTCGGGTCGCAGGAATGATTAAATCGGCTTGCCCATGGGAAGACGGTACGTCTACCCCAGGCAACTTCCCCGTCTTCTCCTAACCTGTTTTCGTATTGCTGGAAACCGTTGGATCGCAGGATCGTTACTACTCGTATGGATGGCTCGATTTGATCCAGGGGTATCGCTCCGTGGGTCGGCCCGGCCAACAATTGACGTAGCTCCTCCACTACCGTCGGTTCTTGCCACGAGTATAGCGACAAGTAGTCGTCTTGGTCAGATTTGCTCAGCTTGTCGAACTCCCGGATAGCCTCGAATGTACGCTGCGCCAGATCGGGGTAATCCCGGCATCCGAGAATCTGCCTGTCTAAAATAACCTGTTCGCCAGCCTGGATATCCCGAGTCGCGAAAAGGCCCAGTCCCTTATCTTCCGTAGCCCTCAACTCGCACAGGTCTTCGGGGGATTCTATCGCCGTCATAGTTACAGCCGTAGTACTACCTAGATAACTAAGAGATTTACCTGGTTAACGCGTGAGATGCCAGCGAAGATAACCTTGGGGAAAGCATTGTAAACAATGTTGGCTGGTGAGAGACGAGTTTAAAATGGAATTAAGAAGCAGAAGGCACCCCAAGGCGATCCATAGAAGCGCAAGTCGAAATAAAGAAACAGCCTACAAGCAGAGCCTAACAATTTCTAGGAACCCCGCATACGGCCATATTCGAACATGTAGGCGGTTGTTGATGACTCGATCGAGGACAAAGACAGATAGGTACTGTTTCGAACCGTATCGACAAGCAATGAATGCATTTACTGAATATCATAACAGGTTGGTTGTTAGTCTCCGCTTGTCTTTGTTAGCGAGACGCTTGCGGCTTGCGGTAGGGCATCTTTCGCTGCCTCCTAATCTATGATTTATGGACACGATTCACCAAACACCACGTTTCTTCAAATTTCCCCAGTCGTTTTGGTTTGGTTTAGTCCAATCGGAGTTGTCATCATTCTGATCGAAGATTGGATCACCATACTAACCTGATCTACACCTACGCCACAAGTCGGCACACCTATGGAGATGGAGCCTATACTAATCCCCCTCCCGGCGATAGAGACCGACTCCAACCCAACCGTACGATACACTCACTGGGCAAACCAACTCAGGCGACTCCAGACCGCAGTTGCGAACGGCTTCAAGGATTATCAAATTGAGAACTTGCACTCTAGCCCGCCGTATTTCTTGATGGTTTACAACAGAACACACGACTTTCTGCGCGGGGTATCTAGAGAACTGGCCAAGCCGTCAACCGCGGATGAAGGTATTATGCGTCTCATCTACGGAGGCAGTGAGCTTCTTGAGGCATGTCGCATATATCTCCAGCAGAATGCGAGTGCCCTAATGAGTTTCAATGGATTCCACAGCCAGCTGTTATCCCAGCTCGATGCTCTGTCCCGACAGCCATTCGTCTCCTTCGACAGCGCCATCGAGACCCATATCCAGAGGATGACTTGGCTGGTTACCGACCTCGCGCCGAAGCGCGAAGCGGCCTGGAAGAATAAAGACCTTATCAACAGCGACAAGTTCCAGAAGGCGTACAACGCGTTCATAGACCTCCAGTACGACGATAGGTGGGGCGACAGCGAGCGGCGCTTTTTCGTCGCGGAATCCCAGCGGATCCTCGAGGATGCCTTCTTGGGCCTCGGTCTGCCGGTGACATTGGCAAGAATACCGAGTGGATTGTTTGACGACAGCAGACGTCCGACCTACGTCGATTACGCAGCTGATGACGATAGATTCTTCTACGGAGAAGGAGTGCGGCCGGGAGTATATAGTGTTATATTACAGCTGGGCGGGACCCTCACCAGGCAGCAGAGGGCCGGGATAAGGAAAGCGATGGGGGCCAGAGCGACGCCGAAGGCCTCCAAACCGCCATCGCGGGCGTCCAAGAAATCCCAGAAACCACCTGCGCCCAAGCGGAAGAAGCGATCCGGACGGTCCGGGCGAACGAAGGGCCGAGCACCGAAGCGACGGCGAACCGATGGGGGCTATAGCATGGACATGAAGAACGCCGATGCCGACATCGAGGACGTCTACAGCGACGCGAGGTTCGACGGGGTGGCGGCGCGGCCGCTGGACCAGCTCGTCACGCCGACGGCGGCGAACCGGGAGGCGATGCTGAGCTCGTACCGGCGGGACTTTGTGGCGATCCTGGGGGAGGCGCACGCGCGGTTCTACGACCCGCGCTCCGGGCCGCCGGCGCGGGCGGGCCGCGACGGGGTGCTGGCGGCGCTCGAGGCCGGGATCGAGGAGCAGCGGGCGCGGGCGGCGCGCGACGGCGTGGCGGGCGCCGGCGCCGGCCGCCTGAAGCAGGCCAAGCTGGCCGCCTTCGCGCTCAAGTACCTGCGCGCGCTGCACACGAAGCTGGTGCTCGCGTCGCCGCCGGCGCCCGGCGCCCGGCTCCCCGCCGCCGCCCTCGCCGCCCGCCTCGACGACTGGATCCTGCACGAGCGCGTCTGGAACGCGGGCGACGCCAAGTCTGCCGCCGCCCCGCGCACCTCCGCCGCCACCCGCGCCCTCCTGCGCGAGGACATCGCCCGCCGCGACGCCAACATCGCCAGCTGGGAGGCGCTGCGGGCGGCGCTGGAGGAGGAGGAGGGCGAGGAGGAAGAAGAGGACGAAGAGTATAAGGAAGAAGAGGATGACGACGACGACGATAAGGGAGAGGGAAAGGAGGGAGGAGCCCAGGGAGCAGGCTCAGAGCCCCCTGCGCCCCCGTTCCACTTCCTCGCCCAGACCCTCGAGCCGGGAATCCCCGGGCAGTTTGTGTTCTTGGACAAGCGGGGGGAGCGGCGGCGCGAGGAGCGGCGGAGAGCGGAAATCGCTCGGGCGGGCCGGGCGCCTGAGAGTTTCGGGGGCGGCGGGCGCGAGGAGGAGTACGCAAGGGAGGACGCGCTGCGGGAGGCGGCGAGGGCGGCCTTTCGCACTGGCGGCCCTCCCGGGTACCAGGGCATCCCGCAGGCGGCGGTGTACCAGCGGCTCATATACATGATCGTGCTCACGCAATGGCGCTGCTACCAGGCGCGGTTTCTCCTGTGATTTCTCTAGGCGAGGAGGAGGGGAGGGGGGAGATAGCAAGGGGCAGGCAGGCTCTGGGTGCCGTCTGAGTGTTGGACAGCGTTTGGGCTTGCTCTTTCGGAAAAGGGGGGGGGGGGGGGTGTTGGCCGGATAGGGTATCGGCGAGGTATGAAGACGAGTCCTATGTCATTTGCTAAAACCGCCGTCAACAGTTTGAACGCTGGCATGTGCTTACGCGCATATCTCATCTCCGTGGACTATTCTCTCTCTCTCTCTCTGCTTCCTACTCTTGCTAACGCTTTCATCCGATTGCCTCTTTTCACCTTGCAGAGGCGTTGGAGGCGGAACCAACGGTGGCCAAATTCGGCCCGTACAGACATCGAAAGGCGTATGCATCAGTCTAGAAATGGCCACTGTATGACCACGTAGACCCGAGGGCCACCTCATCCCTTGTGGAGGCCTCGATTTTCCTAGCTGTCAAGGTAGCCTGCTTCGAGATGGATTCTAGGACTGATTCATCATTGGACAGATGCGTGTGCACTTGGAGGGATCGTCCACGCTCATCCAACACATGGAGACCTAGTGAGCCTCGTCGAACCGACACCTAGACGTATTATCGCCTACCTTATTAGCTGCACTCCTAGACGATGTTACGCTACTGCGCGAGCGATAGATACCACTCCATATTCTCCAGGGAGGGAAAGAGGCCGTCCGCAAAGTGGTATTATGGTAGAGTCAATATCAACAGGATAAGGCATGGTTGAGCAAGGTAGGAATAAGGCACTGGATGGATTGGTTAAGAATAACTTAGAGGGCTGTGCGAAGATCCACACCATCTCCAACGACCTGGATGGGTCTTCCGGGTTGCAATATGTCAGCGCCGGAAGGGTTGTGCGGATGTCCTCTTTCTTGAAATCGACCGTCCATGTGAAAGGGGCGTCAGCGAAGGGCTACACAACAGATCGCGGGACTATATGCGGTTCTGGCTTGGGGGTGGAGGAGGGAGTCGAGTAGATATTAACGGGAAGGGAAAGAAGGGAGGGTTGGGAGGGGAGTACGCAAATAACAGCCGCCAGCATGCCCAGCTTCCAATGCGTGTCGAGCTACAAGGCTTAAAATGCAAATCTGTTTAAGGATATTGCTGCCTACTAGAGGAAACGTCGGTTAACTTATTCCAGGAACAAGGTGCCGAGAAAAAAGAGATGTAAAGAGAGTCCAACAAGGGACGGTTAATCAATAATTTTACCCGTATTTCAACCATCTCGAGAAGTATCTCACGGAAAAGAGAGCGGAAGAGAAGGAAGCAGGGGATACGGGAAGAGAGGACGGAACGAAAAGGGAAAAAAAAGGGGGAGGAGGAGGAGGGAGGGGGGGGGGAATAAACAAACAACCCGGACGCGATGACAACGGGCATGAATTGTTTCCGCACCACTCCGTCCGCATACAGCAACGGACGTCAAGTAAATAGAGTAAGTAAATATATGAACCTTTTAGATTTTTTTTCTTCTGCTTGTTTCCAGGTATGAAAAATGCAAACGCATGGAACAGAATGCCTCTTGGCGAACTCATAACTGGACTTGGAGTTCTGTGTCCCCCCAGCGCCCGGGGGGTCAATAGTATGTACTCAGCTGGGTAGCAAGCAGTAGCAACGGCTAGAACGTCTCGACGAGGCGGAGGCATAGGCATGGGTAATATACTATACATATACCGGAGGTCAACCTAACCTAACGGGCTGTAGCTCCTTCTCGCTTGTGATGGTAACACTCGTTTGTCGGGAGGCCGGATGTATTAGACGTGTAGTGATATCTTAGTTTCCCAGGGGCCCCAGGGGCTTGCCTCTATTGATTCGCATTCATTAGCGCTGCTGCCCGTGTCGTGTATGCATGCCTGGGTAGAGGTCGAATCTCGGGATAGTAGGGCGGGCAAAGAAGTCATAGGTATACGTTAAAGACTCGGCATGAATCACGCCGATGACCGTCAGTCCTCTGTCCCGCGACGTGTCTTCTCAACACATAGACTACCCGTGATAACCGCACATGCCTTGATGACTCTGCGATATAGAGACGGCTGAGGCCGATGCTTTGCTCCGGGCATGAGAGACGCTTGGCATACGTAGCTTTTTCCACCTTTGGGCCGTAGTTGTTTCCGAGAACTTTCCTTCGACAAGGTATATATAGTTTGCGATTCCGGAAGGAATCATCAGCTTCTCAACCCGCCCCCGTTTTTTTTTTTTGCAGTTCTAACACCCTCCAAACCAAGGCCTGCGGGTTCCTGCTACTGCTCTAGCACCCGTTCATCGCTTACGGAACATCCTTCAGCTCCTTCGGCCATCCCGCAAAAGCACCTCACGTAAGACACCATGCCGCGAGCTCTCAACGATAATAGTTCCCACCACGAAAGCGGGATCTCATCCCCTAGAAAGGCCAAGAAAATATCCCCACAAATTGCGCGATACCTTAGCCAGCTCCCATGGGAAGACAGCGTCCCCTTCGTTCTGGGCCTAGCAGCAGGCCGCCGATCTAAGATCCAGGGTTGTATCGACCAACTTGAAGAAGCACTCAGCGAGCACGACGAACAAGTTGTCCAACAAGATGGAGTGCAACGCGACACGGCCTAAACGATCTAAACTAGATTTGGTCGTTGTCGATATGGGGTTGCGCTCTTCTGCTCTTGTGGCTGGACCCCTAATAATAGACTACACGCACCCATCGCCGACATCTCCTACTCATCTGTCGCAATATTTTGTTAAAAACCGACGAAATTAACGGCAACTCTACTCTCCTTGGAAAGAGTTTGTTCTTCCTTGCGGGACTTCACCACCACTAGGGGCAGTTGCTGAACGAAAAAGAGACTTGGAGGAGAGGGGGGGGGGGGGGGGGAGAATTTAGGGGAACCTGATGAGCGAGTAATCAGGCCCACGTTTGTTACTACCTATGTATAAACCGTCTGCGCGTACGCAGACGACCTTAGATAGGGTACTACACTATACGTTTACCTCCACCTAGCCTACAAAGCCCTCGTGAGAAAGGAAGGGGAGGGAGGAGGGGGCTGGGAGGTTAGGTAACTTACCAAATACAAAAGGGAATGTCGATTCTCGTACACAATAGGTGCCTCGGAGTGAAGTAGTGTGTAGGCGACAGTGCCTTGGGTACCTTTCGACCGATCAATGATAATTGTGACGAGGTTGGCTTGAGATCCGGAATGTATTGGGACCCCGAGTAGCCTCTTGTCCTTCTATAGACAGGGGAAAGCGGAAGTCGAGCGTGTCACCGAATCATTTCTTGGGAAAATAGTGCTTTGCCGTACACCGATTTGCTGGACGGCTCTGGCAAATCCTCTTCGGATGCTAATCTCCAATCGAATCAACTCTGACGGACCACCACTCAACTCTGACCCTAGGCGCACCTCTCGCCGAAACAGTTCAGCCTGCCGTGGAGTCCAATGGGGCGCAAATCTCACTCCAGCACTGAACATCATGGATGTTCTAGCTCGAAGTAATAGATGTACATACTCTACCGGGTCGTGACTTGGGGTGACAGGAGGTCGTTAACAAAACGGCTTCGTCTTCCGGGCTCACTGGTAGGTAGGTAAGGGTGCGCATGATGACATGTGGCACAAGCAGGGACAGGGGTGATAAAGGGCCCACAAACCCAAGAAGATCGGCCAGAGACAGGGGCCTTTTGTTGTAGGTATTAGAGGCGCGGGAACTAAATTCCTTCCTTTGTTGCCAGGCTGAACAGTGCCCCCAAACCGACGATGCCTCTGTGCCACGACTAAGCCTATAGTTGGATTAAACGAAATGGGGATCTATTATCGGATATCCGTGTCTTCTAGGGTATCCCGCGGATGCTGCACGCGAGCTGGCGTGCTCATCCGACGGCCGTGATGCCTTTTCGAGAAATGGGTGCTTTCAACTTGCCAACACATACCCACCTTACTACGTGCTATTGTGCCATCAAGCAGGTAGGCTTACGCCTCGGATAGCTTGTTTGGTCAAGAGCTGCTCCCACAGAGAGCGCGTGCTCGCTTGTCTAAGATAGGCTGAGTGTAGGCGTACGGTGAGGGTAGTCAACACGCGGAACCCGTCGGTCAACACGTTGCTTGGAACTAGTTCTCCCCCCTCCCCCCCCTTCCGTTCTTGCTACTAGCCATCCATTTGAGGAGGCTATCTGCACCGTGCGGTAAATGAAATCGCTCAAGGGCCTGGCGGGTTGGGCATCGTGCATTATGCTTGGTAGCCTAACTTCACCTGTTACGCGCAGGGCACGGTCCTCCACGAGCCGCGAGATTGCACATTCTCTCCCCGTCCCCCAGCCGAGAATGACAGCGGTGGTGTCCCAGACATCTGGTCATAGATATCGTCGGCTAGCAAGTCCATGTTCACCCATACGGATCGCGTCCCGCCCGGCCTGTCGCCCTGTAATCCAACGTCTCGGGGTTCGCAAGATGGACGCCGTATCGAGATTTCCGGGGCCGGATCTGAATCTCCCTTGCCTAGGTCCCTAAGCTTATTCTACAAGAGCCACGACCGTCTTCTCCCCCCCCCCCCCCCTGTTATCATGAGCAGAAAGTCCAGTCCGTTAGACGTACTCCCCTATTGCTACCAACTACCCAAATTAGGAAGATATGCCCGGAGGCGCGAAAGAAGTTGCATACGAGCTGCACCCCCCCGGCACTCCCTGCGATTCCCTAACGGTCTAGTGGGGGCCACGGCTCTTAATACAGTATCATGTACCTACCCTCCTATGGTAGGTACGAATTAACGTAAAGGGCATAACATGCAACAGCAGCATTCGGTAATATATGCCTGATATATGCTTGCGGGGTCTTGATATTCTTAGAAGTAACTCCTCGATAATAGTGACGATGACGATGGATAGACTAGAGTGCCTCTAGCACCAACCTGTGGCGTCTGCCGACGTGACCTTTCGGGGGATCATGGTTCCCGTCACTCTCTCCTTAGGCATCAAGAACACATTCGTCTCCCGATAGCCCGGCTGTAGGACTTGCAGTGCCTTCACGTCATGGGATCATCCAAACACTAGGCTGCCCGCCAATAGGACTGCAAGCGATATCTAAACCGAGGCTGCGAGACGGTGATTAAGAGAAAGGAAGGCCGGTCCGACTATTGATGGGCCGCATCGGGCAAGCCAGGTAATGGATGCAACCATACACGGATCGTAAGGTAAGGCTTTAAGGTCAGGTAAGAAGGGGGGAGTATCACCACACCACGGACCTTAGCCGCTCTCATCCAGTTCCCACGCCGTCGCGTCCGAAATTACGGGTTCCCCATGCGGACATATGCACGCGCAACGAATGGGATTTCCAGCCATACCTACCCAGGCAGACGCGGGAGACAACACTCTCGCGTAACACAAGCTAGGCAGGGGATTGCGAACGCGGCATGCATCACGCTGGATTGGCCGGAGCCGAGCGACAACCCATTCTCGACCCGACTGAGAACCTTGGAGCAAAACAACCCGGCGCCGCCAGGCCGAGCGACGACACGGATCAGCAGATGAGACGAAGGTAAGAGTACACCTGGGTCTTTGAGTTAGCCAAGGCCAACGTCAGCGATGTCGGTCCCGAGCAGCGACGGAGGATATTCCCTATTCCTGCCTCCCGCCGTAGGAGTTTCTAGCGTGTATACGAGCCGCTATCGTGCGCCGGCCCAAGCCAGAGAGGGGCAGTGTGCCTTGCGTTATGAAGCCTCCTCAGACGAGAGAGTGCAGGAGGGATGATAATAGCAGATGAGGGACGATAGCAGATCGGGCTAGTGCCAGTCGCTCAGCCTCCTGTCCACTCAGCTAGTCCGGCCACAGCCAATCAGCTTTTTTGGCTCATCCAAAAATGGCAACACCCCGGCACCGGATGCAGGGCCGTCTACCGCGAGGGCCTCCCCAGCTTCTTATAAAAATAGGGACAGGGAACCCCCCTCGTCTCGTCGCTCATCAAAGCTGCGAACAGTCTAGCAGTGCTGAAGGGGGGGGGGGGTTGGCGGTAGTGGAAATAACAACGGGGCGCCTTGGCGGATGCGACTAGGAATGGGCGATCACCGTCGGTCCCCCCCCTTTTCGTCATCGGAACCATGTAAAATCCTAGGGTGGGTAGACTGTCAGTCAGTCTGCCTCTGCCGTGGTAGCATCGCACGTGAGATGCAATGCATGAGACGAGGACATGGCTGCACGTACCTACCGCGGAGCGCGGCCGCTGTCGAATCCTAGGAATCGGCTCGAGATATGACGAAGCGACGCATCTCGGCGGCGTGCGGCGGCCAGTGAGAGCTTATCTCGGCCGGGATCGTGGCACACCACAACGCCGGGTATTATCGAGCCGAACTTTGGCCTTGTCAATGAGAGCGCGTGCCGACGGGCGGACAATCCGAGTAAGGCTGGAACGAATCATTCCCCTCCTCTGCTCCCGCCCTCTACTCCAACGAACGGAAAAAAGGACAGAACAAGGGTAGCATTCCAACAGCGTCATTCCCACGACACGCTGTCTGGCTCATCGCTTCATCCCCCACCTGGTCCATCGCCCTCGGCCCGGAACCTCTGCAACGAGACCCGAAGACGCCATAACCAGGGGAGCAGCATTAGACGCCGGCATCGAGGCGGGGAGACGCACGTAGCTGGTACGCGAAAGGTGTGACACGACTATTCGAGTACATGTGTGCTACCTTGGGTATGTACCTATGCAGCGTCACCCTTACACCGCCTATGCCGGCACACCTCGTAAGCGATGGGCGGTGTCGTGGGCGGACGTGGCGGTTGGCTGGATGGGATGGAAAACGGAGTGAAGGGCAAAGAAAGGGAAGGGGGGGTAGCAGAGGGTAGAAAAACAAGACGTAGGTAGGTAGAAAGACAGGGTTAGGTGGGGACGAACGCAGCAGGTAAGCCTCGCCTCGCCTCGCCTCCAGACTGGCAGGGAGGGTCAAATACTCTCTGGTAACACGAAGCTTTTCCCATTTCGCCCGACGGGGCCTCGCAGGCTTATTATTCATCCAGCCACCTGGCCGCGCCCTTAGCAGCGATATTATAACGAGAGAGGTAGGCATCGATGTCCCGAACAATTCTACCAAAACACGCCGCCTACCGCCTACCTAGGTAGGTAATACCTACCTATACAGAACAGCACGTGCAGGAAACAAGTAACATGACGGGTACGCCATGCTCGCTGCGGGATGCCTGTATTATACCTACATGCCCAGAGGCGCCTGAGGTATGTCGATGTTCTCTCGGCTTCCGTGTCCAGGCGCTGCAGACATTATTGGGGAGTTATCTGGTCGGGATGCTGGGGTTCTTCGTATTATTGCCCTGCCCTGCATGCCTACCGAAGTATATCCCTACCTATGCCTGTGTGTACGTGCATACGTAAGTACATGTCGGCAATGTCACCGCACCACCCAGTCCTTCGCCTCGACCTTGTCTGCCTTCAGCACTTCGTTGCATGTCTTGGGATAGGTCTCCTAAGGCGAGTAGGGAAACCGCCGATTTTCCAGCTACCTCCTACCCAGTGGACAAATAGATAGGTCCAATGTCCGATCTAGATCCTACCTTTGGGTACCAATAATGGAATGGAACCAAGCCACCACGCCCACAACCAGTCGTTTTCCGGATCGAGCTGCGAGCGCACGGTGAGATCGCACAAGAGGAGCGGCTTCGATGTAGCGTGGTTCGCGCCGTGTATAGGGAAGAAGATTGTCAGCCCCGGTAATATACCTACCTACCTACGTAGCCTAGGTCTACCCCTGCCCCCTACGCATACCTGAAGGGGATTAGAGTACGTTAGCTGCCGCCATCGACCCGTTGCCCCCGCCGTTTGGGTGCGTGGTACCGATGCAACGGTCTCTGGCCCACTTAGGTGCTGACATACCTTAGGTATCTACTCGATTCCACCCTATATCCCACCCTCCCAACCACCAGTAGTTCGCCCCGGTTCGCCTTATATCAGCGCCGCACCGTTCGAGTACCGCCTTAGAGGGAGGGATCACCACCAACCACGTCACAGCTCGATTTACGAATAATCCGTTGCGTTTCTCTTTGGTCGTGTTGCATTCCTCGCCTGTCTGACCTATCGGGCCGCACTCCGGGTGCGCATGGGTGTGCGATGTGCTAAGTAGGATGACAAGTCCCGCCTCTCGTCTCGTCTCTTCCCCCGCCCTTCTCCCACTCTAAGACCCGCTTCCCCCGCCTTCCCGAAACCCCACCCATCTAAGTAGAGGAAAAGAAGAAAAGACCCAGAACGCCGAAAACAAATGTATATGCATAGCTGTACAAGGGTATCAACCTGACGACAGACCGAAAATCATGGACAAGAACTCGAGATATCGAAACCCCTCCGAGAATAGAGAGAGAGAGAGAGAGAGAGAGGGAGAGAAAGGGGGAGGGTGAAACGCTCAGTCCGAACACGCAACCACAATACATCTCTCGTCACCATCGCCTTCGCCAGCATCACTGACTACCGCGTCTGTCCCGGCAGCGGAACGGCTGGGCTGGCGACCCCCCACTCTTGGAACACCGAGGGCTCGAAGGTGGCGCCGCGCGCGAGGCTGGCGAAGACGGCGCGGCAGGCCTCAAGGCGCGCCGTCAGCGCCCCGTCGCCCTCGGTGTGCTCCCAGAGGTCGTCGATCGCCGCCAGCACCGAAGCCCCGCGCCCGTCCCGCACGTGCGGGCACGCTCTCAGCTGCAGCAGCTTGCACAGCGCCACCTTCTTGCCCGACCGCGCCGCCACGTGCAGCGCCGTCTCGCCCGCCGCGTTCCGCTGCTCCAGCCGCGCGCCCCCCTCCACTAGCATCTGCACCGCCCGCTCCATCTCCTCCTTGTCCGCCCGCGAGTCCTCCCCTCGGTACCGGATGAACGCCATCAGCGGCGTCTGCCCGGACCCGTCGTAGTGGTTCGGGTCGATGCCCGCGTGCAGCAGCCCTTCGAGGTAGTCGAGTCTCTTGCTGCCAGATCGGTACGGCTCCTGCGGGTGCTGGTGATCGCCGCCGCCTTCGAGTCTGGTGACGGAGACGTCCTCGTCCTCTTCCTTGAATTTTCGCTTGCGCTGCCGCTGATTGCCTCCGCCAGCGCTGCTACCTCCGTCGTGGTGTGTCGAGTCCTGGATGCGGCTGAGCTCTAGCTCGACCTCCGCGAGGCAGTGGAGCGCGTTTCGCCCCCGGGCGTCCTCCGACCGTGGGGCTGTGCTGGCGAGGCTGTCGTCGACCTTGATGGCGTCGGTGACGATGCGCAATAGCTCGTAATGTGATCGGATTCGGGACTCCTCCTCGGACATGGAGGGCACGTCGAGCTGCATCGCCCCCTGCGTAGCGAAGGTGGAGGGGGCGGGCACCGGTCGACTTTCCATGGGCCTCACACCGAAGGCGTCCCGACGGCGGAGCAGGCCCCAGTCGAGCAGATGTGACGGGACCCTGGCAGAGCCCTGCTTCATGTTCTGAAGGAGATGGAAGAAGCTGCGCCCGTAGACGTCCGTTGCGAGGAGGTCGAAACCGGCATCCTTAAGAACGTGGAGGAGCCCGTCGAGGGAGGACTCGTCATCAAACCATGACTGGTGCAGCACGTGGAGGAAGGTTTGCCCAGCCGTATTTGCAGCACGGACCGGGAAGTGCGGGTACGCCAGTGCCTGAGTGATGAGGTCGACGAAGCGGGTATGCGGCCCTTCTGAGGCGGCGAGGAAATGGAACGCTGTGTTGCCGAAGGCGTCCATGCTCTGGTAGACGTTGTCGGAAATGTTGTAGGAGACGGAGCGACTACTAGACGCCCAAGTGTTCTGAACCCCGCGCAGCTGGTCGGCAATCCGACACCAGCACGTCTTTGTCCTGTGCGATATGGATTGAACGTCACAGCGGCTTGCCCTGACGAATACGTCCGGGGTCAGGAAGTCGCCCGGGACGGCGTACCCGGCGAAGGACGAGTCGAGACTTGATCCGCCGAAGTTATACGACTCCCTGCGGGCAGATTGGGCAGGCGGCTCGGTAGGAAAAAAGGGCGTGCCCCGCCCTCCTAGGTCGTGGTGTTTGGGGAGAGTGTATCGTTTCAAGACGCGCCAAGCCCCCTTGACCTGATCCCGCGGGATGGTAGAGAGCTTTGTCCGGAAGCTGCTGCTCACGCTGGTCTCGGTAGAATTGGTCAGTCCGGTGCCTCGGCGAGCCGCGTCGGCATCGCCTGGAATAAACGGAGCGAACCGCTGGCTGCTAGGATAGTCATGACCGCTGCTGGGAACCCCGACCCCGATGTCGACCGTCAGGTCTATCGTCTCTTGCGGCATGTGCCCCATGGGTGGGTGGATGTCGAACTTCTCGTAGGAGTCTAGGTGCGATTGAGCAAGCGTTAGGCTATCGTCATCGCGATATCCGTAAAGGTGGGCGTCGTCGTGATCCTTGGCGGATTGCTGGGAGCGAAGCCGGGTATCTCGTCGACTATTCTTCAAGGATGCGAGACGTCGTTTCTCATCTTCCTCGTCCTTTGGTCGGATCCATCGAGGGTCATTCCCGAGGAGCGAGTTTTTCACCTTGTTGGCGGCATCCTTGTCTTTTATTAGCACCACTTATGAGAATACCACGTTTTCATCACTCTCTTCCCCCGCCTCCCCACCACCTTCCTAGATTCTGTATTCGCCCATAATACACAATTGTGGGGGAGAATGGTATTGGAAGGGCAAGAGAGGTGAGAATAGTTTCGGAGCTCAACATGCGGTTCACACATACCTTTCTGCAATACAAAACAAGTAAGCAACATTATTTTCGTACAGACGTTTCCAGAGAGGCTATACATACCCAGGCTTCCAGAGACCCTCTTCTAAGAGCTTCAGTATAAGCTCTAAAGGGAGTCTCGTATATATGTACAGCCGCACCAACCTTCGAGCTCGAGGTTCTGTCCACTCCTTGGGACGACCGCCCCGGTTTGTGGACGTGCTCGTGGTGGGCGATGCCAAGTTCATCCCGGCGGCTGGAGCGCGAGCCGACGGTAGACGGTCTTAGGTTCTTTCAAAAGGAAAAAAAAAAAGGGCCACGCAGTCTAGAATGTCTATGCGTCTGGGGAACAGCTGAGATGAAAATGGGAAATCCAGCAGACATGAGAGGAGCAGTTGCGAGGTATAGCAAAAAACTCAAGACATCTTCCACAAGGCTTGCGGCTCGAGGGAGCGGCGGGGCTTTTGTAGAGAGGTCCTAGGCCAGCGCATCCTACACAGTTACTGAGGGCGGTTGTTCGTGCTGCTGCGTGGTACTAAGTCAGGTTGGTAGGCTGGGTAAAGACGCCAGCGGTCGCGGCCGGGTCGATCCCCCCTGCCTGTGCTGACGGGCAGGCCAATGACAAGACCCTATCGCATGACGCCGAACAAGGCAGTCAGGTAGGCTGTCCCGAGAGAGGGGGGGGGTGGTGCATGGGTTCACGGAGTCGGCCACGCATCCGTCTGTAGATACCTGTACTTTCGTCGAGCCGCGAAACACATGATGCGGCAACGAAGAACTGTTGGTACGAGGATGGACTCGATGCGTCGCTTTGCGCCGTTGCCATTGGCTTCACGTCGATGCCAGCTCGATTCATGTAGATATGGTTCGCGGCAGATCGACAAGCTTGCCGACATGCCGCTTAGCACAAGCTGACGATCCAGCAGCAGCTTTAAGGAACCAACCGAGAAACGCGGTCGAAGATCGGAGTTTGTCCCGTGGTGCTGGCGTTTGTTTCTATTGCTTTCTCACCGAACAGCCTCTGGTTAGTCTCGTCGCGCATCCCATTATTAGCTACGCATTACCCTCGATTTCTCCGCGAGAAGAGATCATCATAATAAAAACAATAAAAAGGTATATTTTTAATCAGCAGAACTGGTTGCGGTCGGCAATACGCGTCCGTCCATGGATAGGCAGGAAGGGGTCGTCTGTGGAAGCATTCGTCTCTCTCATCGTCGTCACGTCGGCCGAACTCCGGGATAGGTAGGTGGGCAGAGGGGGAGGAGGGCAAGAAAAAAAATGGTCGAGAGGGTGGAGGGTGGAGGGTGGAGGCGGCTGCCTACCTAACGAAAGGGGAGGGACCCAGAGAGGGGGGAAATGGGTCGCCGAGAGGGTCGCTGTCGAGACTGTGCGTGTGGCTGTGAGGACGGGTAATAGGGTAGGGTATAAGCGCCGTTGTGGCTGAAGACATTCGGAGGGAGGGAGCTCAGTACCTTATGTAGGTACCTACCTGTAGACAGTGGGTAAAGGGCCATGCCGGATTTCCTGGTACCCAAATGCCTCAGGCACCTCGGGCGCCTCTTACGATCGAGCTAAAGTACGTCCGATCGTATGTACCTACATACCTAGGTAGGTACATATCCAGAGGCAGGTACCCACCCATACGTTCCACTACCATTATCACGTACCTGTGCCCTTCTATGAACCGAACCTTGGAAAAGAGGAGGAGGTACCCGGAGTAGGCGCCTTAGGTACTCTCAGTGCCTCAGGCATGTAGGTACCCGTTTCCCAAGACGTGGGCCTGGGGAGGTACCTCTTAACGGCTAAAACCACCCAGCCCTACCTCACCAGTCCTCAACCTAATCCCAACCCTTACTAGTACTCATAGATCGAGAGAGGCTGTGCTGATGGCCGAGCCGATCGACCCTGGGCAAGACCCCATAACCCCGCTAGAGAGGGGGTGAGGAAGCCGACAACGAAGGCACAAGAACGCAAAGGCGGGAATGGGACACGATGGGCAGGGACGGGAACTACCTAGGCAGGCAGCTTAGCCTCCACAACTCACCTACATGTGGAAAAACCTGGTTACAAGGAAGTGAGGTGTTATCTGGACCATTTGCGTCTTCTCCTACCGAAGTTAGGGCATCCATGCCCGGCCCAGTTCTTCAACGGCACGGACGCGGAGAGAGCGGGAGTTAGTGGGCCATCCACGCATTACCGCATGGCAGGGTGGGAGTTTCTATACACATGGCTCCCACCCTTCCAGGACCGCGCCTCGTTGTCATGCCTGGGCCTGGTAGGTAAGTAGATGTCTTCAACAACTCTCAATGAGGCAGGTCGGCACGGCGTCAACAGCTTTTTAAAGCATAATGATGCTTGAGTAGTGGCGCTCTCTCAGTTGGGTATACAGCATATAGCAGTGTGCTGCTCACAGCAGCTACCTGCGCACACACCGTAAGGCAGCCAGCTGAACCGCCGTCACCACCCCTCCGCACGCCCCCAAACAGGAACATGGCCGAAAAAAAAAAACAAGAAAAAAAGAATAGAGGGTGATGGAACGTATGAGATATTGTCCCCTGCGACAGATCACATCCAACCCACAAACAGGCAACAGACTCGGCTTGGTCTCCGTAAACAGTGCTCTTAGCTCGGCGGCGCCTCGTCGGCACGTGTCTGGTGTTCTCTGCGTAGACCTTTCCTAGGACTTATCTATTCGTTATTCTGGCTACGTCGTCCCCCCTGCCCGTTCTCATTCCCAGTCCCGCCGGCAATCTTCCCGGCCAACCCATGTTGCTCTGGTCTCAATTTACATTTCTTTCCTCGCATCTCAACACACTTCCGCTGCCACGTCAGACTCCCGAAATATCTTTGCCGTCGCTAAAATATTATCTCTTTTTTTAAGAAAAAAACCTTGTTTCCGCCTCGTTCCGCGTCTTCTTTTTCACCGCAACGAAAGTCCTGTGGGACGAACCAACAAATCAAATGCCCAACTAATGCGCACCACGGTAGAACAATCGCAGGGTGGAATCGCCTGTATGCGCAAAACCCATACCTGAAACCTCCGGATGGCGCATCAATTATTCCCGCGCAATGGCGCGTCCCGTCACTTGCAAAGAGCCTCACCACCCTAGCCTAACCTAGGGATTTGCCACCTCACCTGTGATGCGTCAGGGCAAGGTCCACACCAGAAAGTTGTAGGAACACACTTGCAACCACCCTACAACGCAGACGTGAATGGTGCACCCCCCCCCTCCCCCCTCCCCGTTTCTTGAGTATACGTAGTTCTGATTTTCGCAAACGTGCCGCTTGCTTGACGCCGCCGATATTCTACTTCTGCTCCCCTTGACGTGGCACACGAAGACTAGCTCTCCCCAAGCCTCCCGCCAGGTCCAGCCATCGGTGGCTACAATATTGTGTAGTAGATGGGACGGTTGGACGCACGGCGTATCCCTATCACGGCAGGGTCGAGGAGGATAAGTATAAGTAGAGGCGCCTCTCTGTCTTTCTCTCTTCCTTCGATGGCAAGCAGATCTACTATCGCTCCTCGTCTTGATGGTTGGATGCCTCCTATTGCCCATCTATCTACACACACATATAGGCATAGCACTATCTATCCGTTATTATATACAATATACATTATACAGATATACCACACATATCGTGCTCGACACGCACAGCACATTGTACGCAGCTGTATTCTTGCCAACCCCGGGGAAACACCGGCCTCTTCCTCCGTATTGAACACCAGTCAAGCATAGCTGCCTCTAGTTTTATCTCATTGCATCGAATCGCCCTTAACGTCGCCGTTCGCCATGCCTGGCCGCACATCCCCCGTTTCGCAGAGGGCGCCAAGGTGATATCTCCCCCTCTGTATATACGCCACTTGCGTTGTGCCTCCTCTACTAACACCGGAGCAACTCGCGTCGCGAGCTAGTACGGCTTCTCCACCCTCGCAACCAAGCCGAGACCCGAGCGCGCAAGACAGGATCGACGGCTACGTGCGACAGGTAGACACGATGGAGAGATTTTTCGTCACGGGGGAGCCGAGCAGCAAATCGGGCACGTCGACGATGGGGGAGCTGGCCGGGTGGGAGAAGAGCTTCAACGACGCGGGGAGGGGGAGATAGATGTGCAGGCATAAGGCGTATGCATATGCACTGCGGGGGTGATCATGTAAGCTATAGGCACCTATTAGAACTCGGGGACAGGGTACGTCGAAGGCACAAACTGGCTACGCCCTAGAGCCGGGGATCGTACGCAATCCGACTTCACACCGTGGATCAGATGGAATCCGACTTAACTGTCGTCGTGAGCCGTTGGGCAAGCCAGACGAATGGCAGCAGACCGCGAGTCCCCTCACGTAGGAACGGATGTAGATCCAACCATATTACTGCATCTCCCCGTCCCTTAGCTTGGTTGCCTCGAGATGCCCAAGATAGGTCGGAGAGACCACCATCGTGGATGCGCTATCATCTATCACTTTGTGACGAGCAGTATAAAGTGGCGAGATATCATCACACTGGACCGAGACTTCTAGGATGCCCGCTCCTAGCTTGTCCCCTCCCCGCCAAGATCACCAACGACGAAGGGGTGTAGATGGGCACGAACGGCGGTGGGTTTAAGGCTGGCGAGCTGCATCCACACTAAATGTAGGTAATATATGTAGAATTAGGTACGTAACATGTATGTGTGTATGTAGGTGCAAGGAACAGGCGTTGGGTCGGCTGACTGCCGGGGCCGGGAGGGGAGGGGAGGGGGGGGGGGCAGTGAGGGAAGAGGTAGGTACAGAAAGACCCCCGGAAAGGGGAAAACAAACAGCAAAGGGGAGGGGGACCAGGGGCCGAGGACATGGGGGGGCGTCAAGAGTGGCAGGTAACACGCCTGGCTCTCTCGAGTAGCACGAAAACCGAGTCATCCAGAGGGTGGTGAATAATACGAGCCGAGCAGTCCATGTGATGACGACGGTGCCTGTTGGCTCAACACACACTCTCTGTCTACGTCCGATTGAGAGGTAGTACGGTAACCTAGGTACCTCTTAGGCACCTAGCCTAAGGACCTCAGGCCTCTGTAGGTACCTAACCGGATCGGACCGGACCTCCCGCACAGCATTACAGGTACCTGAGGTAGGTACTGGATGTGTGGATGCACGTCAGCTAGGTACCTATGTGAGAAGCACGCACCTGGTACACTCACACGCTACGACATCGGGGCAAAGGCCCGTGGGGCACGGTGCGGCCACCCCACAAACCCCCCACGACGCCGTCCGGTCACGTGAGGGACGCCGGCAGGGCTTCCCTAGCGCTGCAGCATATTATGGCCACCTGGGGATTGAGTAGGTGCGCAACACACACCCACCCACACCCACACTTTTTTTCTCTCTCGCTTCCACATACACGCCGCGCACACCTAATACCCACCTGTCACGCACGCTCGCTAAACGCATTGCTCCCGCTACCACCCGCTATAACTCTTACCGCGCAGACGAGGCGTCCGCCAAGATCTTACCTCCAGGATCGCGTACGCGTCGGGAACGACATATTGGGCACCCATTCTGCGTCGCCAAAAATAGGTAGGCACTCGAACAGGTTCGCTCCTAGCGATGGCGCCAGTGCCGCCGCCACCGCTCACCTGTGTCCTGGTGCCCCTGGGACTCGTAAAAGAAGCGGAAGAGGACGAGGTCTCGCGCGATCCCCCCTAGGGGCCCGATCGAGGGCGCGATGGTTGCGTGGCAGTCGGGACAGGCTCAGCTTGCCGCGAGCGGTGGGCAGACGTCAAGTCGGGTCAGGCCAGTGCAGGTCGGCTCGGGTCGTGGGTCTGCGTTGGCCTGGCGCTTGGGAAGCGGCGCCTGTGTCTCCTCTTCCCTCGTCTCCCTCCCCTCCCTCTCCCATTCACGCTCGGGGCTACTCTTGTAAGAAGCACTTGCAGTAAACTCGCTACGACGACTATGTGCCCCTTATGGGGAATATTACAATCACTAGTTAACTAACTAGTTGTCGTATGAAGACGTAGAAGCCTACATTTCCCTCGAGGGCTGTGCAGGCTTATAGAGTCAGGATCCCCTCCGTGACATCTTCTAAGTTTCCGGCGGCCGAAACTTAGCTTTGCCTCGTAGCAAGAGGAATATTTACCAGCGTCAGATAGGGGATCCTACCTACAAGCCTATATTCGTCGACAAGTCGTAGAATGTAGGCGCTTACGTTTTACGCAACAGCAGAAGAGAGAATCGAGGGTTTCATCACCTGGCCGGGCATCGTCACCTGACGGAACAACACTGCTAAACTTCGATAAGGCCCTAACCTGTCCGGGGCTACTATCCAAGTTGGCGGCCTAGGCTTCGGCTCCGGGCCTGACCTCCGGCTTGCTGGGGGGCAAGTCCAGTATTGCAGAGATCAGATAACTCTGGGATTTTGCTTCAGGAGGCCCTCGGCGGAAGTCAATACTGGAAGGGCGTAATACGTTGAGTCCAACCGTATCTGTGAGCCATCGCGCGTTCAGCCATAGATATAAATTCTTGTGCCCAGAAGGACGCTTCCTCATCTTTCAATCAACAACATCCGCACACCCATACAAACCCGCTCTGCCAGAAGCACAGCATACAACTTCCCACCGTTAGTCACTATCGTCACCGGTTGTCCGCCGGACCGCATTCGCAATCATCATACGCTCCTTCGCTTTCATGTTTCTCCTCGCCCTCGGCATGAACCCCGCCTCCGCGTCGGTGAGCTTGGTGACGCGGGTTCGGTGGAAGACCGAGCTGCCGCAAGCCAACGAAGCTAGGTCCGCGTTAGCGGCCTAGGTAACACTGTCCGACAACGGCTACAGAGAGACTACCACGCGCATTGTCGCCACCACCGTCGCCAGAACCGTGGCGTCGGCCACCTCTAGCGAGGCCTTCTTGCCGGGCCCGACTTTTAGCACGAGAACCCGGTAGCGGTACGAGATCCCGCCTTCGAGTCCGGACCCGATCTGGGAACCGCTCCCGCCCGCAGAGCCCACGATGGCCAGCTCGTTCGCCGGGCCGAGCTCGGTGCCGAAGACGGGCAGCACGGCCGACACGGGCATGCTGCCGGGCCCGACACCGGCGGTCGGGCTGCTAGACCGGCCGCTGGGCCCGGCGCCGGAGCTGTAGAAGATGCCGATCACGTCGTCCAACTGTACAGGGTCAGGCGTTAACCAGCGCGACATGCGCATGGCCGTGCAGGCCATGGTGGCCGAGAGCGACTGCGGCGCCGAGGTGAGTAACCACGGCATGTTCAAGCTCGCGGCCGGCCGCGCCGGCGTCTTCGTCTGTAACCGCAAGCTGTCCCAAGCCGACCGCTTCCCCGCGCGCGAGCTCTGGGCGCTCGTCGCCCGCGTCGAGCACGCCTGCGGCACTGGCCACACCGGCCGGTTCTGGTCCGAGAACCGGAAATCGGGCTTCTCCATCGAAACCGCCGGGTAATACCTCCACAATTACTACGTCCTGGAGCTCTGCCTCCCCTTGTGCTTGAGTGCGCGGCACACGCTAGGATTAGGAGGAGCAGGAGAAGAAGAAGAAGAATTAGACACAGCAATAATTCGGCACGCCCGCGAAAGATGGGAGGGAACTTGTTGAGATACACTCTCTCCTAGCCCTTAGCTGGCAACCCGATAGTATACCCCTCCACCACATATTTTCAGAGCAATCTGGGCTAGGGAGCGTGACACGTCTTCAAGTATATTAGAAGAAATATGAGAAGTGATATGCTCCCATAAAAAGCACTTAAATTTTATCCCCCGCTCGCCAATCGGCTTGTATCAAACCAGGCTCTACGGGCCTGAGTGTTCAAGGCGTTAAAGTGGCCGTGACGTCCGACAGGCTGCCTCCTACGATCGTCAGATCATACGTACCTACCGTCCATCACCATCAGGTGCAAGCGACGGGTCTCTGTGTACATAGGAGCTAGACACTTGCGGATATTTTTACGAGAGAGTAGAGGCTTGGGAGATGCATTAACAAATGCGCGCATGTCGTTCCATAAACGCCTAGTGATATCCCCGGGATCGTGAGATCCCCCGCACGCAATATGTCAAGGTGGTTGCTAGTATAATGACCACGAATACCCTCAAAGTCCTCTCAGTCGTACGTCGCGCCTCCAAATATTCCGAAAAGTACACACCCCCCAAGAGGGAGAAGCAGAAGAAAGGAGAGAATCGAGGGAATATATCTCGCTCCCCATCGCGTTTTCCTTTTCTGTCTACCATTTTGACCTCAAACACCAGAGAAGAGACTCCGCTTCGTAAATGCAGAATAATAGCGTCGTACCCGGGGTCCGGAAAGGTGAGACGGGGTCAACGCCAGAAAAGCCAGTCATTGATATTTGGGCCGCGGCTCGGCGGGGACTTGCAACTCGTTTTCAAAGAGCTCGGCGAGCGTCGAGCCGTCGCGGAGATAAACCCAGTCGCCAACGGGAGTTTCATCGTTCTCGGTGCCTTCCTTGGTCAGCACGAAATCGTAGCGTTTGGGGCCGGATTTCGGCGAGGCGAGCCAGATCTGCTTGTTAGGCGGCTGCTTGTTCAGGACATAGGTCAAGCCGTCCTGGTAAGTGATGGTCATCACGCCTGACTACGGAGAGACCCGTCAGCATTACGAACCACGACATCGCGTGATCGCGATCCCGGCCAGAAACGGGGGAGGCAGCTTACGCTATACTCGACGTCGAGAACGTCGGAGGTATCTGAGATCTCCTCGCACTTGGCAAGAAGGTGCTCGATCTGGAGGTCGGCGAGCTTGTGGTACTGGGCCAGCGTAATGTCTGCAGCTTTGAGCGGCTGCGCGGTTCGCTGCTCGGGGGGCGAGTCCTCGGCGGCCCGAGAGGTGGTGCCGAAGCCACGTGCGGTCGCCATCAGCTGGCCGGGCGTAGGCTGGGCGCCTCCGAAGATGGAGACGCGAGCGGCCACCCTCTTCGGGGCCGCGGTGGCGCTACGAGCTACTGCCGTGGCGAAACGGCGGCCGGCGCCTCGGCCAGCCTGGGCGAGGGCTACGGCGCGGGCCAACATCACTGCGAATCCTCCGGCGTGTTGGTAGTGGGGCGGCGACGACCTGGGGGCGAGGGAATTAGACGGATAAGTCTAGCCTCGCCAGCGTAGACCGCGAGATAGAAGGAGGATGGACGGGCGGCTCTTTACGGCGACCTCATCAGCAGCAGGTGGCGGTCGGTAATATTCTACAGGGGATGGGACGGACGCGCCGGCAAAGGATGTGCAAGTGGTTAGCGGGGCAGAGAAGCAAGCAGCCCACTGAAAAATTATCCGTGTTCCAGACGTTTGGTACGGCGGCTTGCTGGGACATAAACTGACGGTACAAGCCCGACACCCCGCACGTGGCCCAAGCTCCCTATGAGCTCATCACCCCTGCACCCCGAACTCCGCGGGGTCCTGTACGTTCGCACTGTGCTTCCTGGCGCCCATCTAGCTAGGATGCAGCTTTGATAACTTTCTGTTGCAGACTGCTGTACGCATCGTTCAGATGCCAATGCCTAGATGGTTACACCTCTGCTTACACTCCACCATGTGGTATTCTCCTTCTCCTCTCTTATGAGAGCGTAGAATACGTAGACTTGGGGAATGTGAGACCGGCCTTATCTAATTCGTTATCGAATTGTCGAGTTTTCCTCCGCGCCATCCCTGTGCTAGTTAGCTCATTTGGACCTGCTCGTGTGCTGATTGGTTGCACAACTTTTGCAGAATTTACACGTACCTGCGCGCAGCTGAGGTCCTTAGCCTTCGGGGAGGTACCTATGGTTTTGTTTTTGCCCATACAGTTATACCTAGGTAGGTAGGTAGGTAGGTAGGTAGGTAGGTAGGTAGGTAGGCAGTAAAAACGCACAGAGAAGCGCAGAGCGTAGCGAAGTGCCCCGACGTATAGTATCAACTAGGTACCTCCTAGTAATTAGGCGCCTTCCCTCCTACAACTACCACCGTGACCACCACAACGACGACGACGACGACGCCCACCAGAATGGCTACGCACAGCGCCCACCACCCCTGACGCCCTCGTTATATAAATTACCTGCCCATAAATGCATCCTTCATTCGCGTCCGTCATACGCACCCGTGGGCGGACGGACACGCACCATTCGCCCGCGCGCAACTGGCCAAATAGCCGGCGGCCCAACCCGTTACTCTCGTAAACAGCGCCACCCCCACGCAGAGCCACTATCCAGCCCAAATAACTAATACTATACACGATAGCGTTACGCGGGTATCCAATTAGTAGAGCACTCTCAGTCAGATAACAGTGGACGGTAGCAGCGGATTGTGTCGGCTTTGGGGCACGGCGCTCCAGTGGTTCTATAGGTGGCTTCCTCCGGGGCTAATATCTCAATGTGCCTAGAGCCAGCTCCGATATCCGGGCCCTAACAGATCAATTTTTCACCGGAGGGCACGTACGTGTCGGGATAGAACAAAATACGAGAGTGGGAGAGGCATCTCGATTCACACATCCCCAAGCAAATGATCAGTTGTTGAAGCCATGTGGATGATTCGGTGCAATAATACATATCCGAACACCCCTCGGGCTGGGAATGACTTGTAGGAGACATCATATTCGCAGATCTGCAAAAGTTCAGCTGTCTTATCGCTATATTATAAAGTTCCTGACCATCCACCCCATAGCGATGAAGCAAGACTCGTCGACTTCGAGCTATATGGAAACCTAGGCGTACTTACGCCCTGGGAAGGTTAGATCCCACGAGAATCCCAACCACGCCGTCTCGCAACCTCAGCGGACTCTATGCACAAGTGTGCCCGTTGCCACCAAGTGACATAGTCCCGCGGCGATCCACCCCGCTAGAACGAGCGCGATATCTTCCGCAGCGGATGGCCGGCAAGAATCGGCGATGGGATGCATAGAGCGACCAATCTCCTCACCACCTTCCTTTGCTCTCGCTCCAGCTTATCGATAGTATGTAGTATGCGGTTGGTATGACGAACCTACCCCGCTCCGTGATAGGTATAAAGATCGTGGCTGTGGTTCACGAAGACTCGGGACCCCTCCATTCTCTCTTTCTTCCTACTCCCACCCTCACTCGCCTGCTCTCTCTCCAGCCAGCACTGCCGATCAGCCACTTCAACTTACAGAAGTAAAGCGTACGCCTTGTGATCTAGCGCCTCGAAACGTGGCTTGTGTATCTTTTCCTTGACGACGACGGGGGACCTATACTAACTGTAGGCTTGACTAGGACCAACACTTGGTACGGGTCAAGATGGCAACCCCGCCAGCAGAGAAACATGAACCCGCATGGGTTATCCAGCAAGCGTCTACATGACTGTACTTGATCAAATATCTCATCGATAGGTAAAAAAATCTGTGATGAATCATGAGCCGGTGTTCGAGTCTCTGTGTCTCGTCTTCGCGTGCATCCAACCTCATCGGCCACGTCTGGGAAGACGCTTCCCAGGCGGGGCGCGTGGGGAGATGGGCCGACGGCGGGACGGGAAAACAGAACTCGTTCTGAGATTATACGGCAAAACTTGATCTGGATAATGCCAGCGAAAGGATCATGCTCTCGAAGGTCTCCCTCACCCCCGGACCGGCTACTAACATGCAGCAGGAGATCCATCTAACCCGTATCAAAAATGGCACCATCCGCAACACTGGAAGCCGTTGAGCCGGTCACCCTCTCTCAGAAGAGTGGTATCCACACCGCCAACGGCAAGATCTCTGCCAATCCTGCTGCTCAAGTCCTCGAGGGAAAATGGAAAGAGTTCACTTTCCACCCCATCCGGGAGTCCCAGGTCGCCCGGGCCATGTCTCGCCGATACTTCAACGACCTCGACAACTATGCCGAGTCTGACATTGTCATCGTCGGCGCTGGTTCGTGCGGGTTGAGCACTGCCTACACACTCGCCAAGGCTCGCCCTGACTTGAAGATTGCCATCATCGAGGCTAGCGTCTCTCCGGGTACGTCTTAACCACTAGCTCGCGTACCTATCCCGGACGTTAACGTGGACTGACACCTACTAGGCGGTGGTGCCTGGCTCGGGGGCCAGCTGTTCAGCGCCATGGTGATGCGTAAGCCGGCCGACGAGTTCTTGACCGACCTCGGCATCCCATTCGAGGACGAGGGCGCCTACGTCGTGGTCAAGCACGCCGCCCTCTTCACGTCGACCCTGCTGTCGAAGGTGCTGGCTTTCCCCAACGTCAAGCTCTTCAACGCGACCACGGTCGAGGATCTGATTACCCGCCGCGACGAGTCCGGCGGACTCCGCATCGCCGGTGTCGTCACCAACTGGACCCTCGTGGCCATGCACCACGACGACCAGTCCTGCATGGACCCCAGCACCATCAACGCGCCCATCATCATCAGCACCACCGGCCACGACGGCCCGTTCGGCGCCTTCAGCGCCAAGCGCCTGGTCAGCATGCAGGCCCTCGAGAAGCTCGGCGGCATGCGCGGGCTGGACATGAACACGGCCGAGGACGCCATCGTCAAGGGCACCCGCGAGATCGTGCCCGGCCTGATTGTCGGCGGCATGGAGCTGAGCGAAGTCGACGGGGCCAACCGCATGGGCCCGACCTTCGGGTAAGTACCGCCATAGCGGGCAGCCGCGCGCGTAAGAGCGAGAGAAGAAGACGCTAACGAGATCTAAGCGCCATGGCCCTGTCCGGCGTGAAGGCTGCCGAGGAAGCGCTCAAAGTGTTCGACCTGCGCCAGAAGGAGAACGCGTTCTAAATTCGGGGTCCGCTAGGATGGAGCGTGGATGTGGTTCTAGGGAGGATTCGGTTGCCCGTGGCTGGCTAGTTGTTGGCCGTGAGCGCGTATGGTTTCTCACCTAGATGCTGATAGGTACCGGAATGTCACAACCTGGCAACGTAGCGAAATACATTCATTAGGACGTATATGTACACCCTTTGAACAACCCTTGTCCATTGCGTAAGGCATTTCTCTCCTAGGTATGTACCTATGTGTAGTACGCAGTGCCCATGCGGATATGGATCCCACCCTATTGACTGCCCTATCCGTATTCACCGTAATCAGCGATACTCACCTGGATCTAGTTGATACCTTTAAATGAGCTCTTCAATTCGCAATGGCTTTTAGTTAACCTCCTAATTGATCAATGGCCCATCGGGTTTAGCATCCTAAGATTCTAACACAGGTAGTTAGTAGGTACTTACTGATTGGTGTTGTGGGATCATAGGAAGTGGACCAGTCGAGAAGCACACAGATATCACGATATACCTAGGTACCTACCTCTCATATATGTGTGGTGAATTGCGTACTAAGGTACCTAGGTACCTAAGCTACGCACACGGGGTGGGATTATGGGTCCGTGCCTAGCTTATTTAAGCAGCCATTTTTTGTCTTTTTTTCCCCGAATTTTCTGCTTCTGTCACAAAAAACTTCCCTCTTCATGCTCGCAACCCATTTGCAAATCTTCAACTCCGCTGGGTGAGCTCCAGAAGATGATGTGCAGCAATGCGCATCCTGCTGATTCGGCACGGCGAGTCTGTTGACAACGTTGCCGGTCTGTAGTAGGTGTTTGCTCTACTCCTTCTCAATTCGACCACGACCGGCTGATCACCCCTAAGCGCAGGCTCTCGCGACTCACCCCTTACCAACCATGGCGTTCTCCAAATCAAGCGGTTAGGTGATCATCTCGTGAAACGTCAAGATGTGATAGGGCCCATCACGCATATTTTCACCTCGAACCTCCAAAGGGCCTACCACACAGCCATGGCCATCGCCGACGCCCCGTTTCCCGCAGGTGGCGGAGGGTCCGAAGCTCGGCGCGAAGTGCCTGTCCAGGTCTGCCAGTTGCCAGAGTTGCGAGAGAAGGACTACGGGTCGTTAGAGGGCAAGAAATATAGCGTCAGAGGTGGACACAGCACCACCAGTAGCTTATCTCAGTCCGACTCGGAAACCCATGATGCTATGAAGACGCGAATTGACCGGTTTCTGGACTCTACCTTGGTCCCGGTCCTTGATAGACAAGTGTCTGACCACGTCGCCGTCGCCGTAGTGGCACATGGTGTTATCCTCGGCGTTGTCTTGAAGGTATTGCTCGAACGATTCCCTACGGGAGAATCTCCTTCGGGATTTCAGAGCAACAGCCGAGAGAGTGCGGCCGAGCTGGTCGGAATGTGGAGCAACACCGGCGTCCTCCAAGCTAAAATAGAATTGGACGAACCCGCGTCCAGCGCAGGCAGCCAGAGCAAGGCTCAGAGCCGATCGGACCCGAAGAGGGTGTTCCGCCTCACCATTGAATTGGCCAATAACCTCGAACACCTAGGGGGTCTGAAGAAGACCCGGGGCGGCATCGGTAGCGCCAAGTTTGACTCGCGACAGCGGACTATGGACTCTTTCTTTGGTAATGCTCCCAAAAAGCGAAAGCTTGACGAAGCACAAGGCTGAGGATTAGGGTACGTTGTTTTCCATCATTTCCTATATACCAACCCTTTTCTATGATGAGAGCACATAACTCACAGACCTGTTCTGAATTCTATGTGGAAACATTTATGTCCAACCGCTGTCTGAAATGACCAACCTACCCGGTTCCTATCACCCGCACATTTTTTGCGTATCCACCGCTAACCTGGTCCCTATTCACCAGATCTCTCCCGGGGACGCAATTGGGCGCCCGGCTGATTAGATGTGCGCCTCTTTTGGAAGCCGTGATATGTACGAACCATGACCACAATAGCGATCTGGATGGGAGACAGGAAGCCGCTCTTCCGATCCCTTCTTACCTAGTACACTAGCTAGTCTCCTGTTCATCCTCGAGATCCGAGGGCAATTCATTTGGGAACCATCCGTATTCCGAGAAATCCACCATGAGCTCTCCCAATGCACCAGTCGTGACTATTACGCCTTCCTCTTGTAGCGCAGCAGCCTGGCCCCGAGCGCCAGAAGGCTGCGACCTATATGATTCCCCCCGTTAGCATATCCGCGGTTCCTCCTAAACGGTGTCGGTACTTCTTCACCTGGGCGAAATCATCCCCTTCGCGTTGATGACCCTCTGCCAGGGCACGTTGTCGTGGTTGAAGGGCGCGCCGGCGTCCTGCGGGAGGTGCTTCAGGCAGATGCCGACCTGGCGCGGCCGCTGGGCTGCCCCCCCGAGAGGTCAGTTTCCACGTCCGGTCGTCGTCCCGCGGGGAGCTTACGAGTCCCGATGAGCCTCGCGATGTGCCCGTAGCTCGTGACCTTGCCGCGCGGGATCTGCTGCACGGCGGTGTAGACGGCGTAGAAGAAGACCTCGGCCTCGTCGGATCTGGCCATGGCTGGCGCGCGCGTGTTGCGCGGTCCGCGGTTACGGCTGGTAGGGTGTTGTAGCGTAGCGAAACGGAGGCGGCTTCTCGGCACGCGCGCAGTTTCAACGCTGGCTTGCAACCCGCACGGAGCGAGTGTGACGCGGGACGGACGGTGGGCAAAGTCGCGCGCGGCCGACGCGGCAATTGAGGCTGGGGGTGTCTGTCGACGGTGGCGTGAACGAGCGTGGAATCAATCGAAAGACGCGCGCGCCGCCGTCGCGCACGTGCCTAAAGCCACACCACGCCACCCTTCCACCCGGCCAGCACGGTGTAAAATAGGATGTAAGTCACACTGTGCATGCGAAAGGGGGTTTTGTACCGAGTTACTCTATTACCTTAGGTACTTAACACACAGCGTAATGCTTGGTATCTGGATCATGTTCTTATAAGCCAGGTGTCCTGCAGACCGAGAGGCGTATATTAGGAGGAGTAGTAGTAGTAGTAGTAGTAGTAGTAGTAGTAGTAGTAGTAGTAGTAGTACCTACTTAACGCCCGGAAGGACCGCTTGTTGAGGCCATCCCGTAACCTCCCGTAGGGTACTGAGGACGTGCTGGGCGCTATTTATAGCGGCTCTAGAGTTTAGGTCCTCTTCTTAGGCTCCCGAGCCAACTTAGCATATCTGTCCACGTTTCGCGCGTAGCACGTTTTCATTCTGTGTTCCTTATGAGGACAGTTTTTGTGCATTTCCTCGCTTCGCGGTATCTGATGGGAGCGTCCTCCCTCCTTCGACGGCTACCTTGGAAAGCGAGCACCTAACCCCAAAATTTTGCTCCAATGTCTCCGAATACACAGGTAAGTTAAAGTTCCTCGTTGCTGAACGGCCTCCGACCGCTATGGTCTCGAGATGTAGATACTGGGCTTGACGCCCCGACTCAGATCCTATCCTCGCTACCCTCCTGAGCCTTGTTACACTGCAGGGTCACAATACCACGCGACACAGCGCCTCATACACCATGTGCGTCTAGGCCTACCGCAAGTGTACCTACAGGAGTAAGAGGCCGGAGGAGTTCAAGCAATGTAAGGCGCGTCCAGGTATAAACGTCAAATGAAGCCCGGTAACGAAGGAGGACCCACCTAGGTCGGGGTATATGTGTAGCAAACACATAGTGAAGGAGAGGAAAGACAAAATGCACAGTTAGGATGTGTGGTGGAGTGATGGTTTGTCTGCGGGTTGGGCGAACGCCGGCGAGCGCGTCGAGACATCGTGTTAGGGGCAACAGAAGGATATGAACGGGGGGTACTTGGTATAGCACGAAGGATAACTTCAGAAGCGCTTTTCTTGGAGGCGGAGTGAAGAAATCTAACGAGATTAAACCCGCCCACGGGGTAAAGAAGAGCTTGATCTCCCTGTCAGACTTAAGTTACATGCATGAACCTGCCGGGTATCCCTGGTGTCTTCTTCGCAGGTTCATACCTCGCAATGTGCCCCGATACCTCTTCTCTTGTGTGTTTGATCCTTAAATGCCTCGTTTCCTCCATCTCGTCCTTGCAGCTAAGGCAGATGTATCCCCAGTCGGCCTATAGGCCAGAATCGAACAGATACGGTACGGTAACGACGACCATAAGCCGCTGGGGTTCCTTAATGGTCTTATCTACCTTTGGAAGACGAGAACTCGCCGGATCCTGATCACTACCCGCCAGTCGAAGAGTTGAAGCCGCCTCTGCGCTAAATTGCCCCATTCACCGGCCCAGGCAGTACAGTACAGCCCGGGCAAGCTCAGGATACTTGGGGGATTTGCCGTACGTAGGTGTTGGCGACTGGTGATGGCACGGCGTTGCTGCGTCCTACCGGGAGTGAAGAAACTCGATGCACGGCTCACTGTTAGAGGAAAGTACCTGTATATCTATCAAGCTCTATAGGTATAGCGATGTAGATGAAGGATGAAGAACGAAGGATGGATAGTGAAAATACGTGCGCGAGACTTATATAGATATTCATCCAAAACCCTACAAGGACAAGCCCTACCGCATCACTACAATACCCACGAATCTATACTCATTCTAACACCTCCGCGGAACCTGTGTTCACGTCAACGCCACCCAGAAGTCTCCCACGAGGTGATCCGTGCTTGACAACACCCCGTAAATTTCGAATCTCTGCTTGCCTAACTCGTCCACGTCGGCGCGCGGGTACTTCTGCCTCGCTTCCGCCGCCAGACTCGTCGCCGCGCCCCCGCCGCTCCCGCTCGCCAGCCACCCCGACACACGGCCCCACATCCCGGCCAGGCCTGCGCGCCAGGCGCCCCGTGTCGGCGGCAGGGCCAAGTAGGCCGTCAGACACGCGAGGTCGTCGCTCTTGATGACGTTCGCGCCGTCCCCGTCGTCGATCTCGACGTCGCTCCCGGCGTCGTTCCCGCTGTCCCCCTCGTACTGCCTGAGGCCCCGGGACCAGAGGTCCACCAGAGGGCCCAGGTCAACGTGATGCAGGCCTTCCGGCTCGCCACCCGCTCCAATCTCGTTGTCGGTCTTGTTGCTGGTCGCTCGGTCTGTATAGTACACCAGGACGGTGACGTCCGCGTCGACGCGGTCGCCCTGGCGCAGGGCCGCCGCCAGGATCGCCACCTGCCAGCCGGGCGTGCCCGCCCACGGGCGGTGGGGGAAACCGTGAACGAACCCGGGTACGTAGAATATGATTACGCGTAGCGCAACTAGCCACAGCGACACCGTGTGGACTTGCCGGCGCCGCCCTTTCGGAAACAGATTTCTTTCTACTTCTTCCTCCTCCTTCCCCCTTTCCCCTCCCCTAGCCTGCTGTCGGTATAGTGTAACCTCTATCTTCGCGCTGAAGCTGCCGCCTTTGTCGATGATTTTCTTTACCATGACATCCCTGCCATTTCGAAATGCCGTCAGGAGAAGGCTCTTGCCCGGCTGATCTAGCTCGTCGATGTGGTGACAGGACTCCACGCGACGCGATGTATATTCGACGTATTGGAGATGGCATGCCAAGTGGACTAGCGAGGTTCGTATCGTAGCCCTGTAGTGTAGCGTTTGACTGGCGCCCAGATATAACTCCCCTGCTGCTGGGAAGGAAGAGTACTGGCCCAAGCCGTTCTTGTCCAGCAGATCTTGGTAGGCTTGGAAGACTTGGGTATGATGTTCGACAAGATGGTCCCCAATTTCCTCATTATTACTCATTATTGTATGTCTAATATCAACGAGTGGATTAACGACATTGCCAAGTAGATGTCTAAAGTGCGGGCCATATCGATCATTCGTCTCGGCCAACCAATACTCCATAGAGACTGTGCATTTCAGCATCGCTAGAGTAAGCTTGAGAGAGAGATCACCCGTAATGAGTCTGAGGCTCACCTCGCGAGTCCTTTCCACAAACCAATCCTGGAGCAGAAAATCCTTGACCGTCCGATGGAAGGGCTGTACGCAATACTGTGAGAAGAGAGGCGCCTTGCTGAGCCTCATAAAGTTAAAAAAGGACGTTCCCCTGGTATTCTCTCTCATCTCCAGCAGCCCGGCGGTTAGATCGCTGAGTTCCCGCTTGACCGTATCGAGAATCCTCTGTGCCTCGAGTTCGTCAAGTGCACGCGCCTTCATGGAACATGGAAACGTCGGATCGTCGAGTTCATCTATCCAGTCAAAAATGACGGCGTCCAGAGGCGAGCTATAATGATTGTGTAGTGCTAGCACCAGCATTTTGTCCCCTCGCTGCCGGCCCGCCTCGTCCGTCTTCATCAGCATGCCCCTGTAAAGCTCGTTAAGTTTCTTGGGGGTCTGCGCAAGAAGCTTTAACAACTGGTCCGCATTGTAGATGCCCATCTTGATACCCAACGACCGCACCACGAGGCAAGCCCAAAGAAACACACCCTCGGAGAGGTCCACAATTCTAGAGGCGATATCCGACAGCTCTTCACTTGATAGTTTCAGATGCCCTGGCCGCAGTCCTTGCTCGGCTTTGAGCATTTGATGCGCGAACTTGTAGATGTCTCCCTTGGTGAAGTCGTGGACGTATATCGTCTGCCCGGATGCATCAAACGTGTCGATGAACGCGGCGTGGGGTCGCGCGCTGCACAGTATCTTGACGTTGGGGTGCTGGGACCAATCCCGGAGGTATCGCGCGAGGTACAGGTGGTCCATCAAGTCTCCTTCGTACTCGTCGAGGCCGTCTATGAAAAAGCACATGCGGTACCCGGGCAGATGTTCCATCGTAACTATCTCTCTCACTGCCTCTTCTAATTCCTTGAGTCTAAAGGGGTGGCGGTTCGCGAGCGACGACGAGAATGCGCCGGCCCACCCCGTCGACCGAAGCAACCGTTGTGTCAGCTCCGGGCATTGCGCCAGAACCTGGGAGAGCAGAGACCTGTAGAACCCTTCTAAGCTCCGCTGGAGCTGAGATCCGGCACTCCAGAAATACAGGGAGACGAAGACTAATTTGTAACTTGCTGCCCATTCTCGCAGAGCATCGCGTACGACATAGTTGGTCTCAGAACCGAGAAATTCTGTTTGTTTTTTGCGCAGCGCCGGTCAGTTCAAAACACGAAGCGATCCTTGGGGTCGTCGTTGATATCGTCAACACACGCAGAACAGACCTAAGGGGTCGACACTGACATAATACCCGCGGCATAGGGTGTGATATGCCGCCTCGACTGTATGGCGCTCAAAGTCTACAATCAATATTATCAGAAAAGAGGCAAACTCACTCATTAAGGTTGATTTCCCAGAGCCGGCCTTTCCAGACACGAAGAAGGTCCCGTTACCTTCGCGGAGAAATTGCAAGAGGCGTCGAGAGAGCTGCCGACGCTGGGGCCCCTCTATATCATCTACCCAAGACATCGCACTTGGTTTCTGGATAGGGGCCGCATTCGTGCCATCAGATTCTTTGGCTACGCCCTCCGTATACTCGCCTTGACCTCCCTTTGAGACCTTATTTTGATCTGGAGGCGTTTTGTCTATTAATACGTCGTCCTTCGTCTTGAAGTCTGCGCCAGGTTTAGCCTCGATCTTGGGCAGTTCGATGTCGGTATCGCTCTTGACGTTAGAAACACTCTCCACTGGCGCAGCGTCTGTGGTAGCCCCATTCATAAGTTCCTCTCTGTGGCCTTCTCTGGAATCTCCGGCACTTTCTCTATTATAATCGTCATCGCTGCCGCTCGTGCCGGCACCGCTTCCCGCTACGGAAACTGGTATATTTTCCGAAGCCTCGCCGATAATCCAGTTATATGTCCCGTCGCTTGGGTTAGCGACCGAGTCCTCGCGCGCGTACATGTCATCGAAATACAGCCTTTCAAGCACGATGTTCTCCTGCGTCACCGTTTCGGATAGGCTCTTGAGATTCTTCAATTCATCGCGAATCTGATTCAAGGCGTTCTGCTCCTGCTCTGACTGCGAAAAAACGGAAGAGGATTCGCGACTGAGTATTTCATTCAGCTTCTCCCGCGTTTCTTCGAGTCTCTTCGACGTAAGACTCTTCAGCATTTCGCCTTCTCTCACAATCGCCTCCAGGTGAGCCCTGACGGACGAATTCTGGTCCCTATAGACCCGTTAGTTGAACTGCTTAGTGAGGGCTCCGCGCTTACTACCATCCTACTTACACGAGCAGCATTTGTAGTCGCAGCATGATTTCATCCCGATACTTGTCGATCCTCTTCTCCATGCTTTCGATCTTGTCTCTCCTCGTGATCACCTTCCATCTTGCTTTGATGGCCTGCCAAGGCACGTTGCCCTGCTGGACCTCGAGCGACCTCAAGGTCTTTCGCAGGTCTCGCGAGAGCGTGCCGCATTGGCTCGCCAACTTAGCTAGTTCCTTTTCGTGTTTCGAATAACCCCTAAAATCGACATCGATCGCATTTGTGACGTCCTTGAGATCCTGGATCACTGTGTCGATATGCGCATTTTCCTCGGCGGCCCCGTTGGCAGAGCCGGCTACCTCGTACACGCCCCGGACCAGCTTCCCGGCGAAGTCTATGAACGACAGAACACCAGCTGCGATCCCGATGGCGCTGATGGGATCCATCGTCATCCGCGGGGTAGGCCTATTGCGATGGGTCTCGATAAAACGTCGTGTAGTTACTACCCTCTGGGCGAAATCAATAATAATATTATATGCCCAGTGGAAGATTCCTCTCGTTCAAGATAATATGAGTCAAGACATATCCTGGTGCGCCTCCTTATCGGAGGCTCAGCTGCGGACCTTGCTCAGCCCACTGCCACTTCACCACGCTTAATATTCCTGGTGTACACGACAACGCACCGTATACGGAGTCGCATATCTACATCTGGGAAAAAAACCCCCATTTTGGGGTGGGATTCCCTACTTTTAATGTCTAGACTTACGACCCAATAAAATAGAGTATCCATTTCAATGCATATTACCGTTAGCACATTATCATGGCTATGGTAATTTGCATATTCAATTATATGTGTTATTTTCGTCTGTTTATACTACGGTGGCATCTAGGCGTCTAGAATGGAGCTCTGTGATTGGTCAGATTGAAGAAAAACCCTCAACAGCTAACTGCTCGTAAAACGCTGTATTTAAGCTCTTTAAGCCGTTTAGTTTTACCTCCTTTCAATTGATCAGTCAGATTCAGCTTTCAACGTTCTATATGTCTTATAAATAAGGCAGTGAAGCAACGAGAGTGAACCCTCCACAACGCACAGGTCCACCCGCCTCCGGCTAAGGCTCGTCACGAGGGCTGGGTTGGGAGAGGCTTGAAGGATCGCTGGCCGATGGAAAGGCTTGAGTTCTCAACCTTGGAACTAGAGACTACCTCGATTTCCAGCACAACTGCCTGTGGTTCCCTTATAGTTGGGTACAGTCGTAATTCCAGCTATGCCTTTTTTGGGCTTTCTTCCTTAAGCAGCTGCGTGGCTTGACAAAACTGACGAACAAGAGGGTTCGCGCATACATAGCAAAATAACAGACTACCGATTGTCCTGACTAAAGATGCCGGTGTCGACTATATCGACCAGAACTCTTTCCACAGCCCAGAACGCCCATTCTAGCTATTATTTCAGTTCCTACCTAGCCTCAATAAACCCTGTGTTTCGCCTCGGTGATATAGACGTTGTAGTAAACCGCAACAGCCATATGCGTTTCCTGAAAGTTGCCCTGAGCATTTGCCTTTGTCGTGCATTAACTTGAGCTGGTACTGCTGTAACCTGAGCGTAGGGTGAGCCGGCATCCGCCTTAGGCACAGATCAAGAGCCTCGTTTTTGGCCACCCCGGCTGTTACCATTTACTAAAAATGGAAATAACCATGCAAGGATAGTTTTCAGGCTACGCTTATTTTTGCCATTTCGATCCATCTACTACCATCCGTTAGATATACGCTGGTTATATAAGTTATAACCTTTACTATAGGTTTTATATTTTTACCGTTAGTATTTTAATGATTAATTGCGAAAAGGGCAAATGTAATTATTCGATAAGCTATACAGTGACGAGAGACTAAATAACTAGCGAATAGAAGGTAAATGGTATCCTTAACGAAGACCCACAATGCATTTTAAATAGACTTGTTATAAAGAGTAAGGTAGGTAGAATGAGCGGATAACCCATTAGCTTTGATTTACGAGAGCGAGTTACTTAGCTAATCTCTTAAGTAAGGAATAGTAACGATAGCTAAGACTAATAAGCCTATGTCACGTAAAACGTAGACGCCCACGATACGCTTTGCGGTATGTAGGCATATAAGGACTAGTTCAGTTGCTACGTGACAAATACTATAAAGGATATCGAGAAGTTAGTAAGCTTTAAAAATGGAGTTATTTTTTATAAAGGGGATTTTCTCAAGATTATAAAGGGGGACTTTATTATCTATTATTAAGCGTTAATTTCATGAGTTAATAGATTAAGAAGGAAGATTTTCCTAAAAGGTAAAAGATGGAAAAAGTCAGAGCTAGGACTATATGCCTTAATGAAAGAGATCCTTAGAGAAGCCTAGATAGACTTAAAAGTATTAACGGATACTTAGATTTTCATAGCATACCTAGTCACATGCTTATGCCTGGTAATCGTACTTAGCTGAATACTTGGGCCTTCTTCGTAGATACCTCAAATAGTTAAGTATGAAGACTTAGACTTAATAGCCAGCCGTATACCAAAAGACGTCAAGTGGATGCCCTCTATACTGAGAGCCCGCAGCCACTGGAGCCCGACGAGTGCTTCAGCTTGAAGAATTGATCACCGAGCATTACAATCTGATGAACTGACGGGCGCATAGGACACACAGCATTGATTCAACCCAAAGATACCCATCCACCAATTTGTCCTCTACTTGCAAAACCCCCATTCCAGCACTCCCCTTTCCTGCCGAGATTACTAGTCTAGTGGACCAAATCCCATCGGTCACGGCTTTTAGCTAAACGTAGTATGAGAAACTAACGACGGAGAGAATGGCCGAGAGAAAGAGCAACGGGTTGATTTAGTTGTAGCTGTGGTCAGGCAGGTTGGCGCTATCAGCCACTTCCAGATCGAATGTAAGGACAGCCAATTCTATTTTCTGTGGCTCATCCTAGTTCAACAGACGTGGCGAGGAACGCCTCGCATGTCATCTGCCCATCGTCTACGAGCGCTTTGTCGCTTGCCAACTTGTCCTTGGCTACTTCATATTCCTTCAACCTAAGCGTCTTCTGCATCACAAATGCCTCAACCTCTGGTAGCGTACCAAACTCCGCCTTACGCCTCTCCCACTTCTGTTCACCCACATGTTGGCGTAGCTGCGTGAAGGGAAAGCTACGGTGGTCATTGAAGCCGACCGAGATGAGCATATGTAGCCACATGGCCCCCGATTCCTGCGACCACTTGACGAGATTGGAGAGTTCCCTCTCCTCGTGCCCTGGCATTTTCGCCTCTTCTTCCTCCAGGACGCGTCTGTAGATATTGAGGTACTTGAAGTACCGCTCGGCGAGCTTGGGTGGTTTGCCATCTTGCCACTCCCACTCTTCGTTGACGGGTCTATCTTGGAGAAGCCACCACGGCGCCGAACCAAACAACTGGGCGGGCCCGATGTATGACCACTCGAGGTCCACCACTCCCACGACAGTGAGGTCTTCCTTGCTTCGGACAATTAGATTCGCCAGGCCGAGGTCGTCACAAATCAGTTTGAACTTCCCACCGTCATACTCCTTGTTGATGAGGTTGGGCAGCAGGGATTCCAGAACCTTGAGCGCCAGGTATCTACTTCTGGCGTCATGAGGGCCGTAAATCGAGTTTGGCTGGTGAGTGAGCTGCCCGAAGTCCTGTCCTAGGAGGTACTGAAAGTACTCGGTCGCCGTCGCGAACCCTTGGCATCGGTCACCTAGAGACCATGTTTCTCAGTTGAGGAACCCAATTAGGATAGAACCATGGGGAACAAAGTTTGCAAAGGGAATGAGAGGGACATGTTAGCAACAAGTCGTACCAAAAACATCAACTCCACCATTATGTAGAATGTCATGTGCCTTGTACGTCAGCGGGCGCTTCGGCGTGGGGCTTTCAGGTTTACCCTCTAGCGACGGCAGGCTGCCGATGCTGTCAAAATCGAGGCTGAACAACTGGAGCAGAAAGTTCGCAAACTGCCTGTAGATGACCTCGATGTCTCCATCGCTGATGTCCTCTCTCAAGAGTCTCGTGGGCTCGGATTCGTTGGGGTCTGTGAGGAGGTCGTTGAGGCACACGCCGTCGATGAAGTCCATCATAATAAATGCACCCAGACCGAGCGAATTGTCGGCAGCGTAACCCCACGCCTGGACTTTTGGGACAGGAATGGTGGTCCGTTCGCGGATGAGGCTGAGGGCTCGCACCTCCATAGCAACCTTCTCCTCAGCATATTCATTGTGGACCTTGCCCACACGAGGGAAACGAACCATCCAGGCTGTGCCGTCACTAAAGACCATCTTTACGCCAGCATTGAATGAGCCGTGGTGGAAGGTGCCCTCGAGTGCACAGGCAAGTCTCTCAGGATGAAAGGTGGAGACCCACGGGCAGAGCTGGCCCCTCTCGTGGGCTTTGTTCAGCTCATCGACCCAGTGTTGAGCCTGTACCTGGTGGCGGAGATCGAGGAGCCCATTATTGTACATGGCGTCGGAGAAGGTGTGTTGGTTGGGCAGTTGAAAGGAATATGACTTTTTGTGAGCGAGTTGGTCATCGGGAGGGAGGGAGCGAGAAATCGCAGGAGGGCACTTCCCCAAGATGCGCTAGTAACTTAGGCCTCAACTCCGTCGCGGGCAGGTGATGTTTTCGGCCTGCACACCGCGGTCTGGCCGCAAGGCTCGAATACCACAACTCATCAACCCCGCTAATTTAAGCTGCCTGAATGACTTGGCGGTGGAAGGATGCTGGCTAAACTTGAACTCTGCATCTTTTCTTACTGTACCGTACTCGCATTCGAGATCGAGTGCTTAATCATTGATTAGCGGACTGGCGGGTGAGCCGCGGTAATCGTTTTACAGGTGAGTAAACGCTCCTTTTACAGCCCCCTTTACAGCTTATATTTCAGTTAAATAGGCAAGCAACTTATCAGCGCCATTAAATACTTACCTTCATTAAGAACTACTTTATAATTCTCTCGTTCCTAAGCATTATAAAACCAACGTAGTTTAGTACGCATACTACAGGGCGTAACTCTCTTAGCCTTCTTATCAAGTCTACCCTTTATCCCAAGCTATATAGTCCTCGTAAAATATTTCATAGTTTATGTATCTTTAGGGTTTAAGCCTGGATACCTTTCTCAGATAACCACATAGGTTAATATATAATCTTAGTATCCCGCGTGGTAAGGAATTAATTGTAACAAGGGGATATGCTTGGAATAGGTTTAATTTAACTAATAATTCTATAGGGGGTCTCTTAGGTCCTTATCTTCTTCCAAGTTCTACGTTCCCTTCTCGTCCTAATATAACCCGGAAGTACCTTTGTACCTTTATACCTTTATACCTTAATACCGAAGCTATCCGAAGCTTATCTAGGACTTTCTTTGGTAGGTCGCCGAGGTAACGGCCTCGATGCCTAATATTATTCTCCTAACCTTTATAGCTTAATCTATTAGCGTAGGGTTTCATTATCCGTATAATATTATCTCCTTTCTTCGGAGGAATTCGTCCTTAAGCGTAATGCCTAGGCCCGATAGTTAGTAGGTTTATTAAGGTTCTATAGGTAGAATAACTTAACGGCTTCCTTCGTTCCTTCGGTAGTAAAGTATTCCTACGGTTCTTAAGTCTAGTAGCGCTTAGCCGGCTAGCCTTATTACTTTACTAGGTATCTAACGACTTCTCCGGTTCTTACGGAATTTAGTACCTTATTTACCTCGTAGTTTTTTACTTCGATCGGGGCTACCTTCCGTAGGACCTAATTAAGGTTAGGTAATTCCTAATTATTAGCGCGGTAAGGTTCGATAAGGAATACGTAGAAGGTACTATAAATACGCTAGCCTTTCGGGAGTATTAAAGTTACGGCGGTAAGGGAAACGACCTTTTAGATCTTAAAGGAACCGAGCATCTTCTTATCTATCTTCTTTATAAGGCGTTTGGTTTTAATATTACGGGCGTTTAATATAACGAGCTATCCGACTTTTAAAGGAAGTTCCTTCTTTCGGTATCTATTTACTTATCCTTTTATCCGCTACCGTACTTTTTCTAAATGCTACTTAGCTTCGTTATATACCCGAGTTATTTAGTAAGTATAGAGGTTACTTCCTAGATTCTTAAGGGTACCTAAAGGGGGGTTATATACGGCTAGGTACTACCTATAGTTAGCATAGAAGGGTAATATACCGGTAGCTATTAAAGCGGTATTATTATAAGTAAATTCGGTAGTAGGTAGTAAGTTTTCCTAGTCGCTTATTTCGTAATTTACGAAGGCGCGTAGGTATACTTTTAGGATTTAGTTAAGTTTTTCCGTTTATCTATCCGTTTAAAGGTAGAAAGCGGTACTTATTCTAGGCTTAACGCCGAGGAGCTTTAAGACGTCCTTCTATATATAGGAGGTAAATCGCGAGTCTCGGTCGGAGATAATGTTTAAGGGGATTCCATATAGCCGCTAATAACTACGTATAAAGATAGGTATTAGGTCTTCGGCCTTCTTACCGTCTTTTTTTAGCGGGATAAAGTACGTTATCTTAATAAAGGGGTTTATAATAACCTAGATAAAATCGCAGCCGTTAGATATTAATAAGTCCGTAATAAAGTCTATTACGATCGTTTACTATAGTCGATAATATAGCTCTATAAGCTATAGTAATCCGAACGGGGTATATCGGGATATCTTATTTTATTAATATTCGCGGTATCCCCTAACGAATTCCCTAATTATTACTTCTAGGTTAGGCTACTAGAAGTTACGAATAATAAGTTCTATGGTTTTATTTATACTTATATGCCTCGCTACTTTAATATCGTATTCCGATTTAATTACTTCCTATTATAAGTTCTTAAGTATTTAAAGACGGTTTCGCCGATAGAGAAGGCCTTCCTAAAGCTCCATCTCCTTACCGAGTAATTTAACTAATTAAGCCTAGTACTCCGGGTCCTATATAGCCGCCGTTTTAACCTATTTAACGAACTCTAAGGTCTAAGTAGGTATTAGGATACTACTTAATCGTACGCTAGAGAATATTACCGTAGGTAAGCCTAAATTTTTTAAAAAATGTTTTTTCTATAAGACCGTCGCTATCGGCTAGTCCTTAGCTCCTCTTTTTTTAAGGCGATATTATAATAATCTAAATAAAATATCGGCCTTTTTATTTTACTTCCTTAAGCGATAGTATATTATAAAGTAATACGAAAAGAGCTATTAAGCCTAGCGGACTTAGCGTCGATTTAATACTTTTACCGTAATAAAGTACGTTAGGTTCTAATAATCGGAATATACTTCTATCTAATGCTAAGTACCTTTAAAATAATATCGCTATTTCTCGAATGCGTTAACGATTATTAGTAGTTCCTTATTATATATCTTATAATTTATTTCCGCTAGGGTAAGTCGTCGTAAGAAAAAGGCTACTAGTTTTAGTTTCCCTTTATTATCCTTTTATAAGAGGACCGCGGAAATAGCGAAATCTAAGGCGTCGGCTTCGATAATTAAGATTCGGTTAGGGTCGAAATATATAAGTACCGGGGCCTTCGTAAAGGTTTCTTTTAATTCCTAGAAGGCCTTCTTTATTTCGATTTCTTATTTCTATAGCTTACGGTTTCCCTTATTAGCGTTAGTAATTAGCCTAGCTATGCCCGAGAAATTACGTATAAATTTACGGTAAAAGTTAACGAACCTAATAAAGCTTTATAAGTCTTTAAGTATAGCTAGGATACGCTAGTTAAGAATGGCTTCTATTTTATCTTTAGATATAGTAATACCTCTAGGACTTATATTATATCCTAAGAATTTAACTTCTTACGTTCGCTAGGTATATTTCTTTAGGACTACCGCTAAATAGTTCTCTATAAGCCGTTTTAAGACTTCTTTAATTAATTTGTTATATTCCTCTAGCGTATTAATATAGATTAGGATATTATTTAAATAAGCGATAACCCCGGCGTTTAGAAGGTCGCGGAAGATATAATTTATTATGACTTAGAAGGTAGCGGGGGCGTTAATTAATCCTATAGGTATAACCGTATATTCGTATAGCCCGTATCGCGTTCTAAAGGCGGTTTTCCATTTATCGCCTTCCTTAATCCGTACCATATAGAACCTAGATTTTAGATTAATCTTAATAAACTACCGCGCCGTTTGGAATAGGTTCTATAATTCGTTAATTAACGGAATCGGATATTAAACGGGTATTATAATTTTATTTAGCCCCCGGTAATCCGCTACCGGTCTTAGGATACCCGGGTTCTTTTTATTTATAAATATTATAGATACGCCGTAAAGGGCCTTGGATTTTCGGATTCTCCTTATAGCTATTATCTCGTCGAATTAAGGTTTTAAGGCGTTTAGTTATCGTCCGCTTATAGCATATAAAGGTCCCTACGGGGGAATAGTTCCCGGTCGGAGCTTAATAACGTAGTCCTACGATTACCGATTAAGGAATCGTTATCCGGCTTCTTTAGTTATAATAGGAACGAAGTCGCGAAATTATTCCGGTACTTATATTAAAGCCTCTATTTCTCGTACGGTTCCTACGCGAGCTATCCGTAGGCGATAATTCTAGTATCGTAGCGAATTAAAGTATAGCCGTTCGTTTATAAATAACCCTTAAGAAGGATATTCCTTTATCTATTATTAAGGTAGGATAACGTCGATCTCTTCGTTTAATTTACTAACTTTTTAAGCGATACGGTAGATATATTCGTAGCTACGGAGCTTTATTTTATTTATATACTAAAATCCTCCCGATAAGATTTCGGAGCCGTCGAATCCTACTAAGGTCCTAGCCTTGGAGCGTTAGTTAAGGAAAAGGCGTAATTATTCGACTTTAGCGGCGTTAATTAAGGATACCTTACTACCGGTATTTAAAAGGACTCGTAAGGGATATTCTTTTCCTTAATATTTTATCTATATCGTATGGATAGGCCGTTTACCTAACCTTAGTTCGTCTAGGTTACGCTAAAGGACTCGTAATTTCTTCGCCGTTAGTACCGCTTCCGTTACTTCTAGCGTTCCGGGCCGTTTAGTAGCCGTAATCTTTACGTTATTTTTATCGCCCCTTTCTTCCGTTAACGCTTACGGGGGGGCATTTAAAAATCCCGTTCTTTATCGGAGTCGGATAATTCCATAATATAGGGAAGAGTTTCCTCCTATCGTATGGTAGTATCGATCCTAGCCCTTTTATTAGGTAGTAACTCGGGTTCCTTCCTTCTTCTTTTTCCCGATAAGACTTTCTTAGGTAACGCCGGTAAGTCCTATCCTTCTAAGTCCTTTTTTACGAAGCAAGCTAGGGTTTAATAATTATTCCTTCCGTATTTCTAATAGGCCTTCTTATTCTTCTTTCGCTAATCGATAGCGGCCTAGTTAATCCTAGCTAAAGCTTCCTTATTACCTATCTATCGTAAGTCCTTAGCCTATACGGGTTTCTTATTATTCTTTTTCTTACGTTCGTTTACCGGTTAGCTTAAGCGGGAGCGAGTCTCTTTTACGGGTTACCGCTATTACTAATCCGCTTTCGTATATTCCTTCTACGAAGCGGACCCTCCTTTTCCCGAAATCCTTAGGTTAGCTATTATATTTTCGTAGATTTAGCCGGCTTCTTTAATTATTCCAAGGAAGGCTTTATCGCTTTCGGGAATACTACCTAATCGTAAATAAACTAGCTTAGTTATTTCGTCGGATAAGGTACGGGTAATATAATTCTAAAAGGTAGTTCCGGACCATTAAACGATATCGTTAAGATCTATTAACTCGGTAAGGTATTAGGAGATATCTCCTTAATACTTTAGTTCTTATATCTTCTTAAAGTTACGATATCGTTCGGCGAGATCTTTAAACCGTTTTTAAAGTACTTAGGAATATCCCGCTTAAGTATCGACGATTATTAACCTTTCTACCTAAGTTAGCCGTTATTAATACTAGAGCTAGGCCTTTTCGGTAAGTATCGATCCTATTTAATTAATTTTTTAAACGTCCCGGGTAAAACTTTCTTTATAAGTTTCGAGGTAGGATTTAACCTTAATTTACTAGGGTCGGAACTTAACTAAGTCCTTACCGTTATAAGCCGTAAGCTTAATAAGGTATACTAGATTAATCGTTACCGTAATACTTCGTCGATTATCCATAGCTTTAATCTAAGCCCTAACTATACGTTCCTCGGCCGGGTCGAGAGGCTCTTACGGTTCTTTAGGGGCGCCGGGCGGGCGTCGCGGCCTCTACGGATCCCCGGATTCTAAGTTATCCGAATCGTCGGAATCCCTTAGGTCCCTTAGAGTATTCCGCGGGATTCGTAAGGGTTACGGTAGTCCTTACCCGGCTCCTCTTAATATAAAGGCGCTTACCGCGGCGTCCTAGAAACGGGTTCTTACGCGCGCGGCGATACGTTTAGCCGCGGCGTCTTAGAATACGCCGTCGGAAATAATTTCCCTTATTTTAGCCTCGCTATTAATATATTTCCCGGTAAACGCTATCGTAATTCGGATATCCGGCGCGGGAATAGGCGTTCTTATCCTCTAACTAGCTCTTACGATAATAAACTTAATATCCGTTAGCTTATTACTTAGTCGTCGTTACTAATATTCCTTAATTAAATTAACCGCGTAAGCCTTAAGGTCGTCCTTAATTAACTAGGTTTTTTCCTCTATAGCCCCGGGGATAAGATATTCTTTACTAAGGATTTCGTTAATTTATTTATCTTTTTACGTAGCCTAGGAACTAACGTCTATTACTAATTTATTATATTCCTCGCGTAGCTAAGTTAAGGCTCGTTAGTTTTATAGTACGGCGTCTCGAAGTTAATTTATTACGGCCGTTCGTATTTTATCCTACCGGGTAAACTTAGCTACGGTTTCCTATACGTTCTAGGCAAAGTAGGTACTCTATTCTACGACTTATTTCTAGAACTCGTAGATCTATATCTTCGTAGTTCGGATACCGGTAGCTTATATTACCGTAGCGGTTTAATAAAGCTATCGTAATTATTCGTACTACTCCTTTAGGATCGTATTTTATCGGTATCCTACGTCGATTTAATTAATTAGTATTACTAGGCTTTAATATACTTATTCCATTTACTTATATAAATCTACGATCTACTACGGGGAATTACGTATAACTACTCCTAAGTTCGCGATTTCCGGAATATCCGTTATAATTACCTTATATTCCTAGGATTAATATACGACGAGGGATTTATTAATTAATTCGGGGGTTAGCTCCGTCTAGGACGCTAGGGTAATTCGTTCGGCGTCCTTTACCTTTAACTCCGCCATTACGGCCTTTAGTTTATTAATCGTAGCTATTATCTAGGCTACTTCCGTTATTAAGATCGGCGCTACCCCCGAAGCGGCTAATCGCGGGAGTAAAAAAGCCTACGGTTCTAATTCTTTAGTAAAGGATCGAAGTTAATCCGATAATAATAATACCGGGATAGCGGCTTTAGCGTACGACGCCGGCTTAGGCGTAGGCTTTTCTTATTATTAACTTATAATAAAGTTATAAGGGTAAGAGTAATATAGAATTATCTATAACAAAGGGATATACTTAAAATAGGTTTAATTTAACTAATAATTCTATAAGGGGTCTCTTAGGTCCTTATCTTCTTCCAAGTTCTACGTTCCCTTCTCGTCTTAATATAACCCGGAAGTACCTTTATACCTTTATACCTTTATACCTTAATGCCGAAGCTATCCGAAGCTTATCTAGGACTTTCCTTAGTAAGTCGCCGAGGTAACGGCCTCGATACCCGATATTGTCCTCCTAACCTTTATGGCCTGATCTATTAGCGCAGGGTTCCATTATCCGTATGACATTAATACGTTCCATATGTAAAGGTCTCTGTCATAAGCACTTTTGCTCTTTGGCTTTAACTGCCTGCGAACAAGGTAAGAGCCGATTATTAATCTGTCTGAGAATCCTTGTTCCAACGCCGTCACTATCACTTCGTCTGGATCGACGCCCTTCCTTCCACCGGCCTTCTTTTAATACATTTACTTAACAGCACTCATAACGTACAGTGCTCGTGTTAATGACGAAAGACAAGGGGTAAATTACTTCGGTACCTTTAGCATAACATAGAAAGCAAATAGCTGTAAGAAGTTGAGAGGAACTGAACGAACCTCTAATGCAAGAAGGCACCATATGAATAGAAAAGTAAAACTACGACTGCAGACTCAGCTGAATCAGTTAAATAGAGTCAGGGGCCGTGTTACAGGGAGTTATTTGTGCCCTCCCGGAAGGCGGAAGGAGGTACAAAATGGCTCACTCGGTTATATTTGATGTTATTTACTCCTCACTAAAGCACAGGGTGTTAGTGCCGGTGCAGGGTGCTTAGCGCCTATGTGAGGTTATATAGCACCAGTGCCGTCTCTATAAAAGTAACGCGAAATCATTGCAGGGACATAACGATTAGATTCGTCTCTTATAACCATGACGATAGAACGAAATTGCAGGCAAAATCCACCACCATTCAATCCCAGGCCCAACTCCAAGGAGACGTAGACATATTATATTGGATTGCCTCTATAGCAAGACTTATATATCCTACACGACGTTCACCACATGATACTCGTCCACTGGTTTATAGTTCATTTCGTATGACAAAGCGGCCCACGGCATTCAGATCATCGCAGCCAGCGTTTTATATAAATAGGCACAGGGATAAGGGGCGAGGCCCGCCCTCAGAGGTAACAGCAAGATTCCGCATATTAAACAATAGTAGGTATTGGCCTTACGTATGAAGTGTTACAGACTCGTGGAGTACGACAGGCTCACGTATGCCAGGTGAAAATCGACAACAGGATGACAGAGCAGGGCATTGCACACCCATAGGTGCTTACGTAGCACCAATTTGGTGTACGAACGCAACCCATGTGGCGCAGAATAAGAGCAGCCACACCGAACTGGTTGGTAAGGCGATGGTAACTAACAGTTCCGGGGCACAGCGTTTGTCTAGGGGGGGCCTCGGTATCGAAGTCGAGTTCGTGTCCCACAACGAGAGATCAGATATGCCCACCTCGCTGCATATTTCTATACAATATGCCTACCGGCCGTTATGAGAGGCAAATCGCATGCGCCGTCAACAACCACTTGAGCGATTCAGTACCGCATATTACGGGAGGCGCAGCAAAGCGCACCATGTTCATGACTGATGAGTCCTTCCGCACTGTTTGCTGGCTTGGGTACGGATGAAGGGACAATAAGAGAAGCAAGGCTGCGCCATCCTTTGGTTCTTCGATTCCTAATCTGTTCTACCTCTGCGAGTCAAACAGCGCCCCTGCTCGCACCCCCCGCCATACGGATACACTGCTATACCCTCCCTTCCGGTACCCCGCGCCTGGTCGTACGCTAGGTAGATATTAATCGTAAATGCCTCTCGTACCTGCGTCGAGCGTGTCGAACGGAGGTCCCCAGAACGAGATGCAAACCCGGTCAGTGGGTGCCACGGCGGCGACGGCCCTTACAACCGGGTGGATAACCGGCATTATTCTTTTCGTCGGCTTCGGCCTCGTCGGCCTGGGCATACTCACCTGCGTATACATCCGGAGCCAGCAGCATCGGGGCCAGGCGGCTCAGGCTCAGGCTCAGGCTCACGTTGAGCCCAAGGGCGGAGACCACGGCGCGCCCAGGCCTACATGTGAGGCCCCAAACACGCAAATCCCGCCCCGAGAGCTGCCCGACAACCAAGTAGTGCAGCAGGTGGACTCGAACCCGCGATACGAGCTCGCCGGGTAGCCCATGGGAGAAGCTCGACGACAAGTTTCCTATCACGCGGACCGATCGTTGGGTGGGCGGGATGAAGATTCGGCGGCTAGATAGGGATATCCCATGCGAGGTGGTGGTACGATGGACGATTGCTTGATTTTATCACCCCGCGAACACGCTGCGAAAACAGCAACATGACCCATCCGATATGCGACCGGGGGTGCCTGCAGACTCGTTGGACGATACATACCTACGATCAGCTTACGAACGCGTCGCTAACGAACACGTTATCTCTACCAGCGCAACCGTAGGTAATCAAACGGAAACCAGCCGCTGCAAGATCGATCCGACGAGAGCCGTACCGATCGCGCTCGAAGTGTTCCTGGTCGTGCTGGTACGAGTTCGTCTTTAACCGCGACTAGGCACGACAACGATGACGACCCGAACGCCGAGGAGACTCTGGCTCGGAAATAGACCGATCGCGTGTATCAGTGAGGGCGAGACAGGGGCAGGCCCTCGGGGCACCCGACCCTCCCGCGACCGAACTGGGCTCGCCGGGGTTCAGATTTTCCTCCGCTCATCGGAACTTTCGTTGCCGCGCCCGGGGTGGGGGTATAGGCTTCGGTTAGCTTCTCGCGGTACCATCGACGGTTACGGACTGTAGCGACGTCCAGCGGCCACTCGGTCTTCGCCCCTTAGCGCGTAAGGTTTTTGCGCCTCGCTGGCGCGACAACAACCCGACGGGTAGTCTTCCGCATTTCATCATCGACCGCAGCGAGATCTCGGCGCCGCCATCCTGGCCGGGACATCGGTCGGCCGCAGAGCCTAAGAGCGCAGTGCCTAGAATATAACGCCGAGCTCCCACCGGAACTGGATGGTCGTCGAGGGCGGCGAGCTACGACTCCCATTCGAACGCGGTGGCGGATGTATTCGGCAACATGGCATGTCGGCGGCACGCGGCGGAGAGGAACGGCGCCAGATTAGCGGCCTGGCAGGGTTGAGGGCATTTGGTTAACATAAGTGAGTTGGTAATAGATCTGCAGGAAACACAGCACACCTACAAGAAGGATTTCAGTCCTATGGCAATCAATCTAGGACTCTGAGGCACGGCTCGTGACTGCGGCCATGTGATTTCCTCGATCGACGGTTAACCTGGTTCGTGCTAAGCTAGGCAGACTTCCGCGCCTCGTATGACGTCCCAGTCGCTACGCTCGGGACTTGGCATCGTCGTTTCGGACCACCCGAGGGTTTGAACGGGGCCTACTTTCGGCCTCTTACGAGAGTCGACGGGTAATTGCCTAGAGCCTATGTAGACTCCGCGAATAGCGACCGGAGAAGAGCGGTCCTCCCGTAGCTGTTAGGTGAGGTTGATTTACACTCGTCGGCTCACCGCGTCCGGCTGCGGATATGACGAGACTTCGCGGTCGATCCATCCTCGGCGGGACAAAGCCACGTCCTACCGCCAGACAATACCGGCATGCCATGCTTTGTATCAGCTGATTCTGATCGGAGACATGCCCTTCCAGGGTCCAACTAGGGCTGAGAACGTGTCTGGTCGGATCGATGCCTAATGTGAGGAAGCGTGTAGGTAGGTAAATATGGCAAATAGTCGCTAGGGAGCCCCCTGTTCACTCGTAAGGATGGCCGGGAGGGCATCCCGATGTGCCAGGCCCTCCCCACAGATAAAGCACCAGATTATCCCGTGATTACTAGGGTGCCACACACCGCGCGCATCTATATGACCGGCTCCGCATCTCCATTGCGAAGGCCATCCGAGACCTGGGGCGACGATTCAAGGATGGTTGTCCGCTGTGGAATGAAGCATAATATAGCATTGGACTGGCAATCATGATGCGGATGTTCGAAGCGTCTCGGTACGAGTTCCGTTGTGTATATGTGCAGGGGTATGCTAATAAACCAGGTTGCTTGGCACACGTACCATGAGAAGCCCAAGATAGCTGCTTCACAGCAGTCCCCTAGCGCAAATGACGACGGACATCAAGGTCGATAGTCGCGTTCTAGTAGGATATCACACAGCCATATATGTCTGTGGCTTGCTAATACTAGAGAGCGTCAAAGTTGGCAACCACGGGAGAGGAAAATATCCCTACCTACTGGCTAGGAAATATGCATATTGCCTTGATATCGCAGTCAGAATGGGATCGTCTGAGAGAACGCCTCCTGGCGTTCTGTAAGTCGGCATAGGCATATTTACCTACCTAACAGTGGCCGTCTTACCTAGGTACATTTGGGCCTTGGAGTAATAATTGCGTCGTGTAACCGTGGGTAGAATGTAACCCTAGGTATACACCTATTTGACTGACGAACGAACCCATGCGATGCGACCCTCTAATACTCCAACCAGCGTGAGATTACAGGGGAACGACCATTTGCAGGCTGACTCGAGTGTTTTAGCACGCTTTCCTAATCTATCCGTCTTATTTACGCCGATTTGTCCTCTGGATATACGTGTAGTCTGAGCTGCAGTACGCTGGCATTAGCATGTATGAATATTAGAAAGTTCACGGATTTAATTCGTCTCACCGCCGGGAGGCCACCTCGTTCTCACCGCACCTGTGTCGACCAGCACAGCCAGCGCCGACGAGGTAGGAGGTAGGTAGATTTCCCAGCTCACTTACCCGTTACACGCGCCGACTCCTTCCCATTCATCCCCATGCGACTTCGGTTCCGTGCACGCCTTCGTTATCTCGCGAGCAGGCTTCGCCCGACGGAGTCCTCCAGCGCCAAGCTGAAGGGGAAAAAGGAATGCGCCGCCGTCGACCCACCCACGGTTTTGGTCGCTAGGTGATAAGCGAGGCGCAGCAGTTCGATGCCGGGCCTCTCGAACCTCTCCTCTCGCGCAGCCAGCCAGCCACAATGTTGCTGCCTGTCGCGCGAGCTGCAAACCTTGGCACTGCCCGCGGGCGTTCCGTCGTACCGGCTACAAATAATACCTAGATGGTCGGCTGATGGATCGCCCAACTCGACGCCCAACGCGTCCGTCGCAGGGGGGAGGGAGCTTGAAAGGAAGAAGACGCGGCGCCGTCTTGTTACCCGTAGAGGCGATAAGGAAGCAAAAAAAAAAGGAGAGAAAAAGCAGGAGTGAGAGAGCCATATGCGCCCGAATCCGTCTCATCTCGCTTTTGGCCAAGTGCCTCCGTCTCTCCATCCTGGCTGGAGGCTTCCCGCCGCAGCGCATCCGATGGACCTTGGTTGGGGCGACGCACAAGGCTCACTCGCGTGCGCCGGTAATAATATCATCCTCCTGCGGCTGCTGCTGCTCCTCCTGTTCCTCCTCCCTCCGCCTCACCCCGGTCCCCCCCTGGCCCCCTCCTCCCCTGGCCGCCGTTTCTCATTCGGTAGCGATGCCGTGCTCCCATTATATATCTGCCAGCGAGCCCGCCCCGACGCCCCGCCTCGTCTGCGACCCGGACGGTGACACTGATAGGTGATACCTACCTACTACGTGCACGCCGACCTTCGACTACCGCTGCCTCGCCCCCCCCCCGTCGCGAGGCCACGCATACGCACACCGATAATACGCAATCGTCAACCACCCGAGCGCCGTGCCGACGCGCATTTCGTTCGCTAATCCCGCCGGCCCGATTTGCTCAATCGCGAGCCCGCTACGCCTACCTGCATCCAAGCGAGCACGGTAATACCGCCTCGACTACGACTAGGCCCGACGCACCGCACGCGCACCACGAGGCCATGAGCCCGCTCCCGCATCCCATACCGCTGCCCCCCGTCGCCGCCGTGCCGCGCGCGCCCAAAGGCGGCGGCGGTAAAGGAGGCGGCGGCGGCGGTTCGGGCGGCAGCAAGGCGTCGAAGTACAAGGGGGGTTACTACGGCGGCAGCGGCGGCGGCGGCGGTGGTGGTGGCGGCGGGGACCTGCCGCTGTGGGCGAAGCTGGTGCTCATCTTCGGGATCCTGTGGCTGTGCATCTACCTCGCGTTCTTCATCATCTTCCTGCGGCGAGGTACGGCCCCCCCCCCCGCGCTGTCCCTTTTTCCTTAGCCCGTGACTAACCCGGCGCGCGCCGAGCAGAGCACAACGCGTACCTCGAGGCCCTGCCGCCGAGCGAGCGGCGGCGCCAGCGCCAGCGCTGCTGCTGCGCGTGCCTGCCGGCGCGGGTCGTCGGCCGCGCCGCCTGGCGCGCGTTCCGGTACGCCGCCCTGCTCGAGCCCTTCATCTGGGCCGGCCGCAAGGTGGTCGGGACGCTGCGGGCGCGGCGCCGCGGCGCCGCAGCTGCCGGGGACCCGGACCCGGAGCACCCCGCCGCCGCCGCCGGCCAGCAGAAGCAGCTCCACGGCAGCTTCTACCACCGGCTCGAGGCCCACGACGACCACGACGCCGCGACCCCGGCCCCCGCCGAGGCCCGCGCCAGCGTGTACGCCTACCTCCAGGCCAAGGCGCCCGCGCCCGTCCCCGAGGCCGCCAAGCACAAGCCGCTGCCCACGGACGTCGTGCCCGCGCCGCCCTACGCGCCGCTGCCGCCGCCCCACGACGAGCGCGACGACGTCCTGCCCGCGTACCGCGGCGCCGGCGCGTAGTCCGCCGCCTCCCGCCCCCGCCGGAGCAGGAGAGAGAGAGACAAGTACAGCGGGCCGGTCCCTCGAGCCGCGCGGAGACGGACGTGGGAATCCCCGACGCTACACCGGCTCGGCGCGCGCACATACACATACACACGTATACATATAACGCACCATATACGCTCACCATACCAAACGGTCGCGAGGTGTCGGCGTTAGGATCATAGATACGCAGACAGACACGTCGGTCAGCGGGGGGGGGGGAGCCCGAGAGACAGAGGGCCCTCAACCCCTTCTCCCCGACTTCTACAGGATGTCTGGATGTCATTTTTCGTTCAAGACTTGAGATACCCCCAATAGAATTCCTTTTTCAGGTAGCTTGCCAAATACAAGAATAACAATAAGTTAAGGACAGAGGCGCTGGGTACGTCGCATGTGCGCGTGCGCGATCACGACAGCGACAACAACAAAAATTACATGCGGAACTATACATTAATCGTCGACCGTCCTCCATCCTCTTCTCGCTTTTTGAACTTTCCTGCCAGGTCGGTCAGGAAAGCCAGTCTCCGTGGGGGGAACCCCTCTCCTCCCTTTCTCAGGTATTCATACCGCAAATAACCAGAGGCTCATCCGTAACAAACTTCCAAAGATCCACCGCTGATCCCCGTATGCAAGTGAGGTGGTATCTCATAGTAAAACGCAGAGTCGTTCATCCTTGTGTGGGTCTGTGTGTGTGTGTGTGTGTGCATGTGTACGTGTGTGCATGCGTGTCTGTATTTGTCGTACGCGATGTGTTGGGGGGCGCGATCGGAACCTGAGCTATTCAAGACTGGTTCGCCAAGTAGTTTGCGGCCTAGAGATGGATTGTGTTAGCGATTTGTTCGACTATAGCGCACGATGACTGTGCTGGGTCTTACCCGCTCGAGATTATAGTCATACTTCTCCAGAGCGTTCACGGCGTCCGTCCTCGAATAGCCCATCCCCGTTAAATTCTTGACGATGGGATCATCCGGTTTGCCCTCATCGCTTAATGCTCTCCCTGCGGTGCTGGGTCGGGGCGAGCTTTGGCTCGGGACGGGGCTCTTATTATTGCCGCCGCTTGTATTGGCTGTCGCGTCGTTGGGGGATTCCAGGTTGGAGAAGAGGGCTTCCCAGTCTTGATTATTGGGTGCTGGGGGAGCTTGGCTTGAGCCGGAGGTGGCGTTGGTGTTGTTAGTTGCTGGAGCAGCGCTGGCTGTGGCGGCAGACGTAGAGGAGATCGTGCCAAAGTCGTAGCTGCTATCGATTCCAAATGCATTAGAGACGTTGGTTGACTCGCTCTTGGGTTGGCTTGGTGGAGGACTGCTATCAAAGACGGGATTAAAGTCGTCGAGGTGAGACCTCGACATGTTGGCGAATTCATCGTCCGCCGAACCCTCCTTGGCATCTTCGAGGCCCTCAAATTCATCATCTAGGTCATCAAAGGCGCCTTTTGGGGCGTTGGACGTCGCGTTGGTGGCCGTGCTCGGCGTGGGGACGAAAGGATCTCCGGGTTTTGAGGAAGGAGGAAAGGATGGAGATGACACCGGCGGTTCGGGGAACGCCGATAGGTCACTTGCTTTGGTGTTAGTACCGGTACGAGAGAGTTGCGGGAGTAGTGCGCTGAGAAGTCAGGAGGCCATACTTTGATGGTTGGGACGCGTGCGATGCCGGAGCCGTACCATCCACGGTCGAAGCATCGGGCGTGGCAGCACTCGCCTTTGAAGCTGTGGGGGAAGACGGGGCTTGAGAGGCCTCCTTGGCTTCGGTCCTTTTATTTTCGGGGGAGGCGGGTGCGAAGTCATCCTCAAACCCATTACCCTCGCTAGCTGAGTCCGACTCGTCATCCCGCTCCAGCTCCGAGATAGGAGGGAACTCGGAGTTGAAAGACGAGAACGCGTTGGTGTTGTCCTTTGCGGACTTGTCCTGCGGCTTAGTCGAGGGGCCACCCATGCTAGCGAAAGCAGATTCGAAATCCACCTTCGCATTGCCTGAGTCTTTCAGGTTTCCGAAAAGATCGCTGTCCCTCTTACTGGCGAATGCCGTGTTTGGGGGTGGGGCGGTTGATGTCTCATCGGGAAACGAGCCAGGGGCAGGCCCGTCGTTGGCTGTCTTCGGCCTGTCTTCGCTCTGCGCGGGCAGGGAAGACCACTTAGGGTTGGTGTCGGAGGCCGAGGCTAAGCTCTGGCCCGTTGAAGCAGGCTCTATCGGAGCGGGAGCAAGCGTAGCAATCGCAGCAGTCGTAGTATTCTCACCGGCTCTGCTCACAGGAGGCGAAACCTGGCGCGAGGGGTTTAGCGTCTCGGACGATTCGCCAAACGCTCCGAAGCCCGGGCTGGGTTGTCGCGGCTCAGCCGACACCGGAGCTTCTCCCGCAAAGGAGCCCTGGCGGCCACTTATCGTAGGCGTGGAGCTATTGGGCGTCGCGAAGCCTATGCTGCCCGTCGAGGTGCTGGTATCTGGAGCGGGAAACGACGTCATCGGGGGTGGCGAGGTAGTTTCGCCGTCTAACTCGCCGAATATATCACTGAACGACTTCTCGCCATAGGCCTTAACAGGGGGAGAGGCAAACGCGCCCATTATATCCGTGCTCCCCGGCCGTCGGAAGAAAGGGTTGCTTGTGGTCGAAGGTGTGGGGCTCGTCGCCTGGGCAGGCGCAGAGACTGGCGAGCTGGCGTTGATTTGGCGAGAAATCTCCTCGTTGCTCTTGGTGAGATCTTCAACCTCGGTCTTGAACTTGTCGCGGTCGGCCTCGGCGGTCGAGAGCTGCTTCTTACTAATGGCCACCAATCCCTTCTGCTGTCGTGCCTCCGATTTGAGTTTCTCAATTTGTGGCCTGAGCTGAGAGATTTCGGCATTGACAACACTGATGCGCTGTTTTATCGCAGCATTTTCTTGCTGATCGGCTTGCAGGGCCTGTGACAGCTGGCGATGCTGAGCCTGGAGGTCTTGATAATTGCCATCAATAGTGACCATCTCATTGGTGAGCTTCCTGGTATCTTCGCGAATAGTCCTCAACTGTTCCTCCAGCGCTCGGACATCCTGGGCCTCCTTTTCGTATAGCGTGCGCAGCTGAGACAACCGTTGCTCGAAATTTTTCTTCTGTTCACTCGCTTGGTTGATCTCATTCTGCGTCGAGCTACGCTGGCCCTGAACTTGTTGCATCTGCTTTGACAGGGACCCCACCTGGCTAGACAGATTGGCCAGCTCGGCCGTCTCGTTGGTGAGTTTCTTGCTAATTTCCGGGTCATTGTCTCCGAGGAGATCTTCCATGTTGGAAGGGGCTAGAGCCGGGGGCCCTCTCGGAGTTTGGCCCGAGCCGCTCGACCCTCCGGTATCGTGAGAGGTCAAAGTCTTGCCGAAGGATGACGACGGAACGAAGGGTCTGAAGGTATTTCCCGTGGGCGAGGCGCGGACTGGCGATATCGTAGGCCCGTTGGCGAAAGGGTCTCTAGACGCAGAGCCTCCGGTAGACAAGGGCACTTGTGGCGGGGCTGGGCTCGACGAGGCATCCAGGCCAAACAGATCATCAAGAGCAGATTTCGGATGCGGTTGGGGCTGTGGGTGCGGCTGCTGCGACGGCGGCGGCGGAGACGACGGAACTGGGGCGTCAAACGCCGACTGCGGAACGGGAGCGCGAGCCGGGCGCATAGACGGGGGGATAAGATTCGGAGGGAGGACGGTAGGCAGCGGGATATCACGTCTGCTTCGCTGCTGGCGGATGAGGTACATGGCGACGGCAAACGTATCCCTGGTCAGTCGCCCATCCTTGGGAATATCTACAAGGTCCCAGATCTGGGCAAGAGCATCTTCAGACAGACCCGACTGGCTCAGGAACGGGACAGCCTCCTCGCCGGTGATGAACCCCTTATTTGCCTTATCCAGGTCGGCATAGAATTGGTCGAACCTCGCCTTGTCAGCAGGCGTGACGAGCCAATCGCCGCCAGTGATCTGAGGAGTCACGCCGGTAGCCTGGGGGCCCAGAGGGGGCCTCCCCAGCGGGCTGTTCGTTCTCAGTTGCGCCTGTCCACTCAATTGTCGCGGTATAGCGGGAATCGGGGGGCCAGTAGTGGTGGGACTCTGTCTCGGCAGAGAGCCACGTCTCGTAGCAGCCTCGTAGAGCCCGGCAGGGAGGATACTCGGGGGAGCTTTCAAGGTACCGGACTTGATGGAGGTGAGCAGGTGCATGGCGATGACAAACTCGGTCAGGACAAGCGCGCCCCTCTGCTCTGTATCGACAAGCTGCCAGATGCGGCCCAGAATTTCATTGGGGAGACCCGACTTCTCGAATATGTTCTTTGCCTGGTCGCCCGGTAGAATGCCGCCATTCTGCAGGTTCTGTTTCTCGAACAATCCACTATATTGACTAACTTTCTCGGCCGTCAGCGGCGGTATCCGCACTGGGACGCCACCAGTTGCCTGTGCCTGCAGCGCTGAAGGCGGCGGCGGCGGCGGCGGCGCGGCAGCGGCGATATTGATTCCGTCGAAGCGCGGCAAAGGACCCTGCTGAAGGGCTAGTTCGGCCGTCGGTTCGTGTCCCGCCTGTGCGTGGCCGATGAGTCGCAAGACGATTCCGAAACCAGCAGGTGTTAGAAACCCGCGATTCTCCTTGTCGGCTATTTGCCAAATCTGTGCGGATTATGGGAATTCATCAGCACCTCCTCGCATTATACATCGTATGCCATGGGATTCCCCCTTTCTTCTTTACGTCCAGCAGGTATCACAAAACATACCTCTCCGAGGATGCGCGAATCCAGCCGAGTCTTTTCGAAGAACTTGACGGCGACCTCGCCCGTTACGACACCGACATTATCGGTGTCCGCCTGCCGGAACAGGATGCCGTATACTCGCTTCTCTTCTGGCGTGAGATTCAGCGCTGGCGCGGCTATACGGGGACGGTTAGCTGCTATACTAGACGACACCGATGTCGAAGCGAGCAGAGGATGGATGGCGTATGAATATCGAGCGATGGACGTTTAGAGGAATATCGTTAGCTTACCGGCGTCGACGCCCGATTCGGAAGACATTGTTGCGCAGCCGAGCTCGGTAGGCCTCAATTTAAGACAGAGCTCGGCGATGGAGATGTTGGAGAGGTGGGTTTCAGATGAACAGTCAAAAAAAAAGGGGGACAATTGGCAGCAGAGGCGAAGCGGAGCAGCAGTTGTCGACGAGACGGACAAGTGCGTTTTGAGGTTCGGCAACGAACGGTCGGTAGGGCCTATTGGTGGCGTAAGGCGAAAAGGTGCGCGAAGGTAGGTTGGGTAGGAAAATGGGAGGTAACGCAGGTATGGAGGAAGGTCGGGTTGGTATGTGGGAGAAGTTGTTGATGCTGGAGTCTCCAACTTAACTAACCTAGGCAAGGCGGAGGAGGTGGAAAGAGGGTTAAGTCGACTCTTTTTCGGTAGGGAGGCTGGAATTCTTACAGCTTCCTCTGCCCCAAGGTACCTAGCACACGTACATATGTGTACGCAGAGGTAGGAGGTAAAGAGGTACCTAAGGTATTTTGGTGGACGCCGAGATGTGGGCACTTGCCCCTTATACGTTGGTCCTGAGGAATATCTGCCCGCCTAGGGAATGACGACGACCTTAGCACCACCTACCCTAACCTTAGGTACCCAATTACCTTACCGACCTACCTAAGGTACCTACAACCTACCTAGGAGGTAGGTACCTAGGTAGGTAGGTAGGTAGGTACCCCTTTATCTTGTACCTAAGGTACGACTGCCCTACAGGCCTTACCAGCATGTACACATAGGTGACTACATCAGAGGCGTCCAGGTGTAGCCCCTAGAGTCGGTCAGTCAGCCGTCCAACAATTAGGTACCTAAGGTACACAGAGGAGGCGTACGTAGGCCGGGCCCACTCGTCTTCTTCTAGGCTCCGGGCTCCCGGGTAGAACTTGGTAACCAACCTACCTGTCTACCCCATGCTTTCAAAGGCGACTTATTCCGGGTATAGGTACCTATATAATTGATATACCGAGACGATTGCCTGCTTGCGCGGTTGGTAGGTTGCAGCGTTGTTTGATTGATTGATGACTAAATATAACCACCATCATCTTCCTCCACTCCACCGCCCTCTCTTGTCGTCGTCCCTCTGCCTGTCGCTTACGTCCATCTAGGCTTGAGGAGGGGAGGAGGAGGTGCGCATCGGCGCGTACCCACCGTCCCATGCCCGTCCATCGATGCCACCCATCTTTCCATTTCCCTTCTGCCATCAACGTCAACCGCCGATGGGTCGGCTCTGGTACGCAACCTGTCACTATTACCTGCTGTCCCGTCCCGGGGACCTGCTGTCGTACCATTTCCCGTCCTGTGCTTAATTTTAACGCTCGCGTTTCGTGCAAACTGAGTAAAATATGTCGGTGCGACCTGGGACAGGTCCTCCTCGGACTCATTAAACACCAGCACGTACAAACATCCACATGTACATACGAACAAACAGGGGTGCCTCCTGCCGGGCTATTAGGGGGCATAGCTACCTACCTCCTAGGCATGTACGTGTAGGTCCAGCAGATCCCGGGGTCCTAGCCCTAGATGTCGTCGTTGGAGACGAAAGACAGGGCCAGAAAACGTAAAAGCGAAGACGAAACCCCGAAAAAGCGAGCGAGACGAATGAAACGACAATCAGATAGATCCGTGTGATGAGTCAAAAGTCCAGAGCGCGCTGCCCGTCCCCGGATCGTCTGTCACGAGAGTCCTGCGTCGTCCCAAACCGGGAGAGGGCGCGCTCCTACAGGACGGCCGTCTATGCACGTCGCTGCGAGCTGCAAGTCCCGATTGATGTCACGATTGGTCCCATGTCCGGCTCGACCGCGTAGAGCGTCGAAGGGTCGTCATCGAGTGGATGAGGGGTTCGCTCGTCTCTATGTAATTGGGCTCTTCGCCCAGAGTCACGCATGCGGTCACACTGCATCGATATCCTCGAGCGGCACGAAACCGAATCTACTGCCGGGCTAAATCCATACAACCAACCCTCCTTCTTTTTCTCTCCCCGCGCGTCGAAAAGCCTGTCCGGTTCGCCGCAATGGAGAAACCCTTTCCCTTCTCCCCCCTCCCCATTCGACAAGTGAAGGTGTGATATTACAAGTCGTACTGGAATGGGATGTACAGAGTCTATAATAAATTTCTGCTGCCAGGCTCTTTGTCACTATTGAATTAAAACCAGCCCTTGCTGCCTCTCAACAACTAGCCGCAACGAAACCAGTCCGCCGTCCTCTCTCTGCTACTGGACCATAATTAACAAATTCCGTACGCCATTGGGGAAGTAAACGCAATTTACTATCGCGGCAGTCCTGGGTTGTATGCAGCAGTTGGAGTGCGATACCAAATCACGCCTCTGGCTACGGCGCGTAGCATGGGTGTCACCCCAGCCTTAGTACTCAGCCTCGGTCTCCCCTTCCAACTCGAGCGAGTCGGTGGCAACCTCCTCGTAGTCGCGCTCCAGGGCAGCGAGATCCTCACGCGCCTCTGAGAATTCACCTTCTTCCATACCCTCGCCAACATACCAGTGGACGAACGCGCGCTTCGAGTACATGAGATCGAACTTGGTCGACAAGGCGGACCACGCCTCGGCGATAGCGGTTGTGTTGGAAAGCAGACAGCTGTCGAGAGATTAGTTCGGGAAACGTTCAGCGCTGAAGAGGGTGATACGTACACAGCACGGTTAACCTTGGCCAAGTCGCCGTTGGGGACGAACTGAGGGGGCTGGAAGCAGATACCAAGCTTGAATCCGGTCGGGCACCAGTCGACGAATTGAATGGTGCGCTTGGTCTTGAGCGTAGCCACGGCGGCGTGTGCGTCATTGGGGACGACGTCACCCCGATATAGCAAGCAAGTCGCCATGTACTTGCCGTGACGAGGGTCACACTTGACCATTTGGTTGTAGGGCTCGAAGCAGGACATCGTCATCTCCTGGACCGAATTGGCCTCGTGGGCAGCCTTGGCGGCCGAGATAACTGGCGCATAGGCGACGAGGGGGAAGTGGATACGCGGGTAAGGAACCAGGTTAGTCTGGAACTCGTTGAGGTCGACATTTAGCGAGCCGTCGAATCGGAGGGAGGCAGTGATGGACGACACGACTAGGGCACGTTAGCAATCCGCGAGACACCGACACCCGGGAAACTCCGTACCTTGAGCGATCAAGCGGTTCAGGTTCTCGTAGTTAGGACGCTCGAGGCCAAGATTCCGGCGGCAGATGTCGTAGATAGCCTCGTTGTCGACCATGAAGGAGCAATCAGAGTGCTCGAGAGTGGTGTGGGTAGTGAGGATAGAGTTGTAAGGCTCGACGACCGACGTGGCGGTCTGCGGAGCAGGGTATACGCAGAACTCCAACTTGCTCTTCTTGCCGTAGTCGACGGAGAGACGCTCCATCAACAACGCACCGAAGCCGGAACCAGTACCACCGCCGAACGAGTGGAAGATCAAGAAGCCCTGGAGACCGGCGCAGCCGTCGGCGACTCGGCGAATTCGGTCCAAGACCTGGTCGATAAGCTCCTTGCCCACGGTATAGTGGCCGCGGGCGTAGTTGTTGGACGCATCCTCCTTACCGGTGATCATCTGCTCGGGGTGGAAGAGGCTGCGGTAGGTACCAGAGCGGACCTCGTCGACGACGTTGGGCTCGAGATCGCAGTAAATAGTACGAGGAACATACTTTCCCTGACCTGTGCATTCCCTCGAGTTAGATTTCTGCTCGCCCTGCTCGACCGTCTTGAAAATGGCCTACCTGTCTCGGAGAAGAAGGTGCTGAACCCCTGATCGGGATCCGCGCGCTTGCGCTCGTCGGTCAGGTATCCATCAGGCTGTACGAAACGAGGTCAGTCAAGCTTCGGTCTCTGGATCAGCTCGTAGCGACGTACCTGGATGCCATGTTCGAGGCAGTAGAGCTAGAGAGCTAAGCTTTAGTCCCGGGTCTTCAATCGCCCTCGTGATAGGGGCTACGACGGTGCGAGCGGCCCGCGCCACGCCGACGACTCGGGCAAGAACTTACCTCCCAGCAGGCGTTGGCGATCTGGCAACCCGCCTGACCGACTATGAACAGAGACAAGTTAGCATAGATGCTGCTTCAAGACGTCGAGGCTCGTAACACGAGATACAGATGATGCGGTGAAGGAAAACGCGTGGTTGGCGGGGGTGCGCCACGGGGGGCGAAGATAAGTAAATAAAAACCAGGATAGAATTCAGACAGGAGGAAGCATACCGTTGAGGCTAATGATCTCACGCATCTTGAATACAGGTGGGATGGAAGAGGAGAGGCGGATGGGAGGCAGGAAGACGATGAGGCAGAGGCAGGCAGGTCTGGAGAGCCCGTGCTGGGTGAGGGAGAGGATGGGATGTTTTAGAGGTAGGAGGTGAGAGTCGAGTCGAAGGGGAGTTTTGTCAATGTTGATGCTTGGACCGGTCGTTTTTACCCAAGAGATAATTCTATGTACTATTTTTTTTGGAGCCAAGTGGGGGTGGGCGGATTTTTATTCACCCCTGGTTGGGCAGTCGCATTCTGGGCGTTTTGTTGATTTGAGGTTGCCTGGGCGGGGCGAGGCCAGGAAGGGACTTGAGAAGGACGAACTCGGGGGAAAGCTGTCGCACACGGACCACGTCGGGAAATGCAACGAGCACGAGTCCCAGGGGTACCTGTTGCCCAAGGTAAGCTACCTTGGGTTTACTACTACTACTACCTACCTCTAGGCACCTAGGTACCTACCTCTACCTATACAGGTCTTGTAGGTGCCATCCGTACCCCTAAACCTTTGACACCTCCTACCTAAGGTACCTACCTCCTACCTGGAGGGGTTTTTACTGCAGGTAACCTTAGGCACGTTATGCGGTAATGTACATGACGTTAGAAGGTACCTGCCCAAGGTAGGCGTGTCTCTTCTTCTATGTGCGCGGTACATGTTTGTCTGCCTGCAAATCCCACTAATGACATTCTGAATGCCGTCAATTCTATTACCTGATTAGATATCCATCACCCGACCACTTCCACCAATGAATCAACCTGCCGGCCGTGGGTGAAGACGCTTGCCCCATTTGCCAGCTTGGCCGGTGCGGGCCGCCAGCTGGAAACGACCCGGCAGTCCTCTGGGGCGGAAATGATTTTTTAATCGGTTATTGCAGCCAGCCCCGACACCGCTTACACATCAACCCACCCGCCCGCCTATCCGACAGAAGTAGCGACTGCCCTCTTTTTTATTTCGTTCCATTTCCCTTCCCTCAACGGCCGGTAGATTATTAATTTCACCCGGTAGCCACCATGCGCCTTCGTCCCCTGGCCGTGCTCCCCCTGCTGATCTCTGCCGCCTCTGCCAACACCGAGAAGGCGGTATTTCTCGGCCCAGCCCCGGGCAACATCCCTTCCGCGCATCCCGCCCTTCGCCATTTACACGTTGATACTCTCACGCCTGCGAACGCGTCGAAACGGACGCATGTAGCCGCTCGGTTCCCCAGTCTTGCGTCGCCCGATGGCACGCCTACTTGGCTCATACTCGACGACCTTGCCGAGGGCCAGCGCTACGAGGTGAGGGTATGTTGGGCTGCCACTGTAAGTCTAACCATCAAGAGGCGAGCCAGCACTCGCTCGCTACGCTCTCTACCTTGTCTTAGCTCCTTATCGCCCACCACCCCTGGCTTACTACCCCCCACCCCCGATTAGCAACCCACCACGTTCAAAATTGCTACCTACGAGCTGCAGACCGTCCTCGAGACGCCAGAGTTGTTGTCCCAACTCTCAGAGTACTCGCGTTCTCGACAGCCCGTTCGTGAAGATGGCTACCCATATGGGACCGGGTCTGCCGGGGATCATCGAGCATCGATCTCCGAAAAGGGAGCGTCGGTACTTTTCCTTCAGATTTTAGCGGCGGCCGATTACTATACGACGAATAGGACGTTGATGAGAGACGTTCCGTCTGTCCACGTGGACATTATTCTTGACCCTTTTCTTCTCAACGCGCTGCCCCGTTCGCTCCTGCCGACGGCGGGCTACCTTATTTTCGTGGCCATGGTGTCCTGGTTTATCGCACAGTACATATCAACCCTCATTTGTAGAGTTGCGGTAGACCCGGCTCACAAGAAGGTCGACTGAGGTAGTGTGGACGCTCGGGCTGTTACGTCCTACGTCTAAATTGGGACCTCCGCCCCTATTCCTAGCTATCATAACTCGTTATCTGCGTCCCAAACACCGAGGCGGCCTTCGGCGGGCACGTGGCCTTCCCTAATGTCGTCTGCGAGTCGTCACTAGATGGATTCATGCTCAATAAAAGACCCTGGCAAGCCAGTGCCCAAGTAAACACCGTTTCAGCGGAGTGGCCTCGGACCAAATGCTGTAAAACGGGTAAACAAACTCCATGGTCTATTATATACCCCGCAACTTCGCCAATCCGTACGACAGCTGTGACAAATCTACCCTACTACTACCAGTTACTGGGATAACCCCCAGACTGGCCGCTTTGGCCATTGGGGTGCGTCCCTAGCGGAACGGGCGGCCCAGAATTGGCATAAGAAGGTTGGGCCGAATAGCCATGGGCACCCGACGACGGCGGCGGAGCGTTATATGACGGGTTGCTAAAAGTAGAAGGCGGAGGCGGGTATTGTTGGTGGCTCGAGTACGATGGCTGGCTCTGTGGCGGCGTATATTGCGTTTGCGCTAACCGGCCCCATATTAGTCCGGCGAAATAAAGTATACGACGGGGACGACCTACAATATCCATGTGCTTGGGGGGCGGGACTGTGCCCATAGTTAGACGAAGTTGGGCCGCTACCATAGGGGGGGCTCGGGTGCTGCTGGCCGGGAGGGGGGCTATGATAGCTGGGATTCTGATGACTCGCTGATCGGCCGGGAGCCTGAGGATACGAGGTTGTGCCATGCTGACCGGGAGGCGGAGGGAACTGCGGCGTCCCATGTTGTCCGCCCGATGAGTTGTATGAAGGCGAAGAGCCGTGCTGTTGACGCGGAGGCGAGCTATAGGATGATGTTGACGCACTTTGGGGTTGGTAGGAGGCTGGAGGAGCTTGACCAGTATACCCGCTCGTTTGGCCGGAATTTGAGTAGCCAAAATTTTGACCACCCTTCAAGAATATGTTAGCGTCTCGTCTCAGAATCGTAGTTTGAACACGACATACCTGGCTATGTCCACCGAACAAACTTGCGACACCTCCCATTACGGAACCGGCAAGGCCCCCAGAATGCGCGGGTTGATGAGATTGGCCGCTGTGGTAATTCTGCGACTGCGAAGGTTTCTGACCGCCGGACGAGAACAGATTTGAGGCAAGCTGACCAACAAGCTGACCGGGTATACCTCCACTAGACGAACTTCCATGACCACCGCCACTGCTGCTGTGGCTCCCGCCATGACTTCCTCCTCCAAGACCGCCAATTAGTTGGCCGGCAAGACCTCCTAGGCCACCCGAGCTGCTACCGCTGCCACCGCTGCTACCATGTGGTTTCCCGTGTCCGCTGGTGAATTGGTTCAGTAATGCGTTTGTAGCAAAGCTCTGTGGCCATATGTTCAATTAGCCGTTGGGTCGAAAGAGAGAGGCCGATAGGCGAGACGGATAGACTTACGCCGAGTCCTCTTTCACCGGACTGTCCATCTATTCCTCTGCTATTCCCGGTAAGAACCGGTTCCATGCGGCCATCGGCGTACTTGACAGTCTGCGTGCCATCGGGATGCGTGATGAGCTGTTGCTGGCCGGGAATCCCGTACGGGTGCTCGGCCGCCTGGGCGGGCGTGTTCCCCGGCGCAGCTTGAGTTGGGGTCTCCCATTGAGAGACGCCGGTGGATAGTTGGACATAGTAATACTTCCTACTCCCACCATCCCACTGCGCGATCCAGCCGGGAGGAAGTTGTGGTGGTTCGAACGTAGGGCCCTCGTTGGGAGAGGCGGGGCCAGCCATGGCGACTGACGAAGGGAGGGGTCGTCGTAATATCCCGGTATAGTGTCCCTAGCAGCCTCGGTGCGTAGGGTGGAGGGAAAAAGCGGCCAGCACAGAGCGCGTAGGAGGAGAGAGGATGGGAGTGGCGAGAGGGCAGATGGGCAAATGGGCAAGGCAAAGAAGAATAGGTAGCGAAGCGAGAGAGAAGACGGGTGTGATGGCGGGACGTCGGACGATATGTGCAGAGCGGTGCCCTATGAAAGAGAGTGAGCGTCAGTCGATAGGTGCGGAAACAATAAATAGACCTAGTACGATTTGCAAAAGCGTGTCGAAGGCGGTATAGGCTGCTCTCCTGTGACTGGTCGGATTTGAGAGAGAGGTGAAAGAAGAGGGCTATCGAAACCTGCGGAGAAATGAAGAAAGGCGACGGACTTATCTGTAGCGACAGAGACTGGCTTGACCACCCAAGGTGACCTGCCTCATACATGCAGCCCACCTGAGGTAACTGCAAAAAGAGGACCCTGCGAAGCCACGCACCCCCATGGAAGGAAGGGAGGTAGCCCGTCGCTACGGGTCCTCAGAGGTGGCTGTTGTCAGTGGCCAGCCCGTCGGTAACATCCAAGCTCCGCGCGCGCGTGTGTGTGCGCTGTACGGGCAGTCATTGGGCTGGATTAGGTGCCTGAACAGCCAGGAGGGGACGTCTGATACCCACCTCCCTCGTCACCTTGTAGGTGGTGTAGGTAGCACTTGGGAGGTACCTACGTCTAGGTAGGTACCCAGGTAGGTGCGGTGTAATATGGATTGCAATACTGGGTATTGTTACCAAGTAACAGCTGGTATGCAGTATCTTAGGCATCTACACCTAACCCACCTACCTCAGGTACCTAATATAAAGGTTCCTACAGGTACTACGTAGCACACACACACACACACACACACCTTGCCATGTTGCCGCGTTGCCGCGCCACGTCTCGCTACGAGTACGGCTAAGCCACAATCAATCATCACCGTTGCCGGCCGAACCGGTGAGATTCTACGGAATCCATTACTTACCTTAGGAGGTAGTTTGTCAACAGGCCATCTCCCTGCCTGCCTATCTACAGGTCTTGGAATCGTACGTCGGCTGCCTCCCAAAAAAGTCGGAACGGCGCCAGACCACTCCCTGAAGTGCAGGCACTTATGGCACTTCAGGTTTGAGTAGGGTGAACGAAACTTATCTTCGTAAATGTGGGTGCCTTAGGTAATTTGTCAATGTGGTGTTTCGCTTAGGTAATACCTCTTGAGCACGGGTATACCGATCTATGGGTCGAGTTCCGCGATCGCCTCCCGAACTCCAGGAACAAACCCGTATACCTGCGCATCTCGGTTCTGTTCCGCCCGTCCTCTGTACCTACTTTGCGCGCTGCGCGTCACAGAATCCCTACCATCGCCGACGATATTACTGCTTTCGGTGGCCCCCTCCTCATCGAACCGAACCGCTCTGTGGCCCCCAGATGGAGCCCGCAGCGAGTCCTACCGTTTCCCAGCTTCAACCCGACGCGATGGAATGCGCCCCCCCTGGCTCTCGATTACAGTGATAAGCTACGAAGCAGAACATAGACGCCGGCAACCCCCGAGACGGAATAATGACGGATCCATCCCTAAAGGACTCCCACGCTCTATTTTCTGATAGCACTGGTAGGGGGTTCGACCGCAACGCACGTCTCGCACAACTACGCCAGTTTATCTGCAACGCCTCACTCACCACCGAGGAACGCCGCTATCTAAAGATTCTCCTTTCCGGTTCCGGCGTAGACATCATCGGCGAGCTTCCCATAGAACTTGTGAAGCAGATTGCGGGACTGCTAGACCTGCCTCATTTCGTTACCTGCTTAGCCGTCTCCAGGCGGTGGCGGGACAAGTTTCTATCCAACTCCGTCCTGGGCGACGTTGTGACCAAGTTCTGTCCCTCATGGGAGCGGCGGGCGTCGGGGGACGTTCGTGGCGGCATATGTGCGCCCCTGGAGGCCCTCCACAGGATCGGACGGGCACGCTGGGAATGCTTCCAAGCAAGCCTCGTGAAGCCATTCTCCTGGGAGCACGAGTCATATTTCAAACTCGACCCGACATATCACGGGAACGATGAAGATGTGTCCGCGGCATATGCAAGATTCAATCAGTCTCCCGTCGAAGACCTAGGTTCCACGGCATGTTGGAATGCCCTGTACGCCAACGGGAAGATTGCGTGGCGCGCTAAAACTCACACTATAGTCGTCGACTGTCTCTGGTCACGGACGCGTAAGATTTTCGAAGTGCCGAGAGGACCACTCCATAGCCCCTTAGTACTGCTCCGAGCGCTGGGAAACAGACTTGCAGTTTGCGTCCTGGATCGTCGTCTGTGAGTGCCCCCCCCCCATCTTCCCATACTCGGTGTCACTCGAACGCAATCCTGATCGAACCTGTCGAAGGATCGCATGGGATCATGTCAGCAACGTCTATCTAGAGAAGAAGCTTCCGTCGTACACCCTAGATGTCACGACTGAAGGACACAGGGTTGCGGTGGTCCTCTACACCAGAGAAATATTTCTCTGGGAGTTTGGTGGAAAACTCACCATCCTTCCGACTACTCCTCTCATTGCTTATCATGGTCTTGACACCAAGACAGCAAGGTCCTGGGAATCCAATCTGGTCGTTATTTTCCACCCCACATGCAGCAGAACGTTGTTTCTGGCTTCCGGCTACACCGACTACGTGGATTCCAAGAGGGTTCTTAAGCGAGTCGTCTATGAATTTATGGATACGAAACATATAGAAACCTTTGAGATAGAAATCCCCCCGAAGTTGGACAACGCCAGGAGCCCGAAAGATGTCGCGGTCACGATCAAAAAAGTTCTACCCTACCGCCGCGACACGATTGGATTTTGCGAACAATATCCGCCGGTAGGTGAGGCGGTCACCCCACCGTATGAGACCTTTGTCGAGTTTGATATATATGATCGGAAGTTCACCGCGAGAACCGACGAGGAGTTTGACCATGTCAAATTTGGCTGGCGGGCCACTCTAGAAGAAGCCGACCTGGACTTCCTAGTCCGGTTCTACGACAACGGCTTTTCAGTTTCTAGCTACCACCTCGGTTTCGATTTCCGAAACGACGAGTGACCACGCCGCCACTAGCATGTGAAAGACGGGAGCGCCAAAAACTATTTTAGCAACACTTTGCGTTATGGGGCACCGGACCCGTTTTCGTTCTCAGGAAGGGCTGCAGCCGGGCCAGAATCAGATATGTGAAGCACATGCCCCCCTTGCAACACGCGGAGAAGCCACAAGTAACGACGACAGCTTTCGCGGGTCGGGAAACCAATCCTCTTCCGTACCGCGCGTGGTCGCAAACTGGTTGGATTTCCCGATAACCAACATAGGCGGGGAGGTTGTGAGCTAGGAGCTGCCAGGTTCTGACAACAACAAGTTAGGGATACGACCTGACGAGTTGGAGAAGTCGCCTCGGCTCAACGAGACTGTCTAGAGAGAGTCCACGCAGTTAGATGGGCTTTTCATCGTTCTCGATGGCTTTCCCCAACCCCGCCCCACCCCTGGACTCTGGAGAGTCTTCGACCTCTGCCCCTCAACGGTAAGTCTTGTTGGGCTTACGTGTCTTAGGTGTGTTGCATTCCAAGAGGAACACGAGTACGACCGCCTCAGTTGACGGGAGCATGTGCGAGGCTTGTCTGGGAGGTATAGAGTAGAGGGAGTCAGCCATCGTCGAGCCGTGTGCTGCCCGTAAAGGAAATTCAAATCCTCTTTATGGACGGATTCGCGCAAACCCAGCCCGTGGCATATAGGTGTAACGGAAGAGCATAGAAACGGCTATACCTTAGGAGCCCGGCGAGGTAACATAAGCCGTACTAGCACAGTAATAATAGGTCAAGTGGCCAGCCAGCGGATCCCCTTTTCCCCATCCCCTGTTACCCCGCAAGAATATTAGCTCGAGATATCTCTACTAAGGCTCTAGTAACGACCTGCCTAAGGTGATCGATCCCCAGATTGCTAGGTAGATTACTGTTGGAGGAGGGTCTAGCCGAAGATCCGCTCGTCGCCGACGACCCCGTCTTTCGTCCCTCACATCCCCATCCTTACCCTCCCCACCCCCAGACTGTCGCCTATTTTTTCCCCTGCTTTTTCTGGGGCAGCGTAACGCTGTCCTGCCCTCGGATTCAGAAGTCGGGATCGTGGGCCGGTTTCTCAGACACAGCTGGGAATTGACGGCTACGCGTCCGGTCTGCTCTCATTTCTACTTCCGAACCGCCCGGTGGCGCCAGATATCAAAAACAAGCCCCAGAACACTCACGTATCGTGACAAGGTCGTACTACATGCTCATATATGGATGACCAAGCCACCTACCAATTACAGCCAACTACCACGGGTAGGCGTTAAATTAGCCCTCTCGCAACACCCTGTCCCGACGGCTGCTCCGCCATGCGGCGCATATGGTGCATAACACTTGCCAGCGAGATGGTATATCATTGGCCCTCCTCGCTGGAACCCCCGATGCAAATAGAGCAGATGTCGGCTGGGCACTGACGTAGCGTGCTACCTGGGCCGGACACCGGATTTTCGCCAGATGATCAACACCCCCCTCAATGGAAACAGAAATCCCGCCGAGAATCCTGCATGGAAGCACGCACGTAAAGGTGTGTGTGTGACTGGTCCCCCAAACCTCGGCTGGTGCCAGGGCAGAGACAGGCATGCCCACGGTTAATTTATGTCTCACATGCAATCTTCCGCATATTCTCTTGGAAGAGCCTCTGGGCCTTCCTTCCCCCCCTCCTCAAAAAATGTTCGCAGTCCTGCTTGGCGGTGTGCATGGCCAAGCTCGCCCTCGCCCGGGCGGAGGCTCAACGCGGTATAGCTACCCCACGGGGAGAGGAGAGGCCAGAGATGCTCCCTCGACAGTCGAGACCCCGGGAGCCAGGTTCGCGAGGGACCGGACGGAGATGATCGCGGAATCGGGCAAGTTGTGCATGCGTGGGCCAGCGCTACCTGGCTCCCTGTGCGCTCCGCGTTACTTCGTCGTCTCTCCGTGTCAGCTGAACGAACGAAACTAAGCAAGGGACAAATGTCGCTGGAGCGATAATTCTTGGTTAGTGGAGGTTGAAGGCTGGGAGGGGGGACGGGAAGTCTTAGACATGCGAACTCGCCGGAATCCGTAGATCTATATAGGATCGACCCGCCCTCCCGACATGGATTCCTGGAGCGACAATCCCGCAATCCTTTGTTTGCCCCCCCTAGATTCGCTGGCAGTTTGCGTCCACGAAAGCATAGCTGGCCTTCGCGACTCCTGCCCCACTCCTCCCTCTTCCACCTCTCTTCGGTCTACCGTATCGCGGTTCAAAAGGCATCATGCGTAATGCTCTCGCCACGCTGCTATCAGCCGCCGTGTTCTCCGGCCTGGTAGCGGCCATGCCGGCGCCTACCCAGCGGTTAGAGGAGCGGGCCAGCAAAACTTCGGTCGTCACCCCCCAGGGTACCATAGTCGGCACGGTGCTTGGCGGAATTGAGAGCTTCGGGGGCATACCCTTCGCCCAAGCGCCAGAGGGGCGCCTGCGCCTGAGGCCGCCGGCGAGGCTCAATTCCTCTCTAGGCACCTTCGACGCCACGGGGATCGGCCCATCCTGCCCGCAGATGTTCTTCTCGACGGAGGGAAACCTCATCACCTCCCTCCTGGGCAATTTGATCAACACACCGCTGTTCCAGAAAGCCACGGGTCAGACAGAGGACTGCTTGACGGTACGGGTCCATCGGCCGGCGGATACCAAGGCAAACGCGAAACTCCCCGTCCTCTTCTGGATATTCGGGGGTGGCTTCGAGCTCGGCAGCACGCAGATGTACGACGGCTCGGGCCTGGTCTCTACCGGCGTAGACCAAAAGAAACCGTTCATCTTCGTGTCCGTAAATTACCGCATGGGCGGTTTCGGATTCTTGGCCGGCAAGGAAGTCCTAGCGGACGGCGCGTCGAACCTAGGACTCTTGGACCAGCGAATGGGCCTCGAGTGGGTACAAGACAACATTGCGGCCTTCGGAGGCGACCCGGAGAAGGTGACAATCTGGGGAGAGTCGGCCGGTGCGATATCCGTCTTCGACCAGATGGCGCTCTACGACGGTGATAACACGTATAACGGCAAGAAGCTCTTCCGCGGCGCCATAATGAACAGCGGCAGCATGATCCCGACCGACCCTGTGGACTGTGACCGGGCTCAGGACATCTACAACACGGTAGTTAGAGAGGCGGGGTGCGCCTCTTCCCGCGACACGCTCAACTGTCTCCGCGGCGTCGACTACGACACGTTCCTGAACGCGGCCAATAGCGTGCCCGGGATCCTGAGCTACAGCTCGATCGCGCTGTCGTACCTACCGCGACAGGACGGTGTGGTGCTGACGGACAGCCCCACCACCCTCGCCGCGGCCGGGAAGTACGCGGCCGTGCCGATGATCATCGGGGATCAAGAGGACGAAGGGACGCTGTTCGCCCTGTTCCAGCCCAACATCACCAGCCGGGACAGGTTAGTCGACTACCTCTGGAAGGTGGTGTTCCCCGACCTCCAGCGGCAGCAAATCTCGGACCTGGTCGACACGTACGACTCGTCGATCCTGGCCGGCAGCCCGTTCAACACGGGGATCCTGAACAACATCTACCCGGAGTTCAAGCGGCTCTCGGCGATCCTGGGCGACATCGTGTTCACGCTGACGCGGCGCATCTTCCTGGAGGCGACGGTGGCGGCGCACCCGGACGTGCCGTCGTGGTCGTACCTCGCGTCGTACAACCGCGGCACGCCGATCCTGGGCACGTTCCACGCGTCCGACATCCTGCAGGTGTTCTACGGGCTCCTGCCCAACTACGCCAGCCGGTCGATCCAGAGCTACTACATCTCGTTCGTGCACACGCTCGACCCCAACGGCGGGACCAGCTCCGAGTACCCCCTCTGGCCGCAGTGGAAGGAGAAGAAGGAGCTCGTGCAGTTCTGGAACAACAAGAGCAACCTGCTCAAGGACGACTTCCGGAGCAAGAGTGAGAAGTGGATCAGCGCGAACGTGGATATACTTAAGATCTAGCGATTGATTATGACGGGACGGCGGCGGCGGTGATGACGATAATGAGCTTGCATTTCCGAGGGATCTCTGGATATCGACTGGGTACACGCATACGCATCGGCGGGTTTTTCGGGGGGGCGGCGGCGATCCGGAACGGCGCGAATTGGAGGATAGGTTATCTGGACATGAGCCTGCGGCGGCAGAGAACGACGGAGGTGAGGTCAGCTGAGGAACGGAGCTGACTCGGGAGGGAGGGGAGGAGGCTGTCTTAAGGGGCGAATCACGGCAGAAGTCATCCGAGAAGCGAGAGACAGCCGAGAGACAGCCACATGCAGGTAACATGCCGACATGCAACTCATATAAAGAAATAAATACCTACAGATAATGTAAGGATGCCCGCCTCAATCTGTTTATTATGTAGGTAGAGGCGTGTGTGCGTGTGCATGTGCATGTGCAGGCGCAGGCGCATGTGAAAGTCGACGGAGAATACTTAAGCGGTACCTGTTACGGTGTACCTGATATAGGCAGGTACCTACCTAGGTATATATATATAGATATACACGTATAGATATACATCAATGCATACCTGACAAGTAGTTATGTTGGCTGCACAGGCAATTAGTTATACGAGGTAATGTTGGCTCGTTGTATGTGTCTATGCAGGTATGTATACGCAGTAGTAGGAGGCACGCATATTTCTGCCTCTACCCGCCTCCCTCTATGTAGGTAATAATGTATGCATTCTCATCCCAGACAACGGATAATGCCTAACACAGCAACAACCCACGTGCTTATGCTTATGCACAGAGGATAAGCAACGTAGGCGGATTTACCTAATCCATCAATTCCGTCACGCATTTTTCATCGTTCCATCCTCTACGTCCATCACATGCAAATGCCGCGGCTCGTCCCGCCCAACTCGGCCGTGGCGGGGAGGGGGGCTCCACCGTCACGCCCGAAAACGATCACCAACTAGAATACCGGAACATCGAAACGCGGCTCGTCTTCTCGACTCAGACCGCCGACGCGTCGGCGTCCCGGCGCGCCCGCGACCCCCGGGAGAACGAGATGCGCCTGAACCGCATCGCCCTGCCTACGCCCGTGCCGGCGCCGTCGTCCTCGCGCTCCGAGTCGCTCGCCATCATCTTCTTCTCGCGGTCGAGCGGCGGCGCCAGCCCGCCACTGGGGCGCGTCGAGAGCACGCGGCCGGGCGCGAGGTGGGCCGGCGGCGAGAGCGGGCCGCCGGGGATGCGGAAGCTGTCCTCGCGGAGGGCGTGGGGGGTGCTGGCGCCGGAGGCGGAGCCCGAGGTCTTGGGCTGGGCGGGGGGCACGCCGAGGATGGTGCTGTTGGAGGTGCTGTGGGCGCCGCTGCGGTGCAGTAGGCCGCTGAAGAAGTCCTCGGCGAAGGTGGTCTCGAGCGCGCGCGGCTTGCCGTCGGTGGTCCAGTAGCGCTCGTTGCTGAGCTCGGTGCTGAGGTGGCGGCGGAAGTACCGGTCCTGGTTGACCCACCAGGCGCGCCACCCCGCGACGATGAAGAGCGTCAGCGGGATCGTGAAGGCCCAGTAGATCCAGAACGACGGCATGATCACGGGGTGCGGCAGGTCGTCGGCCGCATCCTTGGACGCGGCCGGGTCGCCCGCCGTCCCGCCCTCCCAGTTGAACATGGACACGCCGAACAGCGTGCCGATGTACTCCCCCGGCAGGAATATGGCCGTGATCACGGCGAGCGCCTTCATCGACGAGCTGTCCCGCGTCGACGCCACCGCCATCCGCGCGTTGAGGTTGTTGTCCTCCTGCGCCATCTTGGAGTAGATGATGTCGATCTGCGCCCGGCACCGCAGCTCCGACATCCGCCGGTCCGTCTCGAGCGACGTGCAGAGCCGCCACGTGCAGTCGAGGTACTGCCGGATCTCGTGCCAGTGCTCCGTCAGCTCCTCGTCGGCGTCGTCCCTCGGCTGCTGCGACGGCTCCCCTTGCTGCGGCCGGAGCTCGTGCAGCCGCGCGTCCAGCTCGTCGCCCGCCTGGATGATCAGCTTCAGCGCCCGCTCCATCCACCGGAGCGTGTCGAGAAGCTGGATCGCGCCCTTGAGCACGTCGTGCGCCTCTTTCATCAGATGGATCGTCTGCGGCGGCACGTAGTCTGGGTCGTAGAAACTGGCCGTATCCATGGCGGGAGGCGGCGGAGGCGGCGGCGGCGACGAATGCTGGTTGCGCCCTGCCGACTCTCCTCCTCCTCCCCCTCCCCCTCCGACTCTCGCCTCCACCATCCCCTTCAGGTTCGTGGAAAAGCGCTTCAACGGCCGGACACCTTTACTATTATTGTGGTGGCTGTTGTTCCGCCTCCAGGCCTCGGCGTTTGCCTTCCCGGTGGTGCCCGTAACGGCGTCGACGTGGACTTCGAGAGCAAGCACCTCAGCGTTATTAGCCTGGACAGCCTCCTCCGTCCGGAACAGCTGCACCTGTAGCAGAACGACGGGGAGCACCAGCGGGTGGGACCAACGCGCGCGGCACGAGTCAAGCCGTCGCTCGTACTCGTCAAGCGCGTCCTCGGCGTGCCAGCGCGTGTCGAATGAGCGCCGGACGAGCGCCGTCGCTGTCTTGGTCCGCACCTTGTACGCCATTGAGAGGAAATCATATGGCGGCTGCGGGTTCGATGAGAAACTCAGAATCAGGTCTTCGACGTGCGAAAAAAAAAAGTTAGCATTTCTAGGGTTTCTTATTCTTCCGGAAAGCAGACCGACGACGCGAAGACTGAGAGAGGGATGTTCACTTGCCCAGCCATGGTGACTGAACGACGCACGATGTTATTCACTCACACATTGTCTCCCTTCTCGTGTCCCAGAACGAGGACTCGAGCGTCACCCGCTGCAAGGTAGGTAAGGTGCCGGAGTGCAGGCCTAGCGATTCGAAATCCTCGACGGTAAGGTGTAATCCGTCGATGGCGAGCCCACTGGTCTCGTATATCTCGTCACGGCGTGCGCGTCGATGGGCAATCCTGTTATGATCTTGTTTTAGCCGCTGCACGCGTGGATTTAGGTGATGTGATAACCCAAGAGAACATTCTCAGCTACCGTAGGGCGGTAGACAGCTTTATATGAATAGATGTAGACGTGTGAAGGCACCCGAGATTTGCTTACACCTGTCGCATTCTTCCTCGGAGTAAGTGTCTCCCTTTCGGGTTGGCCGTAAAATTTCCCTATGCGAGGATCCAAGTTAACAAATTGGCCTTTCTCATTCTCCATTTAGCTCTCCAGAGCGGTGGCGCCATCGCATCTCATCCTCGGGACTTAGGCCGTGGGGGAGGGGGAGGGGGGCAGTCTCTCTTACCTCGTCGTCCAGCCCATGCCCATTCCTGACGGCATCTCGAAACATTCGTAGTCCTTCCTCGCCTTCTGACATGACACTCGGTGAGCGGTACTCTTCGTGCTCGCTATCGGACCCAACCCCCGGCGCGAAGACGGCGTATTCGTGGTAGGAAACGCGGCTGTCCCTGCCGCCATTATTAGGCAGAAGCACGCAGCGGGCAAGCTCGCGGAGGTCGAAATTGAACAAGTTCAAGGCGTCGAGCTTGTGCTGGCGCAGTTGCTGCTGAGCCTTCGCACCTTTCATGCTGGCCGAGGTGGTCACTCCCGGAGGCACCAAGCTCCCGCGGCGGGTGCTAGGGGCCGTGCGGCGGGAACTGCTCTCAGCCCGATTCATGGGAGGACCGGCCACAGAGGCAGCCTGGTGCCGTGCCGAGCTGAGCGCGGCGTCGAGCTCGTCGAGGTTGTAGTCCGTGTTCATCGTCGACGTTACCCTCTACCCAGACGCGTGTACACATAGTAGGCAGCGGTGGTGGTTTGGAGACAAGTCTCATGCCGGCGCACGCAATTTGCCATGGGAATCTAGCGGTGAAAACTCGCATGCAAGCAAGGATATTTCTATGGAGAAAAATCCCACCTCAAGCGAGCGACAACAACACCGGCGGAAAAATAGGGCCAAGCGCTCCTAGCAAATCAAGACATAATATGGTGTCTGAGCCGCACGATGAGGGAAGGAATGAAAACGTGCCACAACGTCACCGGCGCCATTCGGTTCGTTGGTTTATATAGGTAGTCTCCTGCAAAGCACGGCTGGCGGTTGTCGCCAAGGCTTCCAGGTACTCGTCGTGGCTGTGTACCCCATATTACTACATTATCTTCTCGGGGAAACTCATGGAGCTGGGATCCTGGGCTCGGCGGGGACCCTGGCTCTTTTTCTTTCGCGTCCGACCCTTCTACTGAGTAGAGAGCCAGTAAGCCAGCCCACGTTTGAGACACCCATTGATAAGCCTTCGGGCCAAGAGAGCCCAAGCGACGGGCTACGCGAAGATAGCGGCGTACCCACCACAGACGGTCATCGGTTAGGACTGCACCACGTGGTACTGCAACAGCTCCCCGAATGTCTCACCGAGGAGGCTCGCGGAACGGAGCCGCTCTGTACGAGGGCCGTCGAAAGTCAGGTGAAGCCTTCAGCCACTCCGCGATCCTTCGGTAATTAGTGCCCTTCGTGCCTGCTGGGCCTCGTCGGGTGTCGATCGGGCACGAATAGCGTCACAGGGACTCCTTAATACGACATAAGTCACCGTCTATCCCTTGCACCTACAAGCGCGCAAAAGAACAATAGATTATGTTACAGCGGTCTAGAAGGAACGACGAGTCCAAGCCACCTTGGTATCGGCTCCTATTTCACCCGCGTCAGGCCACGCTCAGCCCTCCGTCAAGATAGCAACCGAATCATCCCGGTAATTCTTAAATTGCCTCGCCGGCACGTTCCTATCGAATAGCAGGTCCAGCTCCTCGTACGTCTTCCCCTGGGTCTCTGGGATGCGGAAGTAACCCCAGACGAGGCAGAGCACACCTAGCCCGCCGAAGAAGTACCCCAGCTTGCCCTGCATGTTGGCCTCGGAGGGGTTGATCATGTAGGGGATGGCGACCGTCATCCCGATGCCGACCACGGCCTGGGCCGCCGTCGCCACCGCTATCGTCTTGGACCTCACCCGCGTCGCCGAGCACTCTCCGAGGATGACGAAGGTGATGGGCCCGACCGAGAGATCGTAGACGCCGTTCCACACGAGCATCAGCGAGCTCTCGGCCCACGCGACGCCTGGCGGCCGGCCCGGGATGCTGTCCAGGATGCCGATGACGAACATGAGCGCGATCAAGACCGACAGGCCGACGTTGAAGATGCGCCTGCGACCAAAGCGCGCGAGCAGGAACCACGACAGCACCGTGCAGACCCACCCCACGGCTAGTGGTTGGCAGCCGCGCGTTAGCAATGCACTCGTACTTATCGACGGAAGGAAAGGTCTAGGTATAGCAGTATTATTGCGGCAGGCGGGCATGAACCACTCACCCAAGAAGCCGATGCCCATGTAGAAGGCGTCTTGCGTCTGCAGCCCTGCTTGCTGGAAGAAGTAAGTGCCGTAGCCGATCAGGTAAATGCCGCTCAAGACCTGCGTCGTGTAGACGCCGGTTGAGATTTCGGTACGCCGCAGGTTGGCGCCCCGGACGGTGTCCAGGTACGTGCTGCCGGCCTCCATCTCCAGCTCGAGCCTATCTGTCTCGGCGATCACGGCGAGCGCCGCGTCGACGTCGACCGCGGGGGACGACAGCCGACACAAGGCATCCCTAGCGTCTTGGGTGCGGCCCTTCCTCACGAGCCACCAGGGGCTCTCGGGGATGAAGAAGATGCCGGGGACGATGACGGCGACCCAGAACCACTGGAGCGCGAAGGGGACGCTGTAGGCCCAGTGGCTCGCGATGGAGGCGGTGCCGGCGGTGACGCCGTTGGCGAGGAGCTGGCCGGTGACGAAGCACAGGTTCGTGTAGCTGGTGAGGTAGCCGCGGAGGGCCATCGGGCAGACCTCGGACGCGTAGGTGGGGCCGATGACGACGAAGCAGCCGAGCACGAGGCCGCCGAGCAGCTCGCCCACGAGCAGGGCCTGCAGCGACCGCGCGAAGAACTGGATGAAGACGAGGCCCGCCGTCAGCGCCACGCAGCCGAAGAAGGTCCGCTTGCGACCGAACACCTCCATCGGGTACGCCGAGAAGAGCGCGCCGACGACCTGCCCGACGGGGTTCCCGAGCGACAGACCCGTCTGCCAAGCCGCCGAGATGATGTACTACAGCGCGAGCAGCGGATGCGAAGTGCCGTTAGTCCTACGTGAGCTTTTTTAGAAGCGGGGGAAGAATAGTCGTACAGCTAGGGAGGACAAAGATGGTGACGGAGAAGGAGGTGGGGGAGAGAGGGGGGCAGGAAAAAGAATAATGGAAAAAGATGGAAAAACAAAGACGGAATTATATACCCACCTCGCCCTCAAATTCGAAGCCAAAGTCCTTCTGAAACTGAGGCATCGCAAACATGTTGCCGACGATCTGGGGGTCGAAGGCCAGCATGATGACGCCGATGGAGACGTAGACGGACCAGCCAACGGCCTTGGGGTACAACCGCGCGGCCTCCCAGAAAGTCAACGCGTGTTCTTGCTGAACAGCCTCGGTGAGCGTGGCGTCCGCTCCGGGCTTCTTCGGCGACGGCGCATGCTCGCTTCGAGACGCCATCGGTGTCGTCGCCCCGCTGTCGGGTTGTCTCGCACCAGATGCGGGCCCGCGTCCGCGACAGGCCGCGTGGCCAAAAGTAGGGGTAGTAGGGGTAGTAGTGGTAGTAGGTACGGTAGTAGCGATGGAATAGGTGGTGGTGGCGGTGGCGGTGTCCTCCGGGGTCGAGAAGGTGCCGCAGTGGTGGTGGTGGTGAGGGGATCGCGTGTCCATACTGTCCACCCCTCCGTAGGCGTTTGACGATATATATAGGCGTATGTAACCCAGTTAAGACCAGGGACTATCCAGCAGACAAAGATCTGCAGAAGGATATCTTATCTAACTACCCATGCGTCTGGTCATCCTTATCGTCTCTCCCTCTCTTCCCCTCTCCAACCCCGTCGCCGATGCCACCTGGAGGAGTCGAACTTGTTCGAATTGGGGGCCCTCGTTGCCTGACACGATCGAGAATTGCCTCACCTCATAGGCCCGTTTCCCAGGTTACCTCCACGCGAGAAGGAGGGGGAACCAGGGGTTCGGAAAGATAGAGAGGAAGATAAAGAAAAAAAAAAGGGGATCCACGACGTGGTACGACGTTGTAAGCATGGACGGGCGTGTACATATGCAAGCGAGCTGTGTGTCTGGGGAAGACACCGGTGTAAGAGAGGACAATTCAAACGTTAACGGCGGGAGGGCATTGGTCCATATCTGGGTTCGGGCGCACATAGATATGTGCCAACCTAGGTATGATAGACGCGTAAGCCAAGCATTCTGATGACTGGCACCTGAGCCTCACTTACACGCTTACACACGAATACACGCTCACCATCTACCTTTCCTGGGATAAGGCCATCACTAGGCAAAATAAAAGGACGAGAAATCCCTCTACGACTACAAACATCACAAAGGTCAGCTGAGCCGGAGAATAATCTTCGTGGCCATCGTAGTCATCGGAGTTAATATGGAGTCTTAGGTAATATCATAACGCTGGTTTGATTTTCCACCGCAAGCTGCTTTTGCGTCGATCGAGCCCATGGCTATCGTCCATAACTCGCATCCTGTCACGTAGGAAATCCGCCCTTATGAGCCCATATCTACAAGTCGTAGAACGCAATTAGGCGCCTACGTTTTACGCAGTACATCCGCAGGTGATCACACAAGAGAGTGCCTCACCATATCAACGCGCCTATAAATGATCTTGTCACGTATTAGCCGTTAAACCAGCCGATATAAGCCTACATAACGCACAGTGTAGACGTAGGCGTCTACGTTTTACGCGACAGACCTCCAATCATCATGTTCGTGCCGGGGGTATCATGCCCAATTTCCAGTCCTAACTCCGATAAAACGACAAGCCTCCGTATGTCGAGCTCCCCGATGGTATCCCCCCAATCCATCTCGTATTCCAACCGTATTTCCCCCCTCTTCCCCTCCTCGCCGGGATACCATGTCCGTACGAATGGGTGTGCGGTGGCTGTGAGGACGGGTGTGTGTAGTGTCTGGGGGGAAGGGGGGTTATGTACTGTCTAGGAGAACAGGAGTCTCAGGTGGGCGTTGTCCGTAAGCAGTTGCGCGTCCTTCACAACTGGCCCTCCGCCTCGAAATCCTCAAACTCCCAATCGTCGTCTTCGCCCTCCGGAGGGTCGAGCAGCACCAGCCTCTTGTTGGAGAGCTGGCTGATCGGGATGCCGAAGCCGCCGACGGCCCAGCGGGCGAACCGGAGCAGCTTGTCGGAACTGCCCTGGTCCTGCACGCGCCAGGTGGCGACGCGGCGGAGGTCGACGCCCGTGGGATCCCACACGGCGATGCTGCGCAGCTCTGGCAAGAGACTCGCCAGCGCCATCGTCCGCACCACGAAGTAGCCCCCGGCCACCGCCAGCGAGTCCACCGCCACGTGCTGGCCGTCAAACACCGACACCCTCATTTCCCCCTCTTCCCCCTTCTCCCTCTCCGCCGTCGTGTCTGCACCCGCCCCCGCGTCTGCATCCGCCGCGGCTTGTACCTGGGCGACCATATCCGCCACGATCTGCTCTTCCATCCTTTTGCTCAATTCCCGGGACAGAAACATCACGTCTATCTCTGGCTGGAACGAGCGTGCCCCGTAGCACGCGCCCTGCCCGTCGCGTTGGCACGGCAGGTATAGCTGTGCCTGCTGCCGCGACTCGGAGCACACGTGGAAGACGGTCGGCACTCGGTGGAAGGTTATGAGAGGGAGATCTCTGACGCCGGTGGTGTTGTCGTTGCCGTTGTCGTCCGTTAGGTCTTCAACATCCACCCGAGTAAGGCCCGGGATGCAGATGCCGGGTATGTCCCCCTGCTCGCCAACAGCAGCCCCAGCACACGACCAGATCAGGCGTCGGATTTCTTGGGGGAGTTTTCCAAATTGAGGGAATGATGTGAGGTATTTATACCGTGGAGCCGGCGAACAGGAGAAGGAGCCATCCGTGTGGCCGGATAATGTAGAAGAGGAAGGTGAGTCCGACATGGCTGCTTTGGCGATCTCTTCGTCGGATAGGAGGATGTTGCGTAACCTGGGTGATGAGGGGGGAATACTTTGAGAAAGCGCAAAGTGTACTGCTGCTGCTGCTGCTGCTGCTGCTGCTGCTGTTACTGCTGCTGCTGCTCCTGCTGCTGCTGTTACTGCTGTTACTGCTGTTACCGTTGTGGCTGCGGTTCCCCTCGCTGAGATGTCGAGTGTTATTACCTCGTTAAGATGCCCGATGCTCGAAAGGAGGTCGAAAGTCGACCGATGCCAAGGGCTGATGGCGGTAGGTACAGTGGCCAAAATCTCCTACCGATGTATCGACAAGACTTAGGGATATACCTAGCTTGTGACGAGGCGAATTAGGTGTGACAGAAGGCTGGTTGCCGGGTCGATAGGTTGTCGGTTAGAACTGCGAGCTCCGGGTCGATGGCTGCGAGAGAGACGAGGAAGTACGGTAGCAAAATGCGGTGCTGCTAGAAGAGAGAGCATCTTCACTTATATATATTTTCTTCTCCCTTCCTCGGACACCCGTAGTCTTCCAGAACGGGCTTTTGATTTAACACGGACTTGGGTTCAAGTTTAATATCTCCCTTCTCTACAGGCTTCTTCTCCCTCTCACCCATGTTAACTCCTGCATAAATCTTCACGGACCACTGAACCATCGATGTGAAGAACACGTCGGCATATCCTATAAGGTTTCTCTCTTGACTCCTGTGGCGAGGGGGATTCTACCTTGTAAGCCTACAGAGATCACGAGGGAGATGTAGGCGTCTATGTTTTCGTGTGACACCCCCTGGTGTAATTCGGACATGTCTCCTCTCTTTACGCGTGTCTTCCCCCTTCTCCCACTCCTAGCTACCCTCTTATATCCCGCTCTCCCCGCGGCCCTCCTCTCCGCGCCACTGCTCCCCTAGTAATAGGAATCCTGCTAGTTATGGACGGTTCCGCTGACAGCTACTGATGTTCGAGAGCACCGTATTCTGGCATCACAATACGTCGGACCCCTAATTGAGAAGGGAAAAGCAATACAAATTCGATAGAAACAACCCCCGCACTCAAAAACGCTTAGATCACAGGTGAAAGCGGCAGTTGAGTTTGTGAGCGACCTCTAGTCTCGGAGTCGTAAGTCAACAGCTGACCCCGTATATAAATACTATGCCCGCGAGTCCCCCTCGGAAACCGTAAACTCTAGCAATAACATGGGAGTTATCATGCTGGGCCAATGAATTACACGTAAGCAATCCCACCTATATATAAGCCTGTAATGTGCGAGTCGACGCTTTTACGTGAGACATGGCGAGAATAAGTAGGACATTACCAACACAATTCCTAATATTCGATCAGTAGTTCTGCCGTTAAGGCGATAATATCTAGATAATTAACGATCAAGTAGGTATAGTACGGAAATCTCCCGTGGCTTGCTGGTTTCGCTGAATGGTGGCGTTGGGTTGCAAATACCCGCCAACACTCACCGGGCGCGGAGTAGAGATGGCGATATATACAGGCAATGGCACGACATCGGATTGGCTCCTCCGGTTGGTCGTCGGGGCCAAAATTATACGATGGAATAGGCAGGTCTGCCTAGACCCGAAGGCGGGGAGGTCGACGGCTTGGGCAATCCGATGATTCTTTTACAGCCGAGTCGACGGCCGAATGGCTGTGAGAGTGAAGACGGGTCTACACAAGAGATAGGTATAAAAAGGCGACGAGAAGAGCCTCCGTTTATCCACCCCTCTATCTCTTTCTGCATGTCTCCCGCCCTCTGCCTACTTGGAGCTCACCTGCGAATTTCCATCTATCTACCTGCTTGCCAAGCCGGGACAATCTCTGCCAACCTCAGCCTAATACCCCCAAGTAGCAGCATTACCTACCTGTTAGTTCCCACCTGATACCAGCAGCAAATATGCACCTCGCCGTCCTCGCGCCGGTCTTCGCCCTGGCCGCCGTCGTGTCGGCAGGGCCCGTCTCCTCGTTCGGGGCGGCGGGAGACTCGCCGTACGTGGGGCCGGAGAACGGCACGCTCGTGATCATCGGGGGCAACGCGTCGGACGACGCCATCTACCAGCGCATCATCGACCTGGCCGGCGGGCCGGACGCGCCCATCGTGACGGTGCCGACGGCCGACGGCGCGGCCGAGTACGACGACGACGCGGCGCAGGCGCGCACGTTCCGGCGGCTCGGCGCGCGCAACGTCACGGTGCTGCACACGTACGACCCGGCCGAGGCGGACACGGAGGCGTTCGCCGCGCCGCTGCGCGCCGCCCGCGGCGTCTTCTTCGGCGGCGGCCGCCAGTGGCGCCTCGTCGACGCCTACGCCGGCACGCTGACCGAGCGGCTCTTCCACGACGTGCTCGCCCGCGGCGGCGTCGTCTCCGGCAGCTCCGCCGGCGCCTCCATCCAGGGCAGCTTCCTCGCCCGCGGCGACACCCGCACCAACCAGGTCCTCGTCGGCGACCACCAGGTCGGCTTCGGCTTCCTCCGCAACGCCGCCATCGACCAGCACGTCCTCGCCCGCAACCGCCACTTCGACATGTTCGACATCCTCAAGGTCCGCCCCGAGCTCCTCGGCGTCTCCGTCGACGAGAACACCGCCCTCATCGTCTCCCGCAACGACGCCGAGGTCTTCCGCGGCACCTACGTCATCTTCTACGACGGCGGCTTCTGGTCCCGCGAGGGCAGCGACCTCAAAAACCTGCCCCCGAGCTCGTCCATCTTCTACTTCCTCCGGCACGGCGACAAGTACGATCTGGGCAAACGACAGATCGTGGTCTGAAGGGGAGGGGGGGAGAATAGTGGTTGCTGCTTATGAGTTGGGGTGGTTCGAAGCTGTAGAACAATGATATTTTCGCTCTGCTCAAGCTAGGTTGCTAATGGATACAAATAAATGCATACGCTCCTAATTATTACTGCCTGTACTTGCCAGTGCATCTCTGATGGCTTCCTTTGGGTGTTATCTCGTCTCCAGGGGGAATAGCATTTTCTATTCGCCCCAATCACTGTATCCGCACTTCGCGACAGCAGACCTTCGCTCTCCTCCGCCCCAACATTCTCCAATCACTCGGTTCTCAACGCCCATCATCTGAAGGATACCTGCGCCATGTTCCCATTCGAGGTCTTGGTATCGGATTCTGCCCTGAGTGTCTACTGCTGCCCTCCGTCCCTGGAACAAGGCGAGGTTCGACAAATGACTGGCAATGGAAATACAACCGGCTTGTTTGCCACCGGGTATCTTCGTTAGCAATCCAATATAGCTGCCCTATGTGAGGTCGACGCACAGTTCTAGAGTTGTGATCGTGACCTCTCGCTCCAAGGGCGTGTAATAGGAGCGTAGGGCGAGGAGGTAATAGGCTGCGAGGAACGGGGGGATCGTGTTCCTAGTTATTGTCAGTAGTGGTTTAAAGAGTAAACAGAGAGATCGGAGTGGTTGTTACATGATGATTGGCAGAATGAGGATCAGTACGGGGACTGTTCTGCGGTTTGTGTTGCCTGTCATCCAGAGCACATACATCATTATGAGCGGCGCCCATACTATATCAAGTACTAGACGCAGGTAATAGTTAACGAAAGGAACTGCTGCTGCTTTCTCACGAGGGTGAAAATCCCCTTGTCGGGCTAGGTCGAGACCCAACTGGACGCCCTCGTACCGACATTGGCGAGGGGCTCTTCCGAGCATAGAGTCTTCTGTCATACCTAGATTTAGTGAACATTGTACAAGTTGGCTGAAAGCGCTCGCTCCAGTCACCAGCACAAAGCACGCAACTTGGGCACGTAGTGCGACCCTGAGCGACGGCTTGCGTCTCCAGACCAGTGGCCCCACGTAAGCCATCATAGCCAAGCTGCCCAAGAAGTTGGCCGCGTTGAGATACGGTTGCAGGGTGCCGTCGAAAAGGGTCCAAAGGTTTGGCTGCGGTCGTTGTACGAAGACCCGTGTTGCTTCCATTGATCCAAGCAAGCCGAAAAGCTAGTGGGATTAGACACCGTCAGCTTCCACTTATATCCTCTCGTAACGCCGAGTGTGAAGAGTCCGTCGGCAGCATCAGATTTACCCACCGCCGCTTGCATGAAAAAGAGGCTGCCCCAGTGTGCCCGGACGACGGGGAACGTGAACCCTATAGCCCGTTCAAGACATGTTATAGCAATTGTGCCCGTCGACGCGACGGCCGTTATGAAGTGCGGCAGTAGTGGTACCACCTCCGATAGAGGCATCTCCGCGCGGTGAAATGCGAGTCGATAAGATATTAACAGAGCTGCTGCTTTAGCAGGAAGAAATCAAGAACAGTACGAAGTATGGCACGCAAGACGACTTGAGATGGGGGGGAGAGGGGAGCGAGAGAGGGTGATTGGCCTCTAACTACCTAATACTTGCCGACACTGCCGCCTCGACTTGACGTCGCGGCCGGCCGTATTGTTATGGTTTCAGGGCAGGCCGAGCCCAGTAGAGCCTCGCGAAGGAGGAAATAGCTAATCTCACTAGTACGGCAGGCCGAATTCGACATCGGTTCAAGACAGAAGCAAGAGCGTACGGGAAGACATATTGCGTGGAGCATATGAGGGCAAGAATGGCTCAGCACAACTTCGGTCGTTGAGAGGAACTCTGAAGTGACGGGCCGTTCCCTCAGAAGCCACACCAGAAGGACCAGATCGGATCATCCCGCGTAGATCAGTAGAGGCGTGTGTGTATATAAGATAAACAAGGTGGATGACACAACGGGGCAGACAAGCCTTTAAAAGCCCCCCAACCCAGCGCGGAAATGCCAAAGGTATTTTTCCAATACATGCCCAATCGTAAGAGAAGAGCGGGAAAAAAAGCGTACTCCCGGACGACGCTACCCCTAAGTACGTTGCGGATATATAGAGTAGCTTACTACGCTACGCTACTATACATGCTTCCCCCCAGGTGTCATCCCCGAACAGATAGCAGGCCCGACCTCATCCTTCTCTCAGAATCTGGCCTGGACCTTCTCCTGCGTGTCCTGGACGGCCCAGGGGGAGAAGGCGTTCTTGCTGAGCACGCGGCGGCACTGGTCGGCGGTGAAGCCCTTCGCCTCGACGGCGGGGTTGTAGCCGAGGCCGTTGCGGCGGCCGACCTCGGCGGAGTCGAGGCCGCCCTCGGGCGCGACGACGCTGCGGTCGGGGCGGCAGTAGGCGGTGACGACGGCGGCGCCGCCGAGCCCGAGGTTGTGCTGGAGGGCGTAGCGGGTCTGCGGGACGGCGCGGTTGTTGGCCCAGCCGCGGAGGTGCCAGACGAGCTCGGCGCACTGGGCGATGCCGGTGGCGCCGAGCGGGTGGCCCTTGGAGATGAGGCCGCCCGAGGGGTTGACGACGGGGCCGTCGCCGCCGTACGTGATGTCGCCGCGGCGCACCATCTCGTGGGCCGTGCCGGGCGCGCACAGGCCGAGCGCGTCCAGCGTCACCATCTCGTTGGCCGAGAAGCAGTCGTGCAGCTCGACCACCTGCACGTCGCGCGGCCCGATGCCGGCCTCGGCCAGCGCCCGCTCCGCCGCCGTCCGGGTCATCTCGTACCCGACGAGGTCGATGGCGCTGCGCGAGAAGAGCTGCGGCGAGTCCGTCGTGAGGCACTGGCCCGCGATCAGCACGGCCTGCTCGCGCAGGTGCGGCCGCGCGTCGAGGAAGGCCTGCGACACGAGGACGGCGGCCGCGCCGCCGTCCGACGTCGGGCAGCACTGCAGCTTGGTCAGCGGCGAGTGGACGGTGGGCGACTGCGCGATCTGCTCGAGCGTGTACACGTCCTGGAACTGCGAGTACGGGTTCCTGACCGAGTGCTCGTGGTTGATCCGCGCGATCTCGGCGAAGTCCTCGAGCTTGGCGCCGTATCTGGCGTTCGGCGGTTAGCGAGGCGGCACGGCGGCGGGGGCGCGACGGACTGGTCTGGTCTAATACTCACTTCTCCATGTACTCGCGGCCCGCGTTGCCGAACAGCTGGGCGGCGCCAGGGGCCTTGGCGAAGCCGCGGGTCTCGGCCATTATCTTGACCGAGGTGCCGACGGGGTTCTCGCGGTCCTTGAAGAAGCTCTGGAGGCTGCCAGACATCATCTTCTCGAAGCCGACGACGAGGACGCAGTCGGCGGCGCCGTGGGCGATGGCGTTGCGGGCCATGACGAGGCCGGTGGAGCCGGTGGAGCAGTTGTTGTTGACGTTGAAGACGGGGATCTGGGTCATGCCGAACTGGTAGAAGACGCGCTGGCCGCAGGTCGAGTCGCCGTAGCAGTAGCAGGCGATGCCCTGCTCGACGTCGTCGTACGTGATCTGGGCGTCGAGCATGGCCTTCACGCCGGCCTCGAAGCCGAGCTCGGTGTAGTCGACCTTGCCTCGCGGCTTGATGAACTTGGTCATGCCCACGCCGAGCACGTAGACCGGCTGCTTCTGCTTGGCTGGCATCTCGGCTTGGACTGGAAGGGTCGCCTCTCTACGTGTGTGTGCTCGTCTGCGCAGAGCTCTCTCTCTAGCTGGGAGAGTGCGGGAGAGGAGAGAGGAAAATATGCGGATCGGCGATGTCAATTGTGTCCTAATGCAGATTGGTCCCAACGAAGAATGCTTCTCACGTCTCCTTTGCCTGCACGGTTTCTTGTCACCCAAAGCCCCAGAGCCACGGTGCCACCACAACAACCGTGTGATCCGAGGAAGCACTCTGCGTCTCCACGCGGGGGCGGCCCCGGACTGGACCTGAGCTAAACCGAGGCAATACCCCAGCCGGTGTAGCGCCCTTTTCCCTTTTTGTCACCATCGTCTTGGCATTTCTCTTTTTGTTGCCGTCTCTCTTGTTATAGTATAATACCCTGGACCTTTATATATTGGGTTGCCTGGGTACTACTACGTATGTTGTTTTCCATTTTCCACGAGAACACGGGCTGTCGACATATATGGACATATTATGCGCGAATGTGCATTTTATGCGGGTTCTGCACAAGAGTATATGAGTGCATATGTACGTAGGTGGCTTCCCGTTTGCGTTTGCGTTTGCGTAGGAAGGCAGGGACAACACATTAGGCGTAAAGTGCCCTGCAGGTAACCGAGGGTACCATCCCGAGATACCTTGCCTTAGCTCAGGCGCCTCGACAGAGTCCACCGCCACCCGGAAACCCAGAGGCCCGCGGGCATCTGACTTGGTTTCCTAATAGTACCCCTAGTAGTAATACCTAGGTGGTGGTGGTAGTGGTAGTAGTATTTGACGCCTGTTAGGGCTATCCCGTGGCCTTCCATGGGGTACTAAGGGCGTTGTTAAGCTAGGAGGATATTTACAGCTTTTAACTCCTTTTTATTTAGCATCTCGGTTTTCATGTCGCTTTACGCCGTTTAATAATCTGTATCTTCCCTCCTCCTTGCGAGGGTAGTTTCTGGTTTCTTTTGTTGATCTAGTAATACGAATTCGATCGTCTTTATTGCTTCGTGGAGTTCGGTGGCAAGTAGCTCGGCTTTAAAGGTAAAGCGAGCGTTTCGTTAGATGAGGGGTTCGGGGGAGGGTGGGGGTTCGCAGGAGCCTCCATCGCCGTGATAATTCCTCTTAGAGATTATTACAGGATTTCAGTTTCGGTGGTTTGGTCAAAACGCCGTTCTTTTATTAAGCGTCGAGGTTTTGTTAGGATAGATACCATGACTGCTAACAATTGTAAGCGCACAACTGATTTTTAAAGGGAAATGTGTCTTATACTACTTCTGGTATTACGTCATAGGGGTCATAGGGGTCATCGATACTGTGAGCATGGCCGTGGCCGTCGTGACCGTAACCGTGACCGTACCCCGTAACCGTGACGGCGTCACCTTCGCGGATCAAGCATAAAGCAAACATAAATTGCAGCATTTTCTTGACTACCCAGGCGCAGGTTGGTATCATGCCTCCCACATCTCCCCTCTGCCTTCTCTGCTCTCCCATATTATATACGTGCCTAACCAGTATCCTCATCGGCCCCAGGATCTCGTCAAGGGTATACATGTTTAAATATAATTCTCAGACACAGAAGAATATCACACATGTCTATTACTTCCCCCCCCCCCTCCATCACCTCCACGTCCGTCGAAGCCTGTCCTTCTATACCGATACACATAGTCAAACAGGTATACTTTCATGCATCGTTATCGAATAGTTGGCTATTCCCAGCGCTATGCGAGGCCGGGGTCGGCTCAGCGACGTACTGCTAAGCTGGAACCCGTCGTCCAACACAGCTTTCCCCTCTCCCCCCCTTCTCTTCAAGTAGGTTCTCGGTATGCGGACAATCGCAAGGTATTTCGTTATCTCGTGACTAGAGGGCAAGCGGAAGTACCGATTCTTCGGCTCCCTGCTCGAACGATATATATATATATATATACGAGGGTAGAGGAAGTTGGTATTCGTCCCCTCGCTATTAGGACGGTCCTGGGCCCGGCCCCGGCTGGAGCAGCGGATTCCAAAACTCCATATCCCACACGGCGGCGATGTCGTCGGGCACCTGCATATCGATTAGTCTGACTGACGCGCTCGCGAGTAGGCAAAAGAAGACGACTGGGGGAGGGAAAGCGCACAGCGTTGGGGATATCGGGCGTGGTAACGAAAGGTTGCGTCTGCGTCATGAAGCTCGAGCTCGTCCGCATAGAATTCATCGGTGCCGATATGGAGGACGACATCATCTATCGAGGACGGCGAGGGAGGTTAGCAACATGTGCTTGGCAATATGTGTAGGAAGCGACTCTTTCTACCTACCGGCATTGACGAGATATTCTCCTGGTTCGTATGTATTGACTGCAACCCCGCGTCTAGAATCGCCTGCACGCCTCTCTTAATAGCCTCCCGCTTCTCTTCTGGCGTCCCACCCTGGCAGGTGTTAAAGACGACCGTGAGCGAGACGATGTCCCTCAAATCTGTGTCGATCTCCCGGATGCGCTTGAGCATCGTATCCAGCACCTTCTGCACGGCGTTCTTGAGCCGCCGCGGGGAGAGGATGACCGAACTCTCGGACGCGAGCGCGCACGACTCCTCGACGGTCTCCGCCTTAATCTCCGGGCCAGCACCCGCCAACCGCGGCGATACGGCGCCGTTGTTGTTAGCCTGCTTCATGTAGTAGCATATGCTGAAAGCGGCCTGGAGGATGTCCTGCTTGAGAACCAGCTGGTGCATGTGCCAGACGTGTTGGTAATCGGGGGACGTGGGGTCGTACTCGTCCAAGTACGAGAGGAGAATCATCGACGACCGCAGATACCCCGTCATGATCTGCTGCGGGGCGTCCGGGCTGCTCAAGGCGAACGGCCGGTATAGCGCCAGCAGCGGCCGGCGGCAGTGCATGTCTAAAACCACCCGTGTCACCCACGCCCGCCGCATCTCCTTCAACTCGCTCGAGTGGAACGGTGGGGCAATGTATCTCACGTCTTCGAAAACTCGCTCTAGCTCGCTGCCGATATCGAGGACTTGCTGGTAGTCGTGGAGGCTGTCGGTGCGGTTGATAAGCTCGACGACCTTGAAGCGCATGGCCAAGGTATTTGCCGCGAATACTTGAATGCGCGAATCGGTGTTCTGCTCGATCGGCTTGGAGGGAGGGAGCTCCTCGAGTTCGGGGTAGATGTCGTCGTCGTCGAGGTTTCTCGGCGGCAGACAGGTGAAATCGCCCTCTCGGATGCAGCATGGGAGGTTGCACTGCATCGACAAGTGCACGTCGAGTTCCACTATCGCGTACCAGAGTCTCCGCCTCTGCTCGCCCCAGAATGGCGAGATCTTGTGCGAGAACTCGGACGGGTCCCGATGCAGACCCATCGTCATCGCCATCCGGACGATGAGGCCGAGATGTGTCCAGGATTCTTGGTTCTGCGGGTTGATCATCCGCTGCGCCATGAGCTGGAGGACCTCAGCCTGCAGCGTGCTGAATTCGACCAACTGCTTGCCCCGGAGGGTATCGAGCCAGGTTCTTACGAGAGAACTGGCCGTCGGAATATGGATACCGTCTCGATCGTGGAACTGCCCCTTGCCGGCCGCGAGGAACCGGTATCCCACGCACATGACCGAGAGGAGCTGGGGCAGAAACGAGTCGGGTTGGGGGGAGCCGTCCCAGTACCGATTATACTGTTGCGTGAATGTGGGGATGTGTAGAACGCGATATATGGTCTCGGAGGCCGTCACATATACGCTCAGGAGCGTGTCGCAGACGGATCTACTGGGTAGAACATCGGCCATGCGCTTCTGGATGGGCGTCACCGAATCCACGAACACCGTGAGCGGAGCAGCGACTTTGCGATGCTCCTCCTGAAGTGCCTTGTGAATTTTTTGGATATTCAGGAACATCTCTCGGATGTCGCTGGACTTGTTTCTGGTAAACATGAACTCCTTGGCCTCGTCAAACTAGTAGCAGAGTCAGCCTTCCGGGGACGCTTCCCAGCCGTATGCACGAGTGGGAGGGGGGAGCGGGGGCAACTTACGAGGTTTACCAGCACGCGCGTGCTACTTTGTCCAAAGAACCGTGTTCGCAGGCCTCCCTTCACCGTCAGACCGCGGATCGTGAGCGACGAGGCGGCGGGACGCTGGCTCCGGGCGCTGCCTGACTCCTCGACGGACGGGTCTCTCGGAAGCATCTGGTTTTCCAGCCGATCGAGTCTGGCTGCGTGTTCCTCGAGTATGGTGGCGTAGTGGGAATCGTGTCGGCTCGAGTCCCGACCGGTCGTCAAAGCGCAGTTCCGCTTGGAGGGTCTGTCAGGAGCCTCGGCGTCCGACCCGTCGCTGGGACTAACCCGCTCGCCCTCGGAAGCGTAGCGGCATGCTCGTTGCGCCTTCTGGCACTGGGAGCACGGCGCGGCTCGATCGCATTTCAGCTTTCGCTTACGGCACTCCAAGCAGCTCTTGACCGGGCGCGGGCGCTTCACGCTGCGCGAAGAGGCGCCCACGATACTGCTGTAGCCGGGGCTGTGGACGCTGCTGTGGGCCGACGTCGGGGATTTGCCGCTGTCCATCGGGCACGCGAAGCGCAGCCAAGGTCCAACAGGTAAGAGAGAGAACTGGAGCGTGTGCGGACCGACTCATGGATGTGAGTGAGGTCGAGCTAAACCATACATCATCACCACCAAGAGGAGGGGACGAGGAGAGGGGAAGCGGGAGCAGGTCAGCGTCGTATAGTCTATCTTCACCACGCCGACAGACACAGCAGCATCTGACGAACCCGGTCTGCTGGGCCACGGAGCATAACCAACAAAGGTCTGTCGTGTATAAGTGCGATGCACAAGGTGCATGTATGTACTACGTTGCACGAGGGTGGGAGAGGGAAGGATAATAAAAAGGATGAGGCTTCAACGAAGAGGGTCGGACCCGGGCGGCCGGTGACAAGAGGTTGGATCAGGTAGACAGGCCCCCAAATCGAATCATGCCGCCAGGGATTGTGGTGTTTTGTTTCCACTAGATCACTTCTCGAAAAGGCAGCGATGTTCAGCTTTAGCGGTTGCAAGGGACATGCCTAGGTGGGACAAGTCTCTCGCTCTCTCGCTCTCTCTCTCTACCTGGAATACAACAACCATCCATCCCTCCATCCCGTACATACATACATACATGGCAGTGGTCGAGAGAGAGAGAGAGAGAGAGAGAGGAAAAGAGAGAAAGATAGGAAGAGACAGAAAGGAGGGAGCAAAGAGGGGAAGAGGAGAGAGAAAAAAAGAAGGAAAAGGACAAGACACGCAGCAATAGCGGAGGGCTCAACAACACAACAACACTCATAGGTACACAGTTAGCGAAGCGCGGTTCACGTGAGGTGCGGATCCTGGCCTTCGCTTTCTCCCTTGTTCTGTTTATGTGTATATATTTGAACAATATAAGACTTGCCAAGATCCGTTCCCTTTTTGTAGAAAAAGGCCCCGAAAAAAAGAACAGAGAAAAGAGAAAGAGAGAGAGAAGAGAGGCCGTTCCCCCCCCAGGATCCCAGGATCCCAGGGATGACCCCTGGTCTACCCAACACGACCCTTACCTCCCCTGCTCGGCAGTCTGGCGAGGTCTCGGCCGATTCGGGCGTAGCTTGGACAGTGACAGATTTGTCTCTGGAGATGCCAAGGCTCATCATCATTTCCGGGAGGATGGGTCGCCTGCGCCCTGGCGGTCGAAAAAGGCCCTTGTCGACTGGTTTCAAAACATATTATTGCAACTTCTCTTGGGGCACAACAAAATTAGCGACGTTGCAATATGGTTGCTCAGAATCCGCTCGCCTGCGCCTACAGGCTCGCCGGCACGCGCTGCACCAATATATGTAGATCAGCAGCGCGGCGAGTTTCTGCGCTGGCTGTGACGTCTCCAAGGCTGTCTCGCGGTCTGGCCGGTGCCTTCTCGCCAACCGCACGCCTGTTTCATCTCTCTCGCACACTTCTGTGCCTGTCTCCTCCACCCCGTCTCGCCCCTCCCCCCCCCCCCCCCCGGTCTGCTGTCTCTCGGCCTCTCTCGTCTAGACTTAGACGCGCGGGAAGAGCCAGGGAGCCAGGGGGCCGGGGGGGAAGGGGGGGGGAGGCGGGCGAGAGGACGAGGCCCGACTAGGTAGCAGCAATAAGTAAAGAATAGGAAGGATCTTCTCTATATAGGTAGGGGCAGGACGCGCATAACCTACTCAGTACACCTACCGTACGGCGTTACCACACGCCATCCCACGCCTGGGCAGACACCGACGTAGCACGGGGGAACGTTACCTTTCGACATCACGGCCGGATACGAGGATCGACTTGTCGTCTGCTATGCACAGAGCTGGAAACGCGCGGGACGACGCCGGATTCGCATCAATGGTGGCCCACCCGGAGTGAGACAGACAGCTCTTGACAGCCTGCCCAGGCCAGCCCGCCCAGCCCTCCCTCACGGCGACTCGCTCGGGGGGACTTAAAAAACAATAAAGTCGAGAAATAAAACCGGCACGAAACGAGATGGGCACGGCGCAGGTGGTAATGAGAGACGAAGTAGAGCAAGAAGAAGAAATTGTCATCGGCTTGCCGTCATCGCGGCCAGGCTAGGATTCTCAATCTCCTCTCTCATCTCAGCTCCCTCAGGTGCCTGTTCGACACGAAATTGATCGTATGGTTGCATGTGAGTATGCCTACCTGATAGCCGCACAGACGGCCGAACTCTCCATGATCTACACTCGGTAGGTAAGAAAACGTACCTACGGAACAACCCACAGCCTCTCGATCGACTGCGCCCTGGCCTGGCCAGGCCTGGCTGCCCGAGCCCACCCTGCTTTTTTTTTTCTCCCTCTATTTAGGTAAATTTTTTTTTGATTGTCCATTTCCTTTTCGCTTCCTCCCTCCCAAATCGGACACGTGCCTGCTGCTCACCCACCCTTCCTCCGTCCCTCCGTTCCTGAACGAGGGGGGAGTGGGGGACTCACATGCCGTACTCGCCTGCTGCGCGAGCGAGTAACAGATCGTCTCGCTCACTCGCTCATTACTCGCTTATGTGGCCGGGGTTCGTCGTCGTCGGCTGGAATAGCTGTCGGAACTGCCGGCGAGCGCAGCTTTAGCCAAGGCCGCGGGCGCGCCAGCTGGTTGACCTAGCAGCAGCAGCGCCAACGCACCGCTTCCGCCGCCGCCACTACTGCTACTGCTACTGCTACCGCTACTGCTGCTACTGCTGCTGCTATTGCTACTGCTAATGCTGGCTCGAGCCCGCGGCCGCCCTCACGTCCTCGTAGACGATGCCGCGGTCGGCGCAGTGGGCGGCGGACCTCGTCTGGCGCGGCTAGAAGCGCGCGCATATGCGCGTTAAGTGGCGGCCATGCGTCTCAGGAGGAATCCGACCAGGACGACACAACATCACGCAACACAGAGGGAAACACAAGAGGAAAAGAGGACAAAAGGAGGAGGAGGACCCAGAATCATCGCCGCTTATGCCGGGAATGGTAGATGTCGGGGGCGGCGAGAAGGGGCCGAGCCTGCTACCCGGGCCGCCGGTCGCGCGCAGAACGCGACAAAATTTCGCGTAGCAGCACGTGGCTAGGCGCCCGACGCGACGTTCGCCGGCGACATCTGCAGCAGCCACCTGAGCTGCACCTCGTCGACGAGGGCCTACAATCAACGCCGGCAGGCTCACACCAGACCCTAGGTACTGCATCCTGCGCGGTGTCCGACCCTATCGCTCCCCGAGATACCCATCGCTCCCCAATATCTCGGGGGCGCGCCTCGCCCTGTCTTCCGACGTAATGGGGGGGGCTTTTCGAGAGGGGAAGGGGGTGCGGATAGGAGATGGCGGGTGCAAGAGGAAGAGGGGAAGAGGGGAAGAGGGGAAGAGGGGAGAGAGGGGGGAATGCACGCAGGGACTATTGCAGTCGGCCAGGCAGTTGATGACGAGCCCCCCTCGCGCGACTCACGCCAGCGCGCGCCCACCGCGCCTCGAAATCAGGCCGTCCTGGATGGGGGAGGGCGCGGCTGCGCCGGCCGACTTGGCGCCTCGTTGGCATTGCCATGGCACCGAGCTGGCTGGACGAAGGCGTTCCCACGTGCACTTCGGCTAGATCCTATTCCTCTCTCGGTGACGGAAACGGGCAGGCCAGGAAGCACCAGGACCGAGATGCAGCAAAGCCGTCAGGGATGGCCCGGTGGGCGGGTTTCCCACTGGCAGCTCGGGCCCGTAGACGTCGTAACTGGAGTTTTCCCGTCGCAGCTGGGCCCTGGCTAATCATCGCACGACTCACTCGACTTGCCGTATAGAGGGGGGCGCGGGGGGGGGGGGGGGGAGAGTGTGGAGCTCTGCATCCTCCCGCGCCAGGTACAACGTGTCGTCAACCACGATGGCACCGGCGTGGCCGCGTGGGCGCGCACGCCGACGGCCGAGAGCAGGGCGGGGAGATGGGGTGCCACCCCATTGGGAGGGAGGACCGGGGAGGGAGGGACCTGGTCCCGCCTTCGCTCGTACGGTTCTGCCGCAAGCGTGTCGGCTAGGTCTACTACTGCCATGGTCCTATATAATAGGCAGTCCTTCGCACCCTCCGTAGTGCGTCGGGAGGAACCACATCCAAGTATCCATCCATCTATATCGGAAAAAGAGAGGGGGGGGGGAGAGCCACGCCCCAGCGTGCGACTCGCCGACTGGTAGTCTCGCCTAGCACCTATATTAGCCTAAAGCGTGCTACCTATATAGTCCGTCCCAATTACGCGAGCACCTATATTTTCCGCCACGAGCCGTATCTCCGTAAGCCCGTCTTCGACCTAGGCGCAGCGGCGTCGAGTCTATTCTTTGTTCACGAGCTGCCGCCGCCGCCGCCGCCGCCGCCGCCATCCCAGGCCCGCCCGTCGCGATATCGCGCGCGCGCGCTCTCGCAGGTTGGGAGGCCAGCCCGGGACGCCTCCGGCCGCGAACGATGCTAGTGTCGACGTCGCGCCGCCTAGGGCGTGGCAGCAAGCGAGCGCGGGCTACCCAACTATTGGGCACTGCCTGCCATAGTGTGCGAGCCGGGTCCTTTCCCACTCCTCCCCCCACCCCGTCAAGCCGGCCGCTCCTCTTCGACGAGCAGGCGGACAGAGGAGCTATATGCCCACGCGCACGCCATGCCCACGCACGCAACGCGTCGTGGCTCACGCGCGACGGAGTGCTGCCGGTTTGCCGGTCTGCGTTCGCGTGCTCGCCCGCCCGTCCTGTCCCTCGTGTTCTGCTCTAAATATGGGATGCGAAGGCCTCCGGGGCCCATAAATGGGAAGGCGACGCCAGGACCGTGGCGTCTCGCATAGCCAGCTCCTGGGGAGGGGACGGAGGCGCCATGAAACGCACTTGTGGTCTCGGCCTATACCGAGCTGTGCCACATCCTCCTCCTCCTCCTCCCTCCTCCCCTCCTGCGCGCGTGAAAGTTCTCGCGCGAGTTGCGCCCGCCCGGTCCCATGGCGTGGCCGAGCCACGCGTCGTAAGCGCGGCGACGACATGTCATCTTCCCTCGCTTGCCATTGCTCTGTCGAGTCGGTCCCGGTCGGGCTTGGCAAGGAGCGATGGCGATCGCACAGACGTAAGCATACAGACCACCCCCCCGGAGGGAGCATCGAAATCGGGCTGATTCCGATCCCGCGGCTGGCTTAGTCCCGACGAAAAAAAAAAATGAGCGAGGGAGAACAGACGGGCACGGGAACGCATAAAACACTAGACTACTAGACCAAGACGAAAAAGAACGGGACGGCGCATTGCGCGGCACCCCTAGCTGAAAACGCAAAATTAAACTGCCCCCCTCCCCCGGGCAGCTGAAAAGGCAGAGAGATGCAGACAGACAGACAGACGGGAACCAAAAAGAAGTCCAGCGAAAAGGGAAATGACAAAGCTCTCGATCGGGGAATCGAACCCCGGCCACCTGCGTGACAAGCAGGTATCCTGACCACTAGACCAATCGAGACGTAAATGTCGTACGTGCTAGTCGCTCTGATATGACCCAGCGCGCCGTCTCTCGGCCCCCGCAAGCCCATGGCGCCATATCGCTGGCCCAAGAACGTCGGCGCGCGCTATGAGGAGACGCCGACGTTCGTCTCCGGCGGGCGGCGACAAACCGCCGCGACGGCGCTGCGCTTCCACCGGTGCGAGCGGAACCCGTCGCGGGCGAGGGACCGAGCAAGCCATGACAGCGAGAGCGACACAGAGAAAGAGAGAGGCCGAGAAACCGACGAGACCCCGTCCGTCCGACCGGACGCAACCCTCCCCCTCTTTTCCCGCTACCGCTACCACCAACCCACACACGTGCTTAGCTACGGGCATACCTACCTACAGGTGCCTAACCTGCCAATCCCCCCCGCGCCGCCTCCTCTTCCTCTTCCTCCCTCCTCCTCCTCCTCGGCGCCCGCGCCGAGAAGCACAGTTCGTGCGAAGACGGGGCAGGACAAGAGGATAAGCTGAACAGTGGCATTTTCGCACCCTTTCTCTCCCGAGACATGGCAGCGTGGTTTTCACTCACGAGGGCAGGTAGGGAGGGAAGGTGGGTAGCATCCGGCTGCGGTTCCGGGGTGCTCTGCGCCGATCTACCGACAGATTTACCCGCGATGTCGGCCACTTAGCTCCGGCGGCAGGTTAGGGTAGGTAGGTAGGTAGGTAGGTAGGTAGGTAAGCGAGGCGCGCCTAGGGCGCCGAAGCCAATGTCGCAAGCACGTCTACCTGCCTAGGTTGGAACTGGTAGGTAGCAGATACGCACGCACATATCGCGCATAGGACGGGCGCATGCGCGGTATACTCGAATAGGCACTCCTACGTGTGCGCACGAGGTAGGTGTTTATCTATATAGGGTAGGTAGGCAGGCTATGCGTAATAGTGGTGCGATGTAGCAAGGCAATGGTAGCAGAGTAGGCGGCGTGGGCATGTCTATCGGGATATTCGAGTTATTGCCTACGCCGTCCGCGTCGAGGGAGGCGTAGGTATAGAGAGAGAGAGCAGCGCCGTTGTCAGCCCCAGGTCGCATGACCGCCGCGCATACTCGTACGCATGGCCCGGCGTTCGTCGGTAGGAAATAATAGGACAAGACGTAGGCGGCAACAGCGACAGCAATATACGAGCAAGAAAACTTATGATTGCGTGCTATGGTGACGAGCCGGAAGACCTGAACGTTGCTCCCACTCTTCCCATGCCTTCCTCCTGCTCGGGTTTGACCTTCGGTAGCATGCGTTCGCACGCTCATCCGTCCCACGGTGCTCCCACGGTGCTCCCACGTACGTGTGTGCCACTCGTCCCCCATCTCCGTACTCTTTTTTTTTCTCTTGTCCTCTTTTACTTCCTGGCCTCTAGATTATTTATCTATGGTCCCGCCCGATGTCGTAAATAGTCGGCCAAGGTTTACTCGTCGGCGACGCGGACGGCGTCGATCTCGCCCCAGTTGACCTTCTTGCCCGTCTTCTTGATCGTGTCGAGCACCGTCTTGTACTCGAGCCCCGGCTGCGCGACGACGACGGCCCGCTGGTCCTCGAGCGAGACCGTGAAGCTGTTGACGCCTGCTTGGGGTTTGCGCCCCCGCTGTCAGCGAACAAATCCCCTCGCGGGAGCCAATGTCCCGGTTTATATATGTGTGTGTGTGTGCTGTGCCTGTCTGTGCGTGTGCGATTGCGTAGACAGTGGTAGACTCTGTAGGGGCAGGCGGAAGTGAGAGGGAGGGACAGGAGACGCAAGGTCTATTCATTCATTACCTTCGAGCTTGCCGAGCACACGAGTGACGGCGCCCGAGCAGCCGCCGCAGCTCATGGCAACGTTAAAGGTGTAGGTATGCTCCTGGTCAGCCATTGCGAAAAAAGAGTCGAGTCGAGTCGAGTCGAGTCGCGCGAGTTGAGCCGAGCGGTGGGTGGAAGTGGGTTGGCGATGACGACGGGGAGGTAGCGGGGTAGCAAGGTGGTATTTATATCTCGGCGGGGTCGACGCAGCGAGCTTGTTCGTTGACGGAGGGACAATCCCGCGGGATACAGAGGGGTGGGGACGGAGAGCGACGGTAGGAAGGAAATGCCACTAGAGGAGGGGGGGTCAATTCACTTGACCGGTTCGAGACTGCTGGCTCCTTGCCGATGGCTATTCGGATATTCTAAGTGTGTGAAAGAGAGGGAGACCTGTGGAGGCGAGAAGAAGCGACCACAAGCATCCGGCGGGCTCTTTTATATAGGTACGTGTTCCCCAGGTACGGCAGCGTCACGTTGGCAAGCGGTTTCGACAGTTCCAGGGTCGGATTAATAATTCCAACTCGCACTCCCTATTCACAAACAGGGCGCCAGACAAGTCCCGTTCCGAGGTACGACGGAGGGATCAATGGACGTAGGAGCCACGATTACCCATACCGCACCCTGATTTATCATCCGCTCCCCACCGCCTCAGGTACTAGAGGTACTTGACACTTGGCCTTGCTGGCGAGTGAGACCCGTGAAGACGTCAACGTCGGACGTAATGCGAAGTACCTGAAGTACCTGCTCAACCCCGGATGCAGCATAAATACCTTTGCCTCAGGTACCTGCTCAAGGGCTGATTCCAGGTCTGCGTACACCCTTATTAAGCCTGAGGCGCCAATTCCACGTACCTAACATTGACAGGTTACAGCGCGTCGGGTCGTCGTCGCATCTAGATTCTTGCCGCACCCACAGCACCCGGGCAGCCCGTAACCCTGCTGTACACCTGCTATCTAAATACTATCTAAATACAAGCCACAGCATTCGACCTGTACCTATCACTACCTCCTAGGTGCCTAACCTCCTACAACAGATCCAACGCACGCTACACTCGCCTTGGCGGTGTCCGTGATATGAAACTTGAGCAAGTTTCTCATCGGCCCAGTCCCCCTTTTCTTACCATTTCTCCTGTTTTCATATAGCACAATCTTTTCGCCCTCCGCTCTCTCTGCCCAAATAGTGAAACTCGAAACTCGCCTCTTCAGTGGGTGTCCTCGCGAAGGACGTAGAAAGGAAAGCGAAAGGAGGGGCGAAACTTGCTCATCGCGAAATTGGCCTCGGATTCATCATAATCGCCGCCGCTTACGCCATCGTTATACTCGATACTCACATATATAAACACACACATATATATACGCATAGATGGCTGCTTACGAATTTGTTCGGACGAAGCCGTGAGTTTCAGGTCTAACAATCGTCTACCGTCTATCCTACACGTACACATACGTCTCCGTGTCGTCGTAAAGAATACCCGTCGCGATACCTGCCCACCGCAGGTGCCTCAGCAACCGAGCTAGGACACGCACGCATTACGGCAGACAACCGAGTAGATGAAGTTACACGCGAGCATGCGGTGCACGCGAGACGCAAGATGCCACCCAGCTAACTCGTCATCTCGTCTCGTATGGCACCCCGCGGGGCACGGGCGGTGATGAAGTAACGGACGCTGCCGTCAATCATCATCTAGGCCTCCTCGTCTCGGCACGGACGCTTATCGTAAGAGACTGTCGTGAAATGTGATGCCTCGACTGGTTCCCTAGCCTCGAAATACCCATTGTGCACCACGTGCCGGTTGAAAAAGATTGCTCCTTGCCTGGGGTATTGGATCTACCGTAGATTTGCTTCGCCATCATCGGTCCCATCTCTACCCTCTGTGCCACGATTACTTGGAGGTATCGGGGTCGTCTCGTCACCCGTCTCGTCGTTAGCCCCTTCCATAGGTACCAACGGCGGCAGCTCGCCTGAACTGTTATTGTCGTCAGCCCCGTCCATGGGCACCAACGGTGGCAGTTCGTCCGAAATGTTATCGTCGTCGTCGTCATGCCAAGCCCCGGGGATACCGTCGAGGTCAAACCCGTCGAGATCACTATGGTGGGTGGAAGCACCCCGCGGGTCGAGCAGATCCATGAAGGCCTGAAAGATGGCCCCTAGGCCGTGAGAATCACCTCGGCTCGGCGTCCCGTCGTCTTCCAAGAGACCCTCCCTATCGTTGCGGTCCGCTTCGTCGATAATCCCCTGTAGGTCGTCCGCCTGCGCCTCCTCTAGTATTCGCCGCAGGTCCAGCCCCTCGTTGGGACCTCCAGCCCCGAGCCACCCGTCGATCGACTCGGGGGACCAAGGCAGCTTCTGGGACTCGTGCGAAAAGAGGTTGTCCTCGCAGGGGGGCGGGAATGGATCAAATTCCCAGTTTACCGGCGCGCTGACCAACTCGCGAGGTACGAGGCCCATCAGAGAAGGCACCTCCAACAAGTAGACACACCGCGCGAGGTTAGCTTGTGCCGTGGGCGGAAATGGGAACGTCTTGACGTCCGGTCTCCTCGCCTCCTTCCCCGCTTCCTTCAAGAGGGACCTAGCTTGCGTGTTCTCCCACAGACCCTTCGTCTGGTGTACGTAAACCTCCGTGTGAAGTTCCTCGTCCTGGTTGCGTGGCTGCAAGCCCCATATGGCCTTGGGGATGTCGAAGTTGAGCGACTGGAAGAGACGGACGTAGAGCCAGGGAAGACGTCCCATACCTTCCAGTAGCAGCGCTTTGGCGCCGGCCACGTCGTTCTGCTGAAGCCTGGCCAACACCAACGTTTGCCTGATATAATCTCTCGCTGTTGGGTATAAATCCGGCATCAGGGCGTCGCAGAAGTCGATGAACCATTTCGACTCGTGCGCCCGCACGGCGAGGGGGTGGATAAAGTTGATGATACCGTACGGATCATCCCAGTCCATGCTGAACAGTAGCTTGCACCACTCTAGCGCGGTCCTGTAGGTGCCTTTCATCATCAGATTCTTGAGATAGTGGTACCCGGCTAGCCAGAACTGGCGGTTTTCGGGTCGTCTAAAGTCGAGCCTCGCCTTCCCTTCTTCTATCTTCTGCCGGAAAAGCGACACCGACACCCGGCCAAAGGTGAAGAGGGCCCGCTCGCATAGATCGGCGGAGAGTGCCGAGTTCTGGTCCTGCTTGGCCACCCGGCTGGACTGGATGAGGCTCGAGATATGGTACGGGTGGCTGTGTAGAAAATACACTATCTGCATGGGGTCGTACATCTGGACGATCCTAAAGAACCTCGACTCGAGCCTGTTGTATGCCTCATCGTGCGCGAAGCGGAATTCGATCACGCCGGGGTGATCCTGGCGTTCGCTGACACGCAGCATCGTCAGACCCTCGGTGGAGGCACGAGGCCACGTCTCCTTTCCGGTCAGGAAGGGGTTTCGTCTTAGCGTCACCTCTGGCAGGCTCTTGCCGGGCTGGGCCTTGAGGTAGGTTTCCAGGTCCACCTGTTGCTCTAGAGGCTGCCGCTGTCGTCTGGCCCGCGCCTGGGTCTGTTCTTGGTCCTCCTCGGTCTGGGCGGCGACGATGGCCTCTCGGCCGAAAAGAGTGCGCATCTCGTTTAGGACCTTGAGGTGGCGAGAGCTCACCTTGAGGAGCTCGCATATTCGGTAGTAAGACCCTCCGGGGGATGGTTTCGAAGTAGGGTCGGAGGTGATAGGGACCCCCCCGGGTGATTTGAGTTCCCGGAGCGCTCGCTCGATCTCGTCCATCCCATCTTGGGCGACCGGCGGGGCAGGTTTAAGGACAGGCTCTCGCTTCTTGGCCTTCTTCTTTTTCTTCTTGTTCTTCTTAGACGAGTTCTTTGGCGTATCGGTGTGATCTGGCTCGGCGACAGGATTCTTGTCAGACGCTTCCACTGGATCGTCTGCCTTTTCGTCTTCGTCGTTGTCGTCGCCGTCACGGTCCGGGTTGTCGTGGTCTCCTAGCGCTGCAAAGCCTGTAAATGCATTTGCTCTCGACTTCAGCATAGGCTGGTTATCTTCGCTAGATTCGGCGTCGTCGTCTGCGGCATTCTGCGCTCGGAGGTCTTGAAGCTCTTTTTGCTTCTGCAGCTTTCTCAGCTGCCTACTCGACATCTTGCCTGTGGGTGTTTCCTGTCGGGCCGGAGCGGGTTGATTAAATGATCAGCGTATATATGTCGCCTCTAGTAGAGAAAGATGCGAGAAGGTGAAGGTCAGAAAGTTGCGACGAGACAAGACGAGGTAGGTACCTGTATCGACAGAATTCAATTTGAAAGCTACGTACCGAATTCCCGACTCGCCGATAGTGGGGCAACTTCACCTTGGCCTGAATGACGTCTTGTCGTCACCCACGAACCCCTCCCCCTCACTCCTCCTCCTCCTCCTCCTCCTCCTCCGCCTCTACCCCCTATCGGGTTGTCTCTTCTCCCTGCCCCTCCTCCACACCCAACGCTGGGCATCAAAGCCCCCCTCCCTTTCGGAGCCCTACTGCCCTCCCGATCTATCAATACTAAAATTCACTACAGCTAGACCAGACCATTTACTCATGCCACCTCAGTTCTTCTTCTTTACTCTGTTTCCGCCTTCGTCATGCGACAGCTATCACTTGCAGTTTTGTATGGACGGTAAGTGTATTAACGATTTCTTGCGATTATTTTGCGTCTATGTCTGTGTCTATCTTCTCCCTCTAGATGTCTACACTTCTATGCTGTACTCTATACAGGTATCTTTTTAGTAATGTCGAATCGTACAAGACACTCAACCCAGACATTCGAACCACGTATGCACGCACTCACCACCACCGCTCGTCGCAGCTCCAGCTCTGCTTCTCGCCCGGCGCTTTTTTTGCTTGTCGCCTGAGCACCGGCCCCTTCCTGTTAACTAGTATTAACTAGTATTTCGATGTCGGCAACAGATTCCCGAGATCTATGTTCTCGCTCTTGACTTTGAGCACCTTCGCCACTTTGTGCGCTTCGCTGATCGCCGTCGTTTTAGGGGCGTCGCTGGTCGCGCCGAGGGCCTGTCATCGCGGTTAGCCAGAGGCAGAATCAGGGGCTGACGATGGGAACCCTACCCTCTGAATGTGGCCGTAAATTCCGAACTGGACAGCCGTCATTCCGCCGACCATGACGAGTCGCGGCCCGATGCCGGCGTAGCTCCCGCGCAGCCCGAGCTGGCTCACGATGTTGAAGATGCGGCGTGCGGTCCCTTCGCCGGGGCGGCCCTTCTCCTTGTTGATCTTGCTCAACACCGTATCCGCCGGCTGCGAAACGATGGCCGCCGCCATGCCGGCAATCAGGCCACAGCCGAGATTCACGCCCGAGAGTGTCGCGCTCGACGCCTTCTCCTTGTCGACCCACGTGTATGCCGCCTCAATCGCCTTCTCGTACACTACGAATGTCGCCATCGTATACGGGACCCTAGATGGGGGTTCACTGGTTAGCAGCACGGCCTAGAGAGAGGTTCGCACACCTGACCGCACTCACTGTTTCAGCACGATCGGTGTAAAGCCCGAGTACAGACCCGCCATGCCCTCGTGCCTCGCCATCTTCGCCAGGGCCGTCGCCATGCCGGGAGCAAATGACGGTTGCGACACGAGCCTGATGCGCGCAGCTTCGAAGGGACAGAGCAGGATGTCGCCAAGGAACTCGGCAGCGGCGGAAGAAGCGAGGTAGACGGCGTTGCGATTGGCTGCCGCCTTTTCGGGTCCCAGCCAGTCGTTGGCCTGCCTCTTGAAGAACTCGTACCCGCCGAATTTGAAGGCGCCCTGCAGGAAGTATCCCGTGACGGTCGGGCCAAGCCCCGTGAGCAGGGCAGCTGGACGATCGCTGGCGACTATTTGACGCATGCCGCCGGCTAAACCTCGGTTATATTTTGCAGGCTCGAGCTGCACGCGGGTTTTGACACTGATCACACACACATTAGCCTACCCGACACTAGGCGGAAAGTATGCCCGCTGGTGGCGATCACGGTCCCCCGGGGGGGGGGAGCGGGCTAACTACGCAGAGAGTTCATGATAGGCTTACACGTCGACGGGGGTTAGTATGGCATGGGTGAAGGAACAGCAGATGGCTCCCGAGACGGCGTATCTCGCCAAGTCCGATATCCGCATGCCCGACACGGGAGGAACAGGGGGGATGCCGTCCGCGGCATATTTCACAACATTACTGTTGTCCAAGACACTTGGGGAGAGGGGTTCTCTAGACGAAAGAAGACTGTTGTTGAGTTGGTATAAGCGCCGAACCTTCGAGTGCTAGTATGATCAGATTACTGCATGCGTGCTAAAATTGAAATCACCTTCTGATGCTAAAAGCGCTCATCCCCAGGCGGCCCAGGATAGAGTCGGCCGTGCCTTTGCGCGAATTGGGGTCCACCTCCTTCGCGACCTCCCTCACCGCCTCCAGAACCCTGAGATGTTCCTTCTTGAGCTCCTCGAAAGACTGGTCCAGCTGGTTGTGCCACGGGTAGAGGACAAAGACTTGGAAGCCGAGCGCGGACGAGGCGACGGCGAAGTTGGTGAGCGAGATGAGGCGTGTGATGATCATCTTGTAGTCGGGGGTGAGCGGGAGCTCCGGCGGTGTGGTCGTGGTAAGATTTTTTATCTTTTTTTTTTATCTTTCTATTCTATTTCTCAGGCTATCGGCGGTGCAACGTCAGCATCAGAGAGGAAGGAGAGAGAAGAGAGCGAGCGAAGAGGGAGGGTCGCTAACGCGATCCGACTTACCGAATCTAGAGGCCAGGAGGTCGCGATCAAGGAGTGCCGGGCGCCTTGGGGCGCGTGGGAGAGTCGACGGTGGTCCCCTCGAGAACAATAATCCCTCTTGCAGGCGAGGATAATAACGTCTATAATTATCTTCCGGCAAGAAAAAGCAGGAGAAGGGGGAAAAGATAAGAAAAAGCAGACAGAGATCTAGGAGAGAAAAGATAAGACGACGACGAAAGACGAAGAAGAAATAACGACAGTAGGAGAGAGGGACGAGCACGAGTCAGAGGGAGGGCGGAAGCGTGGCAATTAAGTCAGACGGGTCGTGGGGATCCCTGCTCGTGATTTCATCATCGGTGGTGGAGGTTTTTCCCGACTCTTCCTCGCTCTTTTTTTTTTCTTTTCTTTTCACCTCGGTCAATCAAGGCTACGACGCAGGGGAGGCCCGATCTCGGCAGCAAAGGTCCGAATTGGGCGAGGGTGCGAATGTGTGACAGGTGATAATTGCGACGCGGTGTACCTGGACCGTGCGCGGTGCCTGGATCGGGAAGAGCCAGAGGGGTGGCCGAGGGCAGAGGAGAGGGGAGCCAGAGGACCCGAGAGGAGAGAGGAGAGAGGAGAGAGGCCCAGGGAAGAGGGAAGAGAGGACCCAGAGAACCCGAGGCAGGGTCACAGGCAGGGTCACAGGCAGGACCAGAGGCGACAAGACAGGGCCTCTCCTCGGGCCCTCCAGCGGGGTGTTAGCGAAGGGGGCCGGCGGGCGACCCAATGGCCACCGAGCAATGGCAGAGGCGATGGCAATCGTTCCCGTCTATTCCATTCCTTAGGGGGCCCTTTAGGCTGCCACGGTGGCCTGACATTACTAAAGTCACGCCACGGCCTCTTCCTCGCCCCGATAAACAGAAAGCTTGTCTTCTCGTCGTTCTCTTTTCATTGGCAGCCCGCCGGTGCTGAGCCCTTTTTTCGCTTTTTCTCGGATTTTTTTCCGATTTTTTCTGGCCCGGTTCCCTTCTGCGATTCCTTCGACGTTGCAGCATGAAATCGAAAACTGACGAAAGCCAGGCGAGCAAGCATGTGCAAGTGGACCCGAACCCCTGAGCGCAACGTGGGTTGGGTTTGGGAACCCGATCCATCTTTCTCCTTTGGGCGAAAGCGATGAAGGGAATTGGAGAAGAGGAAAATTTTTTTATCGCAAAAATAACCACAGTTTGATTGCGCGACCACCCTCTAATTACCCGAAACATCTCCAACCGCCTCTTCTCCCTCCTGGCGCTGCCCTCCTCGACGTCCTACCAGCCCTCCCAACTCGTCCATCCGGCCCAGCTTATACCGGCTGACCCACTCTTTCCCGATCCGCTCCGACTTATTTTCGGCACGACGCCGGCCCTTCATTTCCACTGCCTCTCTGCGCGATATGCTCCTCGCACAGCTATGCCACACCCGAGCCCTCAGACGGGCTGCTTTAGGAATGTTGCTAGCAGGTCTGGAGTGCCAAGATGTTGGGTCCAAGGTCGGTTGGCGGAAAAAGAGTCCAACTGGGCCGTGTAAGCTTATCTGTCCATCCTCCTTCTGCTCCTCTTCCTCCTCTTCCGCAATTCACCGCCCACCTACTGGTAGGCCTAGTGGGGAAGGGGGCCGGTCGAAGCGACAAGCAACAGATAGCGCGCGGCGGATTCGCAGGTCCCAACCACATTCGTGACTAAGAAAGCCACCGGTATCGCGGTCTTACCCATGGTGGGTTTTCGTTTCTCTCCTCTTCTTTTCCTTTCTATTTTTTGCTTTCTCTCGGGGAGTTGCGGGTGCCGTTGCTGCTGTTGTTGCTGCGGTGACAGGGAGGTCGCATAACACTTTTAGCCAGATTGTTCTTCGGCCCAAATTCGTGGATATTTCTCACACGGGATACGAACCCCCCCCCCGCTTCCCGATAAGTAGCCCATTGCACTAGGAGCCGATCCACATTTAGGGCAACCCGTCGATATTGAGCATGGCTCTCCTGAACATGCCCGTTTCCACCCGTCAACCGGAAAATCGAAATTGCTAGGCTGGATGGCGACTCCTGGTCTTCGTATTGCTAAGCTGGTTCGGCGCCCCGCTGCCATCGAGACTCCCGAGGACCCTCCCCACCGCGAACAACCTCGCGTCGGACCTAATACGCATACGTAACTTATTGGTAGGTGCGTGAAACTGGATCTCCCGCACATTTGAGACGAAGGCTTGATCCACCTTCGACTACGGAGTTGTGTTAGCATTGTCCTACTCTCGACGGGAGATGACGTGGCGGGACAGCGACGTCCTGGTCCGGCGACGAAGCACAGCCCGAAATTATACATATTTCCATATAGCCTCATATTAAACCCTCTTAGGGGTCGACGGTTGTGGACAAGACGTTCGTTTGTTCCCCAGCCGGGCGCGGCAGATGCGTCGCCCTCGCCAAATCATCCCTCGCCGCGACGACGTGTTCGCTCCGTCTCGGCCAATGCTCGCCCGTCCCTGTCTCGACAGCGCGCTGCTCGTTGTTGTCCCGACGCCCAGCTGAACGCTACGCCGGTTCGCGACTCGGTTCTCCACGGCCAGCTGGACGGCTCTGGCCAACTTGCGCGCACGGCCCCTCTGCAGAGATTACGGGCGTGGTGAAATCGAAACGCCCGAAAAGGAGAAATTGGGAGAGCTGAGTGGCAATAGAGAGATGCTGCTATTCCCGGAGCTCAGACTCGGCGTCTTGTTAACTAGCAATGGCAGCCCAGAGTCGCCGGCCTGGGGGCCCTGATCGCTAGCGCGAGACGGATAAACACACACACACACCGTGGGTGCCGCATCTGTCCTGTCCCCGCTCTATCATCCCCATGCTCTACGTGTCCAAGCTTCAGGGGCCGACGACCTGCTCCTCCCCCCCTCTCTCTCCTGGTTTTCACGTACACAGACGAACGCCCGTGAGGAGACGCCATGAAGGCCGAGCCGCGAGAGAGACTAGCGAAGCTTCCTGTACACATTCCCACAATACCGATAAGCGATGCGGACGCGCATCGAATCGCTCCCGCAGCCCAGGCATTGGGGGAGCCTGGGGCCAGGCGCGTCGCCCAGTCCGAGACCTGTCTGACGAGCCCTTCAGGAAAGGGGGTGGGGAAGCGAGCGGGAAGGCCGGCGCGTGACGGCTGAGCATGCTAACCAGTTTTCTCTTCCCTCCCTCGAGAAGCGTGCCTACATGCGTAAGTTGGGCCTGATGCTCCTCCCTACCCAACTACGATAACATGTATGGACGTGGACGCCCTTCGGTGCGGCCCCTTCACATGTACTGCTGGTAGCCAAGCCGTTGCCGTCGCGCTATTGCCGATGACGTCCTATGGCATCCACTCAGTTGCAGCAGGGTGCCCCCCCGTTGTGCAGCCTGCGGGACGACTTGGCAATAAACGGCGTGTCAGCAAGCTGCAGCAGGGCTACCCACCTCCAGGCGCCAGGAAGCGAGAGGAGCGGGTAGAGACTGCAAGGCGGGAGCAGATCCAAGAAACGACACCGAAGTGCCGCAAGGCAGCGTGCCAAGCACCAAGGCTAATTATTGGACTGGCGAGCGCTGCGGAATCTCTGGGGTGCATATAAGGCGCTCCCAACAGTCTTCGCATGGGCATGCCCTCTCTTGCCCAGGTGTCCACAGCGGACGCTGGAGCCGAAAAGAGCCGTCCGGGCGGGGTAATAGAATCCTCTCGGCGCACGAGTCAGAGGTCTCTTGGCTACGAGGTTCGCAATAGGACCGGTCGTCCATGTCATCATCCCCTCTCACCTCCTCCCCCAACGTTGAGACTCCAATGCTGAGAGACGACCGCATAGAAAGCAGACACGGGAAGCGCTGCACCCCTCTCTACGCAGAGGTCTGACCTATATTCTTCGAGAGCGGAGATCTCGGGCGCAAGGACGCCAGACGCCCTCTCCTTAGCGCATAGACATAGGCGCCCGGTGCGCGACGAACACGACGCGTACGCGGTTCGGCGTCACATGATACCGACCGAGCCCGGGCCGGAGCCGGCGGCCAAGCCTTCGGGCGTCGGGCCGCAACTAGACACGGCATACATATATGGCGGATGGTGCTCGCGCCCGTGTTTCGGATAAGGGGGCGGGCCACTTGTTGAGGCGCCGGTTCTATCAAGTGATACACGAGCACGGATCGATAATTTCCGGGATTACTCTTCGCCATCAAATAGCAGTACGTATGACCGCCGGCGTTCTCCTGTCTCTTCTCTCTTCCTCTCTCCAACTCATACACCGACACCCATGTGACGTGCGCGTACAAATAAGACATGCGCACGTAGCGACGGGGTAGAGATGGAGCTCGAGAGGTATGCGCTCCGGTTTCTGGCGGACTCGATGGCCTCTAATTCAGCTATACGTGCTTGGTCCGAACACTGCACCGTGTCACTACCCTCTACAGCGATGCATCACGCGCAGGTGCAGATGAGGGGAATAGAGAGGGAGAGGATGAGCCACCCGTCGGGTTAAGTTCTCGGCTTAGCAGCTGGCGGCACTATCAGAGGACCACCCACGTCATGTGAAGAATGTGAAAAAAGCAGATACATGCTGTCTCTGTCTCTGTCTCGGTACTCCGAGCGGCGACGGACTTTTGAACGACCCGCTGTAGCGGCTGAGACGCGGAGATCGAGATTTTGATGATCTATACCGAGGACATGATCAGCAGCCGTCACCGGATCGTAGCGAGAAGGGGGGGGGGAAGAGGCTTGCGACAATCCGATACGCACGTAGAGGGGTCCACCGGTCCTTGCCGCCTCCCCTCCCCCCCCCGGCGGCACGCATCAATAGCTGCGGCGCCATTCGGTATCCCATCACCGGCCTGGGAGGGGATGGAGGGGGGGAAGAAGGCTGCAAACCCATGGCCCTCCTTCGGCATTACCTCCCGCGTCCTGTTTGGCTGGGCTGTCCCGCCGCGGCGCACCCGTGGGCGCGATCAAATCGACGTCTCTGGATTCGCACGCAGGCCCTTGCCCCCTTTTCCTCCTGGGCTAGGTTCCGCGACACGCCTTCTCTGCACCGCCCGAGGAGTCGCTGCAGCGCCGCATCGCCAGGTCTCGTCGTTTGGAGAGAGATTGGTGGTTGGCGGTTGGAGCACACAGATGTGCGTCCTGCGTGTGCGTGCGCGGCCGCAAACAGTAAGTACATCTTGGCTGGCTGTCTGCCTGGGTGCATAGCTGGGTGACACGGCCGCCACGGCGGGGAGCGAGGAGGCGCCCGTCCTCAGACAGCGCCGGACCTGGGGGGGGGGGGGGGCCTTCGCTCTGCTTACGGGGATGTGGTCAGCAGGATTGATTTGATTACTCGCGAGACCGCCGCGATACGTACCCTGCTGTCTGTCTGTCTGTCTTCCCCTCCCCCCCCTCCTCCTCCTCCCCAGTTCTCTCTTCCGCACGAAGAGATGTTGCGCCGGCGCGCCTCCGCTGCACACCGCTGGAAAGAGAGAGAGAGAGGGAGAGAAAGAAAAGACGTGCGCGCATGTAGGTATGTACTTGGCTGAGAGCGTGTGCGTGTAGGTATGCGTGGGGGCATGGGTGTGTGTATGCGCGGCCACGTTGGCCTACCCCAATCAACCTCACCCGCGGCGAGACATGGGAAGGGCCTCGGGCGGACGACGCCTGCTACGACGTGCCCAAAGGGGTCGACACGCAATCGACGCAGTATTTCGACGCAGTGTTTACATGGTTGGCGCCCCTCCTTTGATGCCGGCCCGTAGCCATTGGGCGGTTTTGGGCATTTGCATGCTTGCGAAGTGGCACCTAGATGACTCGCCTAGGTGCCGTCGTCTGCCTACCGGGCGCTGCCAGATAACCTCGCAGGCCGACGGCCTGTTTCCCCCGACACGGCTAAGCTCGAGTTTCCCGGTATAGCGACCTGCCAGGTTGGATGCCAAGGCTGAAGAATCGAGGTTGCTTCATCGCATCGCATCGCGTCCTCCCCCCCGGGTCGCACCAAGCAACGATGGCCACCCCCTTCGTCCGCTCCCAGGAGAAGCATGCAACGGTATCGACCATCTCTCGTTGGCGGTCCCGCCCCGCCGGACAGGCCCATTCAGATCGGAGCAAACGACGTGACAAGTGGGGTGCGGGTCGGATCGCCCGCCCCATCTTGGTGCATGGGGTTGAATGTGTAGATGGTGCGCCTCCTTCTGGCCTCCCTCGATGTGCCGTTGGCACCGGCAACACCCTCGAGTGGGTGGCCAGGCGGCCGATGGCGGATCGGTGCCTGGGATGGCCACGGGTTGCCTGCTGGTACCTACGTCGACGAGGTACGTACGGTACATGCCTCTGCGCTACAGGCCAGGTAGCGGTACGTGAGGGTTGTGCATACATACCTACAGGTAGGGCAGGTGGGCTTGAACAGCACCCTTCTGCCGCCTCGCTGAGGCAGGTTACCAGCGGAGGTGGGCCTAGACAACATCACCGCGTTTACGATTGAGATTCTTCGCCCTCCTGCCTCCGTCCTCGCCAATCCGCCCCGCTCTCGTCCCGTGTCTGGTCCGCCCATCAGCGTCCGCGTCCTGTGGCCTCGCCACTCATTGGTTTGGCCTCGGCGCCTGAGAACTTGTCTACTATACTCCCGCACCTCTCCCCCTCCCCATCCAGAGCCGTCGGATACAGACGTCGACCCACCCCCCGTCCTAGCACGCACACTCCAGTCTATGGATCCCCCTTGTATAGCGTAGCATCGGCGTGGGCTCGTCTTGCATGGTCTTCGCAGGCTGACGATAACGAGATCCCCCCGATGCAAATCCCTGTGTTGGTTGAGCAAGCGCACCCGTTCCTCCCTCTCTGTCTCTCTCTCTCGCTCGCTCGCTCGGCCATGCGCTCCACCGCTGCATGCCACACACCACGACGCATGCCCCAGTTCCAGTGAACGAACAGGCTGGTGAGCGAACTCCAGCCCCGGCGCAGCTGGCGACACGCACAAGCTTCGTCTCATTCGTCCCGTCCCGTCTAGTTCCCTCCAAGCACCACCACCCCTCATCACCGCCGCCGTCATTTCGCAGGGTGCCAAGGCGGGCGGGCCACGGGGACGAGACGAATTGGGTTCGCCTACCTATCCTGCCTTGCCTGCCTACATCTCTACCCAACACGGCCTCCCCTTCCTTCCTTGCTCGCTCACTCGCCAGCCGAATCCCCCCTGCTCCTGTCCTACGTCTAGCCCGGACCCGGATTGGCCTATACGGAGCCGCGGTCAGGCAGCCATACGTAGGGTATAGAGTAGAGTAGAGTAGAGGTAAGCATGCTGGTATGCACACACACACACACACACACACATACTTGCATACATATCTGCGACTTGGCACGGCGACCTCAGCCGGCACGATCCTGCGTGTCGTACGCCGCCGCGCCTGTACCTACCTAGCCTCTCGCAGCTCACATGGATGGGAGAGGCGACGCTAAGGTGCGAAAGGTGGTATCGGCCCAGGATCAGCGATTGGTGTACCGCGTATGTGCATATGTATAGGGACCACCGTCGGCCTGGGATCAGCAACTGGCGTAATAGTGCATACGTGCATACGTATGAGTACCTAAGGGTACGGCCGCTTCCCATCCCCTCCACTGCCCTCCCCCCTCCCCTCCCCCCCCCCGGCACTGCATCTCTCCCGCGGCCGCAGGGCGAAGATCGAGAACGAGAGGACCCCTCCTCCTGTCTCTCGCATTCCGTCTCCCCCCCTCCTCCCCTGCAGTAGTTCGGGGCGGGAAATTCGCGATCATCCGGATCGATGCTACCTCTTACTACGACACATCTGTGTGAGTACATACCCTACGTACACGCCGATACGCCGATTCCCTTCGAGGAAATACGTGTAGAAATACGAGGCGTGTGTATACGTATGCGCGCATCCCTTCGTGTTCGAGGACGTACCCGACCTAAGACTCCTTTTTCTTCTTCTTCTTCTTCTTCTTCTTCTTTATTTCCCCCTTTCTTTTTTTTTCCTTTTCCCATTTCTTTTCTCATTTCTTTCCTCTTCTTCTCTCTTTTCTTTCTTCTTCTTCTTTCCTTTTCTTTCCACCTTTTAAATGATCTTTTTTTTTCTTTTCCTTTTTTCTTCCCCTTCTCACCCCTCTTTCTCCTTCTCCTGCCACCCCCCCTTTTCCCCCTTTTTCTATTCTCTCTCTCTTCGTCCCGCACACATGGAGACCGAACACATAACAAGCCTACGTAGGTATGTGTATGTGGCTGCTGTTAGTGCCGGTGAGAAATGGGCAGGTAATACAGACAGCTTCTCTGTCCCCGGGGAGAGACCCACAACCCCATACCGGATTCTCATCTCGGGGACCTCACTTTCCAATGCCAATCTCATATCCGCATACTCAAATATAGCCTACCTGTCGGCCCACGTTGCACCAGCCGCGCCGATCTTGGTGGCTACAGTGATAACAAACCTCGTCACCCTCTGAAATCCCAGGAATAGATGCCCTCCCCCCTCCCCCCCCTCTCCAGGCTGACCAACTGCGACAATCGTATCGCCGTCGCCGTCCCCAAACTTTTCCGCCCGAGGCTGGACGAAGGAAGAAGAGGAAAAAGAACCCCCCCCCTTTCCCAAAAGAGGAAATCCCCTACGACAAGGTCTCCCAACCAACTCAAACCCTCGGTCGCCCGACGGATCGTTGCTGGCTGGCTGGCTGGGCCCGTCTCAGCGACAGGTGATCGACGTACCTCGCTACCTACCATTCTACGTCCGCGACCAGGCCGGCCCTTCTCGATCCTATCGGCGAGGCGCTTACTCGCTCACTCACATGGGATGGGCAGTTAACTTGGTCGCTCGGTTGCAGGCAGGTAGAGGTGCGTGTCCAGTCTCATCATCTTCATCGTTATCCGGGATCCGAGTGGAAGGAAGCGAACCAGGGGAGCGATCCCACGACTCGCCGTCCCTCCCTCTCCCGGCCACCTTCCTGCTACCTCATCAAACGTCGAGACTCGGTCGCTCGCTTACTATTGGCGTACGCTCTTTTCTTTTTACTGGTTTCTTTTCGTGGACCTAATCTCTACCACCTCCCCCCCCTGGTCCGAATATCTTCAGGCGTCTCACCACTGCTTACGGGCAGCTGGCAGGTAGGCAGGTAGCGAAGTGCAGGCTTGGAGGGTTGCCCCCCCCGGAATTCTTTCTCGACGAGCCTCTTTCACACCCCCAATCCTACATCGCCACCGTCGTACCAGGGTCGAATGAGAGCGAGAGTGGGAGAGGTTATGCTTAGCGTATACGTGCGTATCTACCTCACATACGTATGGTACATACATACGCATCGCGAATCCATCCAACGAGGGGGGCCAAGCGACCGTCACAGCCACGTGTGACACCCACGCGCGCCGTCCCGGGAACGCACCGCGCCACCAGGACAGCATGTATGGTTATATGTATATACGTTGCGACGCAACGCACTCCCATGCGGTATGCTACTTACGGTACGGTTAATGTGACCACCGCGTGCTTAGTATGGCCGCAGGCAGCGCGAATGAGCAGTGCGAGGAGCTGCTTGCTTGGCTGGGTTCGTTGCTGCCGTCTACTCGCTCGATGTTGTTATGATTGACAATGAGAGGGCCATCTATGAGGGGTTTCACTGCGCCGTCTATTCCCTCGCTTTCTCTACCAGTCTCCCCTACTCTATGTGCGGTTATCTCGTGTGAGACGCTCAACTAGGCAGCCCTATACGACGTAGGATGCAAAAGGAGCATGGGGGGAGGGCGGGAGAGATGGGGGGGGAGTAAGAAGGAAATTGCCTCGGCATCCCTGGAGATTATGATCACTTTTTTACCACCTCTTGGATTTGGGAACAAATTTTCTTACCTCTCTCAGATCCGCGCCTTTTATGACTCCTTATGGATCCAAAGGTCCCCTATCCTTCCCTCCCCAAACTAACCCCCGTAACGCGAGTGTGGATGGATGGTGTCTCGCTCCCTCGTGATAGGGATGACACGGTTGGATGCCCGATACTTTGCCCAGAATCTCGCGCCAAATCCCAACCGGTTGGATGTGAGGGTCATCATGCGAGTTGTTGCAGGCATGTGTTGCGTACATAGATAACGTGTATGATCTATGTGTTATGTGCATTGCTCTCCGTGCCTACCCGTCTGCTCGGGTTACAACGTGGGCTTCCTCGCGCGGGTGCGCGTCCCTGCAGCAGCAGCAACGTCTCCACGAGCTCTGGAGCCGTCCCGTTGGGTCCTTCCGGGGTCGTATTGTAACAAGTGCGATATCTCGTCAATGATTTGCCCATCTAGTTTTGGCTAAAGGCGATATCGATAAAAAGTTTTGTCGACTAGCCAAAGGGAGATTCCGATGACTCGGTGTCTATCGCGATCGTTGTGCCACGTGTTGTCGTACAGCGACACCTCCCCATCCTCCCTCCTCGCAGCTGGGCTGTGGTTACCACCCTAGGTGTTGGGTAGCCACCGAACACGCCTTCGCGATAGGTAGGGAGGCAACCGGGAGTCCGCCCGCCCTGTCAAATCTGCGTTACTGTCCAGGCCACGCCGGGGACTCTTACCGTCAGCTCGCACATAGTGCGAGGTCTTTCCCAGCCCCCGGGTACCTCGCACAAGGGGAGCGAGTCCCATCTTGGAATTACATCATAAGCCAGCGGGCGGGATCCAGTGGAAGCCGTCAGATAGGCCCAGCGGTCTACGCGGTTCGGATGCTGCGTCTGTGTGGTCCAATTTACCGCACGTCGTCGAGACTGGCTGCATGAGCAAGCCCTATGACGCCTGCATCCTGTCTCGGATTCCCGCCGCCCAACCCACAGAGAGGAGACAGCCTCAAAGGGAGAGAGTCCCGAAATCTGTCGACTGCTCACCTGGTAAAGAAGGAAGGGATCGCTTTGGGGGGCGGGCTGGCGGGTGGCATTACATGCTTACGAAGTTGTAGGAGGAGGTGGCCGAAGTGTCGTCACGAGGTCCGGCTGGCTTTTTTTGTCTCTTTCTTTTAAGCGTGTTGAGGCTGCGAGCTGCCCGAAGGACGCACGCCGTCCAATGGTACCTATCTGGAAGCTCGGCTACCGCCACTGGACTCCCACCCGGCAGGATCTGGACAGGATCTGGCCATAGGTAGGCCTGTCACGAACGCGCTCCGGTAGCAACGGGGCGACGGTTGCGACAGTCGGCTGAATGTGATAGACTTGGTGTGGATGGAGGGGTGAGCTGGCGCCCGTCCACCGAGGGCGAAAGGGGAGAGAAAACAAGGAATGAAAAGTAAAGACGGGGTCGGTTTTGGTTTATTTTTTATTTTATATATGCATCCGGAGATAAGACGCGCCTTCCGCGACAATGCGAGATTTGGAGAAGGCACGAAGGCAGACGCCTTGGCTACGAACCCAGCTGGGCTGCCCCTTCCCCCGTCGGGGCAGGATTCGCCAGGAGGGATAGAAGTCGCCATACGACCCTGTTCCGTGGCACCTTCTTGAGGTATCCTGTCGACCTCCAATCCGCTCCTTACGTAAACCCCCTTTCTTTAGGTCGCGTACCTTAAGTAAGTCCGTAAGCCGCGTCTTGCGAGCGAGGGTGGACTCCGAGGTCGATGCTCGAGCCATACCAGCTCAGCGTCGAGCTAGGCGACATGGTAGAGCACAACCGCACGCCCACGACGCGGGATGGTTGACGGGGATTCGAGCCTCGGTGGTTACCACCATCGTCGATAGGGATAGACGGACCTTGCTGCCGAGAGCGACGGGGGAGCCTATATCGGCAAGAGCTCGCCTACCCCAAATTGTATATCTCCCTACTCTGTCGGGGGCGTTTTTATAGTGGGTGCACGATGGCGACAACTCCACCCTGTGGAGAGGTAGAACGTCGTGAAACCTCGCGCGGCGTCGTCTCCAACTCCAGCCCAGGTCGTGAAGTCATACGGCGCTCAGCCGTCGGGGTCAGATCGTAGTTGTCCCCGCTGCTTGTGTCCCGAGAGAAGTATAGGAGTTTGTGCCGTGTCAAGTCCGGCGCGTGATCTGTGCCTGTATACCTACTCGTTCGAGGGACGAACGGCGAGCACGGCATGAGAGAGAGAGAGAGAGGAGGGGTGCGTGGACATGGACGAGGGGACCTGGTCGAATCGACTCGTCTGACTGATCGCGAGCTCGCTTTTTTTAGCCCCAGGCCGCGTGAGACACGACTAGATTAACCCATCAATGAATTCGATTTGATTTCTTTTGGGGGGGTTGCCTGTTATTATTCGGTGATTGATCACCCCTTCCCAAGGGATACATGATCGCAGATCTCGCATTTGTGGTGCCCTCTCGGGTCTGGTCTGATCCCTACGCGGAACAGTGTCCGTGTCTCCAAGGGGCGAACGGGACAGGGGGGGGGGGGGGAGACGACACGAGAAAAAAGAAAGAAAGGAAATTAACAATAACGCTGGGGATGGTGACGAGAAAAGGAAAAGGAAACGAAGCCGAGAATGAAAAAAAATCAAGCAGCTGTAAAATGTCCCGAAGGACAAGATCTCGCATAAGACGTTCCCGTTCTGCCAGATTCGCGGCTGCTGAGCCCAGACCTGCCAAACGTTACGGGGCAGCGAGTATCCCGGCGCAAGAAATAGGAAGAAGAAAAAAAAAGACAGGCATTTTACGGCTAGACAGGGTTCACGGGGAGATTGTTACTTATTTCCTTTGCTTATTACATTGTATTCCATTGTAAGTGAAACCCAACAGCCACGGGAGTCTTGTGTCTATGAGAACCTGATTCCATCATTCCGAAGAGATTCATGTCGGCGCTGTGTAGCTATCATGTCTCTGAGTGTACTGTACAGTCTAAACAGGGGGGGTATCTATCAACCTGGTTCCAGCCCAGCGCGCGTCCGATTACATGGCTGAACCCTCTCTTGCAAACAGAGCAAATATGTGGTGTGCGTACTTGCACCCCAAAACATACTCTTTCGGGGGGCGGCCCCAGAACGCTGTACAGGTACCGAGAAAAGACCAAATTCCTCTAACCCGATCTCAACACACAATCCTCAACCCGTCCGAGAAGAGCTCGAAATCCTGAGGGGGGAACAAAGGAAATGTAACAGGGAAAGACAAGTCTATATGCGAACCCGTCCTTTTCCATCTCCATCCCAAGCTTTTTTGATACCCGTCGTCCCGAAATCCATAAAGACAAAGAAAAAATAACCCTCGAACCAACCTCCAGTTTTAGCTTGCGCGCTTGCTTGCGACCAGTGACTCCGAACTGAAAGTATTAAAAAAAGGGATACGTTGGTAAAGTAGGCTTTTAGCGACGCCTCCGAACTGTACGATGCGATTTGAAACGAGGGAGGGGAGATTTGGGTGCCGATGGATGATGCGTGGCAGACGCAGAAGGTCGGTCTGGCTGGTCTGGCTGCCTGTCTAACTTGGCTGCAAGCAGTCCGCGCCACCCACAGCTAAATTGTGCCCCAAGCTGCCCTCTTGAAGCACCTCGCGGGGGAGCGGGGGGGCAGAGAAGGGGGTGGGACGAGGATATCTCTTGCATCGCGACTCGATGCTCTCCGCTGAGCACGATAATACGATGCAACGCGAGGCTGGCGTGGGAAGCAAAAAACCAGCTTTGGAGATGAAACCCGCCCCCCCCTGTTTCTCGTGGCCCGAGATCCCCAGGGAAACCACATGTCCAGGTTAGATGTAACGCCGAAGCGTGAATTTTGATTCTGATGCCGCATGTGAAATCGTGCTGATGCTTCCGCCCGTCTCCTGCTTGCCGAATGAGGAGCCAAATGGCGACGAGTCAAGGGTGTGTAATTTGCTGAAGAATGCGGTGTATTAAAATGCGTGTATCGGAATGCAGCCGCTGCAGTGCACGGCGCAGAGGGTGGTGTACATGCTGAAGCCGAAATAAGGATTAAATAAGGTCGTAAGAGGAATTGTGTACTCGGATCTCAGAGCACACTCGTCACCACCAGAACAGGGTAGGCTGCAAGCTGGCACGTCGACGAGGTGCTCGGCATGCGATTGCGTGGTAATAGTTAGTGCTTAACGCGGGCACCACCGTTGGTGATTTATTGCGGCTTGGGCCTCGGGGGGGGCTTGGGGGCACCAGTCGTGTCGTATGCGCCGCGTCCCATGTTAGCCATCGTGGACCCTCTGTCAATCATGACTAGGACTCTAAAAGGTAGGAGAGTGCTGTCGGGGAGGAGGATTAGCATAGGTCGACGATCGTGAGGTCTTATAAGTTCCAGAACAGGCGAGCCGTGGCATGTCTACGCAACCAGCCCCAGCTGTGGCTATAGGCCGCAGCGTCTGCATGCAACGGCCGAGGCGGGAAAGAAAATTGAAGCAAGGGGGAGCAGCAGAGAATGCACAAAATTTCGATGCTGCGCGTCTGACTCACTTTTTTTTTTTGGACGTCGTTGCGCAACGACGTGGGAATGCCGACGGTGTAAGTGGAATTATCGTCGAGGCCCAAACTAGATTGGCGAGCAACGCTGGGGCGGAGATGCACTAGAGCGCTGGGATGTTGACCGAATGGTAGGAGGCCGTCAGGGGAGGCCGAAATGCAAGTCGATGGGTGGCTCGCAATTAATATCTGAGGTCAGCAGCGGATGGTCAAGGAGATGACGGCAGCGCCCTGCTATATATATACGCTATATATTGGCACGATCGTTCCGAATAGGGTCGGGCCAATATCTGTCGATCCGGCCGGACAAGCTGAAAGCGACCTGGCGACGGCTCTTGAAGCTGAGACAGGCAGAGAAGAGGGCGTAGAAGGACGGGCCTTTGCGTAGTCCGCTTTGTTCGGAGGGCAGGCCCACGCAGGTCTCGGGACGCAGGAGAGGTATATAGGACCGGGCGTTGCAGCCGCTCGTGCTCTTTCTTTGCAGTATAGAGAGCTCCGGTAAATACCACAGGAGGCAAGGCGCCGGCCAGGTACACTGCAGGTGGTTTGAGCTGGATGAGGACGGCTTTCAGGGCTGGACCGTTGCAGCAGCTAAGAGGAGTGGATCGGTCGCTAAGGCACGGAGGACGAATAGCGCTGGAACAGTTGTACAAGTGGTAACGGTTAGGTGTTCGCCGATGTATGTACGCACGCTGGGACGTGTTCGGATAGGATGGTAGGCAGGGCTCCTTTTCTCTGGCGCTCTCCAACACGCGTGGTGCTTCGGGATCAGGCAGAGAATATGTGGGATGACGATGAGAGAGGGTATGGGGAAACGAAAGAGAGCGGATGTGCCGTCTTCTTAAACTCGGTTTGCACTCGTCCAAGGAGAGAATCCAGATGGTCTGGGAATTCGTTTTGACTTGGGGGGGGGGCATCGGTCTAGGAGGTAGAACGGGCTCATTCTTATAGATAGAAGAGCTGGAATCTGGAGAGCTGGGGGGGGTACGTACATCTACTCGACCTGGGCAGTGAACTCCCAGTACATGCGCTAACGCTGTAGGTACCCTTAGTTCCGTGCCCTGGTGTGGCATTTTTTTCCCTGGCTCGCGGTACGAAGGTACCTACACCATCCAGTCCACAACCCAAACAGCTCCCCAAAAATGAGGATAAGGACAGGGGTGGGGGAAGGCAAGACGGTACGGGATACATGGATACAAGATACCTGGATACATTTAACGCCGCCAAGCGTCTAACGTCGAGCAAGGGGGCCAGGGGGTGTTGCTAGAGGTACAGGTACGTAGCCTAAGTACAGGCCTGCCTCAGGTACGTACCGTACATCACCCATCCGTTGCCTCCCGGTCTGGGGCAGGCCTGTTACCTGCCTACGTATGAGTAGATACCTAGGTACTATACACACAACATGCCTATCTACCGCGTCCACTCAACACCATCATGCCCCATGACGCTCCGATCCCAAGGTGACGACCTAGGCGTACGGTAGGGTTGTTAGACCTCGTGTCCTTTTGGCCGCCATGTCTCTTACACGGCGAATAGGCGTGCCAGCTCGGAGGAAGCAGATAATACGCATACACAGCTGCATACCTGCCTACGTACATACATCGTAGCACCCCTCTTTTCGGGTCGTCCTTGACTTTGGTCCTCTCCTTTTTTTCTCTGAGCGGCGGCGAGAGGGGCTTCGAAAAGAAAAGAAAAAAAAAAAGCCAATACCAATAACGAAGCCAATAAAAGGAAATAAAACAGAACATGAGGGCGGCAGGAATCACATCCACAAGCCAACAATCACCGGTAATGAGTCCGAGATGTATTGCTGCTGTGCGTACTCGCATACGAACATATATACCTAGGTTATCCTCCCTACTATATGAGTAGTAGTATGAGTATGTGCACGTACGGCACCCAACTCCCCAGGACCCAATGGCATTGCCCAGTTAGGCTTAGATACCGCTCCAAACAAGGCGCCTCTCACGGCAGCGAGGTGGGCCAGCCAGCGCAGCAGACACCAACTCGATGGGTGAGGTTGCAGGTCGAACTGGGTCCGTCTACGTGATGTGTTCAGTCTTCTCTGGCGATGGTATGATTCTTCCGGGCCGGTGAAGGAGAATTGACTGGTGACGGAGGCATCGTACACCTCCCGAGTACATGTCCGATCTCCACAGTGCCTAGACATCCTGCTCTTTTCTTTTTCCTCTCTCTAACTCACTCACCCACTCAATTTTTCCCGTCGCACCCATGCACTATATTATGTGCGTATCTATTGTACGGGGGCCAGGTCCTAAATTCGCTTCATCTATGTAGAATTTTCTTCTTTTGTATTTTGTTTCTCTTTTTCTTTTCTCGTCCTCCCCCCCCCTTCTCTCTCTCTCTCTGCACGACACCCTCTCTCGCCTGTCTCTCTCTCTCTCTCTTCGCCCAAACGGGGGTAGTACTGTTCGAGGGAGATAGATCCTCTTATTGTTCGGGATAGCTGGCTCCACTCCGGTAATATTCCCCTTGCGCTAAACAGGGCCTAACCTGGCTCGCCTTTTCGAATCTTTCTCGAATACCTCTCTGCTTTTCGCACTAGGAATAGACCCCGGCAGCAAGTCCGGGGTCTGCTTGAAACCTGGCGGGCTCTTGAGCCGCGATGGGTAACAATACATAAACCTGGCTGGTACGTAGTAGTACGTACTTGGGCCGCCTCCGTGTGAAGGTTGAATCCAGTTCACACCCCCCCCCCCTCTCCCCCCTTCAAGCGAGATATCGTACGCCGTGTCTGATAATCTTCTTTTGTTGTTTGTTTCCCTTTGTTTGAAAGCCCTGTCGGCTTGTTCCTTTCTTAGTGTTATCCCATATCTGCAAGTCTCAGATGGATACCCAAGGACTGGCACAATAGACGACGGTGTAACGTGACTGATCTTTCAACCCGACTCGGGTCCAGCTCCCGGGCCAAGTCCTCAAAAAACGCCCCCTCGCTCTAGTCTGTGTACGCATACAGACAGACTCCGGCTGCATGTCTGCTCTGTCAATTCGGCCGACTTACATACGACAACACAATGCGTACATACACAGTACATGTGGTCTGCTGTTCATTGAAACTCATTGCCTGATGTAGCCTAAAGACAGCGAGAGCCTAGGTGTTGTGGCGGGTTGTGAGCTCCATAAGCGGGTCGGCGGAACTAGGGGAAGACGGAACCAACAATAATTTGACCATGAAGTGACCGGATTGAGGGGGCAGGGATGACACACGAGCCACTACGCCGCGCCTCGCTGACGGACGGAGACAGGAGAGGGAGAAGAGTGTGTGTGTGAGAGTGAGAGAAGATCGAGCCACAGGAATCGGACTGTCTGCAGGTGGCTCCCCAAAGTCGCTTGACCGATGGCACAATACAATACGATACTTACATACAATACAACACATACATACATATGTAGGTACCTACCTACATACATACCCGCATCATACTGGCTGCCGTTATCTCTGCTGCTACATTCCGCTGCCGCTGGCATGGGGAAACATGGCGTTGCCCTGTATGTATGGAGACATGTACGTATTGTAATACCTACCTCCGGTGGCCCGGTGTAAGCAAGGTGATTGATAGGGAAAACGCTGACGATGATGGCTTTCCTCTGCGCTCGGAGATGTCCTTCCCCTGCAGTCTCTCTCATTTGACTCGTTGGAGGCTCGGTAATCCGTGCTCAACCCAGCCAGTTTGAAACTTGGAAACTCGTCGAATGTAGGGCATGTCTGCGCAGCAGGCACCGGCTGGAGTGATGATGGGTCATCGCCACAAACCGTCGCATTTTTGTCCTCCCTCGCAAGCATAGAAGTTAACGGCTTCATACCCGACCACTAGTATGCGTCGCCAGATTTGGTAGTCCTCTTTTTTTTTCTCTGTGCGGCGCGACGAACACCTGTCTCGCCGGGGCTGCGGCCTCTCTCTCTTTTGAGGACGACTGTGACGTGGTGACGTATGAAGTAGGATGCCACATCCTCGAGCAAAGATACCTAGATTCCTCCCTCTTTCGCGGCTCTGGATCTGTGTAATCTGCGCACATATGTATTGCCGGTGTGAGTAACCTGACTGGAATGAGACCGAAAGCAGCGGTCGCATTTTGCGACATCCCCGAAAGTACGCGCGCGCGCCACAGTATTGAGGTACGTCGCACATCCCAAAGCTATGGAAACCGATTTGTTGAATCGAGATTTGCCTGTGGTGGGATAATTTTGCACGCCCACGACGGTGTTTTCGACGATCGCCCTGTGCGGGCTTCTCGCGCAGCCTCGCACGACAGCGCACACTGCAGCACGGTTGATGCCGCCGGCTCGGCGCAGTAATGTGTTACCGAAATCAAGGGGCTAAAAATACCCACGTTCAGCTACGGCGAGGTGTGGCTGATGGTATTTTTTTTTTTCATCGATCTTCCATTATCCTCATCTTACGGAATTACACGACTATGCTGTCAGCTGACGATACCGTATCTACATGGTAAAACGGGACAACGCCAGGTAACAGACGGAGGCTTCGCTGGTTCATGCGTGTACGTGCCTACGTACGTATACCTATACACACACATCCATAGAAGAGGAGGTAGCCATGGGGGCTAGGAGGTGAGGCCGCGTATACTCATAGGTTGCCCTCGTACTCGACGGCCTTCGATGTCTTGGGTTGCGCAGGTAACATATGTCCATAGATGGGCAATATCGAATCGATCCCCGGTCCCGCGTGTACTGGTATGTATTGGATGTACGAATGCGCGTGTGTGAGTAATTTTACCTACTGGGAAGCCCGAATGACATGCGTCTCTCCACGGCCGAACCGTTGAGCACATACAGGATACGGTAATAGCGGGCGGTAATATGCCAGCTAGCAAGGCAAGCATCGACTCGTAATCCCCCACGATATATTGCATCAACGACTCGGAACGTGATTCGCACTATTCGATACTGTTTCAGCGCTTAGATGAGCTGGGAATGCCGGATCAGGCCTGGAGCAGCAGGCGAACCTCCCACGCACCGGAACATTGAAGGGAATGTTCCATGCAACCTCGATCACTTCCACTGGCTTCTGCACGAGAATAGCCCCGTATTTCGTCCGAACTGCAACTAGCAGACGGGAGTAACCTAGCGTGAAGCTGCGATCTGACCTGGCCTGGGGCGAGAGGGAGGGCTTAGGGTCGGCGATCGTACATACAGACATGCATACATTACGCACATACACACCTACATAATATACGTACGTACGTACGTGCATACTCATACGTACAGACATGCATACATGCCTACCTACCTACCTACCTACCTACCTACATAGACACGCGCTTTAATGGTGGCGATGCTGGTCTCTGCTTACCTGGCGTCGACCGCGCTCCGGGACTTCTTAGACTAGGTATCACGCGCGGGAAGCCTAGACAAGATTTCCTTTCGGCAATGGCGCCCGAGAGACGGCGTCCAGCGAGGTTGAGAGCATCGCCTCCTCGTCCTCCCCATTCCGGGCACGATCCAGTGGCCAGTATTTATCATCGTACAGGGATGCGCAGAGTCGTGACACCGACAGGTTTCAGCCGAACTGGCAGTCTTCTCACCTCGCCGAGGACGAATCGGTCTGTCCTGACACCATTTCCGAGGACATCGACAAAGCTGGCGAGGCGTAGCCGCCGAGGACCGGTCCGATTACTGAGAGAGAGAGAGAGAGAGAGGAAGCACATCGCAGCCGCGCGCACGTTGGGCACGAAGCAGACGTAGGCCAGCAAGGCTGCGCTTGCTGAGGCGTGGCCGTAGAGGGCAAGTTACAGCGGAATTTCACCTCGACAAACACGACCCGGCCCCTCCTCGTCTCCCGAGACAAGCCCGACACAACCGCTTACGCAGTTGTTCGCTTGCGCGCCACGATATCCTGGGAAGCATGGCGCCCATGGGGGTGAGACAGGAATGCATAGCATACATGCGTCCAATACCTAGCGCTGGACGCTCATCTACCGGGTATGGGCATATGGGTATGAATGTATGTATGTGTATACACCTATTATATATATATATATATTTTTATGTGTACTTGTATGCACAGGCGGATGTCGTCGAGAGCAATTTCGCCATCGTCGTCGCCGGAAGGCCGGCTTGCAGCAGCGCCCCCGGAGATGAAAACGGCCAACTCACCAGGTCAAACGGCGGAGGGGAGTTATCGACGACGAGCAACGCAGTGTAACTGGGGCCCGGCCGTTTGGGCACGGACGGGAATCCCGCATGCGCGAACGTCCGTCTGTCTTCGTAATGCGACCAAGTTAATCGAGCGGTACGGTGCAGCAAAGGCGTGCTTCGCCTTGCGGGCGTCGTATGTGTGTATCTGCAAGAATACCTACCTTACCGGTCTGCCGTCCTGCCCACGTACAGACGGGGCTTGTCTACCTCGAGAGATCGACCTACCTGATGCGGCAGGTAGCCTCGGACACACGTAGGATCTACGTGTACGTACCTCCGGTTGACAGGACCGCATTGTCATGCTACCTGTATGCAGGCACGTGTCGCTATTTTCATACCGACAATGCACACCTGCGATGCATAAGGTTGGGTTGGGCCAGGTAGAGACGTCCCACATGCCCACCTGCCTGGAGGTACCTGAGGTACTGCCGGGGGCCACGAGGTGGGTCGCATGAAAGGGTGGATTATTGGGGTTTCTACGAGGCCTTCTAGAAGAAAATGAGGTGGAGCCGTCGTCGTCGTCGTCGCTGCGGACGGCCTCCCATCCACGGGCGGATGTATGTAGGTACTGCCTCCTACGCACTCCGCCCGCAAGGTCAGATTAGGCAGCGCGTCCTGAGTTAGGTCGGAGGTAT